TTTCCTTCGCAAGTTAGCTGACGTGGGTCAGGCTGTTTTGGTGAGTCTTCATTCTGGCGCAACAGGGGGGTTATGTTGCTGACATTTAATATTTTAGGTCACAATCCATCAGCCTTCGGCACAGCTCTTTGCTCAATTTGACACCCTTCTCCTCCTCGCAAAGGGTGGAAAGACTGTCTACTTCGGAGACATTGGCGAGAACGCGGCTACCATAAAGCAATACTTCGGTCAGTATGGGGCTCAGTGCCCTACCGAGGCCAACGCAGCTGAGTTCATGATTGATGTGGTCACGGGTGGTATCGAGGCCGTCAAGGACAAGGACTGGCATCAGATCTGGCTCGATTCCCCCGAACAAACAAGAATGATCCAGGAATTGGACGGAATGATTGAAGACGCGGCTGCCAAGCCGCCAGGCACAGTTGATGATGGATTTGAATTCTCAATGCCTCTTTGGGAGCAGACCAAAATTGTCACTCACCGCATGAACGTTGCGCTTTTCCGGAACACCAACTACGTTAACAACAAATTCTCCCTTCATATCATCTCAGCTTTACTCAACGGCTTCTCCTTCTGGCGTCCCGGTCCAAGTGTGGCAGCCTTGAATCTAAAAATGTTCACGATCTTTAACTTTGTCTTCGTCGCTCCCGGTGTTATCAACCAGCTTCAGCCGCTGTTCATCCAACGCCGTGACATATATGATGCTCGCGAAAAAAAGTCCAAGATGTACTCATGGGTCGCTTTTGTTACAGGACTCATTGTTTCCGAGTTTCCGTATCTCTGCATTTGTGCAGTTCTTTACTTTGCGTGCTGGTACTACCCCGTTTGGAGGCTGCCTCACGACTCAGACCGATCTGGAGCTATCTTCTTCATTATGCTAATATATGAGCTGATTTATACTGGAATCGGCCAGTTTGTTGCAGCTTATTCTCCCAACCCAACCTTTGCTGCGCTGGTGAACCCTTTGGTGATCAGTTTCCTTGTCCTCTTCTGTGGCGTCTTTGTCCCGTACGACCAGCTCAACGTCTTCTGGAGGTACTGGTTGTACTACCTCAATCCATTCAACTACGTCGTCTCCGGAATGTTGACCTTTGGCATCTGGGATGCGAAGGTAAGTTGCAACGAGGATGAGTTTGCGTACTTCGACCCGACAAACGGAACATGCGCACAGTACCTGTCAGACTATATGGCGGGCGATGGTTGGAAAATTAATCTGATAAACCCTGATTCTACCTCAGCATGCAAGGTCTGCCAATATAAAAATGGAAGCGACTTCCTGACAACTCTCAACATCAATCATTACTATGTTGGATGGAGAGATGCAGCTATTTGTGTGATCTTCGCCATCAGCGGATACGCCTTGGTGTTTGCATTGATGAAGTTGAGAACCAAGGCCTCGAAGAAAGCCGAATAGGTTCATCATTCGTTACTCGACCTTGTCAAACCTCTCACCCTTTGCGGACCGACACTTGAAGGTTCCAAAGTTTTTACCTTCTTTTCTTCCTTCATTGTCCTCATTCTTTCATTCATAGATTAGACTTTCATATAGACTTTTCATAGACTTTGTCATTTAGATATTTTCAGCCCTTCTTTTTATTTCAAAATACAGAGCTTTATTCCTTTCCAAGAAGCCTCAGGGCCTAATCTTCATGTGCTGAACTCCTTTCCTTGTACATCTGAGGGTCTAGTTATAGTCCCTATATAAGCACTCGAAGTATCTACACTCGCGTCTATTGGTTATAATTAGGGTCTTTTATATATAGCGGTTAGCGTTCTAAGCAAGCGTGAAGCTAGGCGATGGAGAGCTACGGAGTCAATTCGTAAGGTCAGGGCTCTGAGCTAAGTAAGAAGTCCAACAAAGATGGTATTGAGCATGTATTCCCCAATCCAGTCAATAGCAGTGGGGAACACTGTCGGAGGTCGGAAAAGGTCCCTCTTTCGGTGTTCTCGACAGAGGGCCAGCAGCCCCGGCATCATATCCACTCTAATTGCCGTAGCACGACTTAAGCATGATTTATTCGCAAAATAGTATTAGTGGAGCTTCTGATGCCCACGTTGTGAGGCCCGAAGCCCACAATATCGACAAAAGCCCGATAACAAGCGCCAAGGCCAAGGCTAGGGTTTGCCAAGTGTTGGAGGATACGGCGCGCCTAGTGAGCCTCATCTAAGCATGGACGGATGTAACATAACACGGAGCTCCAGGGGTTCTGTGTAAAACAATACTGGCTTCATGCCGATAACGCATCCAAACGCCTGTATGTGACCGAATCCCTGCCATTCCCTAACAAAGGGCTGGTGGGTTTACAAATACGGCTTGCAGTAGTCCCACGCTATGCGCGCTTCAGAACAGAAGCGGTTAGGTGACCCATAAAACTCCACCTTGTATAACGTGGTTATCTTACCACCGTGAACCAGAGATGATTGTTGGGTGATAATCATGTCAGCATCCTGGGCATGTATCCCACAATAAAGCTGATTGACTTCGTTTGAACCTTTTAATATCTCAATTCGCTGGTCCATACACATCCACATCTTCCTTTATATACAATCGAGTTTCCACACCTGTGCTGTCTTCAATTGCAGCACGATACACAAGATGGCATGCTCGCCCCAAATACCTCCTCCCGCACATTCGAGCAAGCCGAGTTTTGCAACATCAGTCGATACATTTCTTAGCAGTGACAACGGCTGGAACTGGAAGAGATTTTCTGCTAATTCGGACATTGAAGCTCAAAAAACCCCACGAAGAAGGTTTGCCTCAATACGATATCTCATTCTCAACATCTACCGCCGCCTATTTTCTCTGGTTTATTGCGCGAATGCGGTCGCATTCATTATTATTATGGTGAAGAGCCGACCGAATCCTCTTGCATTCGTGAACGCAGCGGGCATCAATTTGCTAGTATGCGGTCTTGCACGACACCCGCTAGTGGTGAATGCCATCTTTCTGAGCATCTGCCGCATCCCACAGTCGGCTCCTCTCATGCTGCGCAAGAGGGCCGCAGAAGCATATTGCTATGGTGGAGTCCACAGTGGATGCGGAGTGGCAGCCTTTCTATGGTTTGTCGGCCTCGTGGCCCTGATGTCACGGGAATATTGGATTAATCAAGACTCGGGAATGATTTCCCTCCCCGTGATTGTCCTATCCTATGTTTTACTCGTGGTTCTCATCGCCATCATTGTGGTTGCATACCCTACGTTCCGGACGAAAAGACATGACTATTTCGAACTCACGCACCGGTTCTCCGGATGGTTGGCAGTAGCTCTCTTCCTGACTCTCCTGCTGGTCTTCTCTGATCAAGCCCGACACGAGCAAGGCTTGTCCCTCGGACAATACCTGCTCCAGCTCCCAGCGTTTTGGTTCGTCCTGGTCATCATCGTCTCCATCGTCCATCCCTGGCTCCTTCTACGCAGAGTGCAAGTTTTGCCCGAGTATCTCTCGCCGCATGCTATACGACTCCATCTCGATCACACATCTACTGCATTCGGCAAAGTAATAGCACTCTCCGAGCACCCATTCCGGGATTGGCACAGCTTTGCGACTTTCCCTGATCCCAATGGCAGGAGCTTTTCTTGCATAGTATCCAAGGCAGGCGACTGGACAACCCGGTGTATCGATCAGCAACCAACCCAGTTGTGGAAGCGCGGAGTGCTCATGTACGGCTTTATCCACGTGATGCGCGTTTTTCGCAGGGTGGTTGTGGTTGCCACGGGATCTGGGATAGGGCCATGTCTCTCCTTTTTGAGCGAGAAGAACCGCCCGCCACTGCGGGTCATCTGGCAGACGCGGAATCCGAACAGGACGTATGGCGGTGACGTCCTCAACCTCGTGCGGCAGCTTGACCCTAGCCCACTTCTCATTGATACCGGCAACAGCGGGCGAGTGGATATGTTGCCAGTTATCCAAGAAACCTTCCGGGAATTTGATGCGGAAGCTGTGTGTGTGATCAGCAACCCGCGGCTCACGCAAAAACTAGTCTTTGAGCTCAAGGCAAGTGGAGTGCCCGCCTTTGGACCAATCTTCGACTCTTAAAATTAGAGCTAGAGAACTGAAAATAAATCGCCACTCTAGAGCCCACTCGTGTGAGGCCACTTACGAACTAGCATGATTCAGCCCGTTTCCCACTATCCCGAAAGAATTTTAGCTCGTTCACCCGCCTCTCATTAACAGAAGATAGAATACAATACTGTACGGGACTGGATGGTAACGTACTCTCTGATTGATGAAAAACTCTGCAAACCTGGGAATAACAACAATGCGGGACGACTAATGCATGTACTTATGTATAAGGGTTCTATCTTTCGATGTTACAGGTAATTTACCCGGATGGACCCTTTTCTTCTACATTTCTATGGAAAGTTGACGGCCCGCGCGGATCCGCAGCCACTATCCAATTCGACCAATCGGAGCAACCGACTTTTCTGTCATAACTTTCTCTACACTCAACTCGTAGGTAAGTGGGAGTTATGGGCCACAACTGGGGCGGCAGTGTGTTGCGGACTCCCCTATTCCAGAATTCGTCCCTCGGAACTTCTCCGGATCCCGGGTCAGTTCGGCCTGGGGTCCTGCAATGAGGGTGAAACACACTTACACGACCTGGGGCCGCGGATGGGGACGGCTCAGGGGCCGCCTTGTCGCTTTTAGCACTAGCGAACCTTTCCCCGCGCAGCCACTGGCTCCTGGGAACTTGGCCAGACTGCAAAGTTTACACCCGCGAAATCCGTTGAAACTTTGGGAGCGCACTAGGCTTGAACAAACTCTTCTTTGGAATCTGGGCATTGCGGGAGACAAAATCTAGTTATATTCTTTGCCGATCGCTTGGGCGAAGCCTATGTAAACTTTCGGGGAGACAGACTGATTTCCCGAAATGACTAACCCCACCGCATTTTCCACGTTGGACCAAGCGTTTAACCTCATCTCACCAAGCCAGTCAATCCTTTACTGAACGTTCAGCCACCAGCTTTTCCTCGGTGGCATTTTTCAGTCTCCAAATCCCTCCAGAATGGCTTCCACAAGCCCCGGAGGAGACGGCGAGCGCGGGCCTATATTCGACAGTTTGGCCAAATTCTATGTATCTGTGGCCATCATCTGGACGACTGCCCTCCTCTTCGGCTCCGCTTTTCTCATTATCAATCGCCACGAGCAATGCATTCGCATTCGCAACCTGTTTCTCGCGCTGAGCGCGGTCTCATTTCTCCATGTCTACTGGATTCTGTGCATGGTCGCATATTCAATGGGTGACAAGTACCCCTGTGTCGCAGAATACTGGATCATGAGCATCTATCTGCCTTTGGGGATCGCTCTTTTTCAAGCGAACAGCATGCAGCTCCTGAGCGTCTTTGGCATTCAGGAGAAGTTGCTCTTAGCCGCGCAGCAACCATACAGACCCCGCTTCATGGATCGTGCAAAATCCTCTAGCCGATCCCGGTTCCAATGGAAACAGTTGAAGCTCGTCCAAAAAACGGAATTGGGCATTGTTGTTGGAATGCTGGTTCAAGTCAGTGCATCATCCGCGCCCGCTGCCTTTTTTATTCACCTACTCATCTCCCATCTCTCACCTGTAGCTGTTTCTGTCGCTCTCTATCTTCCTCACCTCTCGGAAGTTTCAAAGCTTCGGTACCTTCTCCAAACATGTGAATTCTGCTGAATGTCGGCGAGGTCCTGAATGGTAAGATTGCTGCTTGTGTGATACTGCGACGTCGTCTGACAGAAAGAAATCAAGGGTTCCTTCGATCCTCTGGCAATTGTTCTGGTCTTGGATATTTGCGCCATACATTCTTTGGAAGATTCGCAACATCCACGACATACACCACTGGCGGCTCCAGATCACCTGCTGCGTCATCGCCGCGTGAGCACTTGACCACATTCCTTGATATCACCGTACCAAACAACGATACTAACAGGTCCGCAGTTTACCAGGTTCGCCCATGTGGTTCGCCGCACTGTATTCTTCAACCGAAATCTGGGCAGATATCAATAGATACTGGGTGCCGGCTCTCTGGTAATAGAAGTCCATCATGAGGTACAAATAACACAATTGCTAACACTCGCAGGTTTGCTCCTGGTATTATGACAATGGAGGCTGTTACTATCTTCTTTCCGTGTTATGAGCTTGTTGTCTCTAGGAGACTGAGGAATCGTATCCTTGGGGAACTCCAAGCATGGAATGACAAGAAGGCAGCTGGCGCGGACGAATTGGATTCAGCAGCATCCAGAAGTCAAAGTGAAGTTAGCCGCATGCCTGAAGTCTATTCACGAAAAGCCCTAGAGAGGTGCTTAGCAGAAGATTCAAGCGCGCTTCTCCGATTTGCCGCGGCCAAGGAGTTCAGCGGCGAGAATATCATCTTCTTGAATTACGTGCGTGACTGGAAGGCTGCCTGGGTGAAGATCAGTGAATCGAAGCCGGATTACGATTGGAACCGCGATTCTCAGTACCACCGACTTCATTTCTTCAAGATCGCGGTGGAGATCTATGCCGCCTGTGTCGATTTACGAACGGCGGAATTTCCCATCAACATCGAGTCCCAGATTTACTCGGATCTAACGGAAATGTTTAGTGAAGCTGCGCAATTTATCGATCAATCTGTGTCAAGGGGAACTGAAACCCGCACCTACAGAAATGTCCCAGAGTCTTACATGATGCCGTCACACAGAAAAAAGTTTTCTACTGTGATAAACGTGGAGGAAGACACTCACGCTCTGTGTCTGGATGCATATCCTCACGAGAGCCAGAGTATCATGCATATCGAGTCCCGTGTTCCGGATCATGTTATCGTTCCTCCGAACTTCACCATCCGTGCTTTCCACCAGGCCGAGAGGTCAATCAGGAACCTGGTGTTCACAAATACCTGGCCCAAGTTTATTGATTCTTCCAGCGATTTGTCAATCCATTCTAAGTAATGATGCAGAAGGTCTGTCAAAGTAACAGTTTTTGATTCTTAGCCTATATTAATATAAAGTTTTACAATCGACTGGCTACTGCCCACAGTCTGTCACACTTCTCAAGTTCATAAATGACCTGTACTGCTCAAACAGCCTTAAAGAAAGAGCTCTAGATTACACCGTTGACTTCGCAATTTCTTGCTAAGTTTGTGGCTGTGGCGACCTGTATAGCAGGGGGATTCTTTCTAGGTCCTCACTACTCGCCTCTTAAGGCTTTGTTTATGTCGTAGTTAGTATTTTCCGAATTACCCTTAAGAAACCACCTCGGTATTCCATGTGCTAATATATATTCCGGTGGATACAATTAATATTTAAATAAATACAATTACTACACCTTGCCTATTACGGTTAGATAAATGGAGAAGGTTTCCGAACAGCTTCCTTGGAGGGTCCTTCTAATATGACCCTATTTAAACCTACGCAGTACGCTTATAATTTCGTCTACCCTAGTCAAGATCGTTCCTTAGGCTTTTCGGAGATACATTCTTCCTTAATTGCAATTCTAGCAATCATTCACGCATACACTTCCTAAGCCGGGATTTAAGCTTATAGATTATGATCGTCATTGTTTAATATAGTCTAATGTTATTTATGGCTATATAGGTTACTCTACGTCATTGGCCTACTCGATAGAGATAACTGTTTAAGTGGGCGCCCTCAATTAAGAATTTACAGTTTACCCGAACCCATTGAGGTCTTTAATAGCACCCGTCGTGAATTATATGTGCTCAATGTCGATGTATACGGTACAGAAGACGGTTTCGCCGCTGCTTAGATCCAGGTGAACCAAACGGCACTGGTCACTTTTTCCAGTAAAAATGTGAATAATTCGACTTGTGTACTCAATAATGGATTAAAGGCTGGCAGCTGTATCACATCCGAATTAAACTCAACCGGCTCGCCCTCGTACTCCATATTTAGAGCCTCTCTAGCTCGTTCAGGTCGAAGAACCAGCAATTAAAGCACTAATACTCCGTTGGCCAAGACCGCCTCTGGTACCTTTACAGCCACGTACGAGGGCCTTACTGAAGTGTAGAGTATATGGGATTAAGTGCCATAAGAGAAATACGTGTCTAGATAGATCGCGTTTTCAGTTTATCTAATTTAATGACGTTTTAGTTGAGATAAATACATTTCAGAGTGATAGATTAGGTGGGGTGCGCAGCTCGCATGTGAAACTCATTGAAGGGATTAGTTAAGGGAGGCTGATATTGTGAGCCACGGGAGAGTGTGTCCAGGATTGGCCAACGGGAAAATTGTCATACTACAATGTTACAAAATTCGCGGCTTTTAATCCGAAACGTAGGGCATGGTGATATATAGCACCTAGAATGACTGGTCCAGAAAGAAAAAGGTTGCTAGCGACCGTTTCAACAAAGCTAGGTGAAGGGCTGATGGTTCGAAGCAAAGGGATGAAAGTTTGCTTCCTCGCGCTACGTCTTGTATCTAGAGACAACTATACAGCGAGAATGTTATTTAATTCAGCATGCTAGTTCACAACCATACATGATACAGTAAGAGGTGATATTTCGATTCCTCAGTTTCCTATAGAACGTAACAGAGCCCAAAGGAGAAGTCGATATATGGGATAATCCACAATTGAACGCATCGGGTCTCCCTCATGCCGAGTATTCCACCTGTTCACTCTTCGCACCAGCCATGTCCATGACCTCCGCATCACCATCCGCAAACGCATTGTCACCGAATGCAACAGCAATTTCCTCAAGAGAATGGTGTGCTGTCTCGACGTAGTAAAAGTGAACTAAGACGGCCGAACTGAGACAAAATCCTGCAATCACCAGGTAGAAATAACCATGAATGCCAGAGAAAGCATCGGGAGAGACCATTCCAATGATGAAGTTGAAGATCCAATTGCTAGTCGTGGCCAGAGCCATGCCTTTACTCCGGCCCCGGAGCGGGAAGATTTCTGCAGGTAGGAGCCACGGCATCGGACCCCAGGTAAATCCATAGATGATATTGTAAAGCATGACGAAGGCATACTGGCCGTTCGCTTTGACTTGGACATCCACATTGATTTCGGTGAAGACGCAGACAACCGCTAGTAGTACGGCCATGAGGAGACCTGGTTGGATTGTTAGTTTTTAGTTGCAAGCTAACTCGACTTTCCTCTTCCACATGGGAACATACCTCCAAGAATGAGCAATGGCTTCCGGCCCCATCGGTCTGCTAACCACCAGGTAACAATTGTTGCAGCGGTGTAGGGAAGAGCATTTGCAGCAGTGAACAGCAGGGATTTGCGATTATCATAGCCAGCGGATGACAAGGTGCTCGGAAGGTAAAAGGAGATGATGTTGATTCCGTTGATCTGCGCGAACATCTGCACCGTTATTCCAACAATGGTCCGTTTTCGATACCGGGTGAACATTTCCTATGATGTGGCAACCACGGTTAGCGATCCACGAGATTCACAAGTCAAACAAGTAGTAGAGGAGCATTACCTTCCAACCGGACTTTCCCAGATTGCTTTCGTAGATAACTGCTTCTTGAATTTCAAGGAACGTCTGTTGAATATGCTCCGCTTCCGTATTACCATCAGAATGCAGATCTGCAATTGTTTGCAAGCTTTCGTCCACGAAACCATTTATCGCCAACCATCGAGGGGTTTCTGGTAGAACGAAGGACATCCCACACAAGACAAAAGAAAGCACAATCTGGATGATGAATGGCCCCTGCCACGAAAGGTTCTTTGGCAGCAAGAAATTAAATCCATAGTCCACCCAGCAAGAGAGCATATATCCAGCGATCAAAAAGGTGTATTCTATACCCACCATCAAACCACGGCGATGAGGGGCGGCAATCTCAGTTTGAATGATAGGCACGGTCATCGAGAGGAATCCCACACCCACTCCTTGGATGGTGCGACCTGCGATGAACGTTGCGAAACCGGGAGCAAACATTTGAATAAACGAGCTGAAGAAGTAGATGAAAGCGCCGACGCGGACACACTTCTTTCGGCCGATCATGTCCCCAAGTCGACCGGCTATGAGTGCTCCTACCGCCGCCGCTGCTTGCAAACACGCAACAGAGATGCCTGTAATCGAGGGGTCGACGCCGCTTGTCGTCCCGTCGGCTCCCCCATAGTTTTTGAAGAAGCGAGATATAAAAACTTCGTTGACCAGCAGGCCGGACATGATACCTATGAAATCAGCAACAATTTGACAACATATGCGAGGATGCCATACCAGAGTTATAACCGAAAAGGGCATCCCCCAAGCTGCCAAAGGCACATGTAGCATACAGCAAGGGTTTGCCTGTGAAGGGATACCTAGCTGAGATCTTCTTGGGCTTGAGTTTCCTCTCCAGCCAACTATGCTCTTCCCGAGCTTGCGCGGCGACAGCGAGGGAACGCTCCCTGATGGTCCCACTGGGCACCGACTGGGAAGATTTCGCGATACTCATTGTGCCAAAGAGGGTTTGACCAACCAGGATAACAAGTATTAACACCACTTGTAAATTGGATCAAGAGATATTTTGTGGACAAGTTGACAGCGAACCGGAGGGCATGGGGTTTATTTCTACCCAAACCCTGCCCCGTGGGGAAGAGGCATTTTCTCCAGAATATGGGGAAATGATTCCAGAGGTACACTATGGATTCAACTTTCGGCGGGTTACCGAGCCGAAACGTTTCACGCGGCACGGGAATGCTATTGGACATGCCGATGAACCTAACAGCTTGAGTCTCTTGGCACCCCTCCCGACGCGGGCTCTGTCGTGAAGAGTGACCCGACTATTGAGCCCGAGCATGTAGTCAAATTTTCGCGTACGCTTTAGATCAAATTTTTGTCATGATGATTGGCCGTTCTTCTGTGGGAACTGCAGGTTCCGGGACCATGGCGGAGCCGAATCTCGGTTCCGGTGGCAAATATCAAATGGTTCCGGGATTATGTGGAGCCACTGTATCTCGGTTCCGGCGGATATCAAACGGTTCCGGGATCAAAGTCGTCTAGGCTGAAGACCACACGGTTCCTGAACTTCCGGGATTGGAATCGGAATATGCCGGGGATGTTTATCAAAGGATGTGTCAAAAGACAAGAGTACATGGTAAATTGAGGCCTCAGTATGTTTGAATTCAATTGAGCTATGAATGGCTATATTTCATTCAACTTATTGCTTTTGCTTTCCACGTTTGAGTGACATATAAGTACCCTGTATAAATTGGACCGGCTTGGGTCTTGGACTGTCCGCCGGCAGAGTCTCAATACAGAGGATCCGTTCGCCCCACGCTCAAGTTTTCTATGATGTAAATGGATGGGATGGATCTTTATGACATTCATAATATTTAAAGATCGTCAGTGTCCCAGAGGCTTTGCTCCATCAAACAAAAAGCCGCAGACATGACCGTCACAAAAGCTGCTAAGGTAGTCCCGACCCCAGTCATGGCCCAAATGCATGGGTCTTTATTGCACCTGTTAACGTTAAGAATTTCCTAGACTGTCAATCAGGCCTTTGTACTGCATCCTGGAGGTAAATTTGCTTTTGAAGAACGCCATAAACCCACGCTCCAGTCAGACCGAGATGTCATAGTCCGAGTCATAGCAACAGGACTCTGTGGTTCAGATGTGAGTGAAAAGGCTTCGAACTTTCCCATTTCCCTCTTCCTCTATTCCATTTTCCGTGATGCAATAGAAAATAACACCTCGCCTTACAGGTCCATTACTGGCAACACGGTCGGATAGGGCCATACGTCGTCGAAGCACCTATAACACTGGGCCACGAATCCACAGGGGTCGTGGTAGAGAGCGGAAGCGATGTTCAAGGCCTCGCCGTTGGAGACCGCGTCGCCCTCGAGCCCGGCATCGCGTGCAATAGCTGCAATCATTGTCGCGGCGGCCGCTACAACCTCTGCCAGACGATGCGCTTTGCCGCGACACCACCTTACGACGGAACGCTCGCTACCTATTACCGCGTGCCTGCAGAGTGCTGTTTCAAGCTCCCATCCCATATCTCACTACGCGACGGCACCCTGATCGAGCCTCTTAGCGTAGCCGTGCATAGCTGCCGATTGGCAGGCGATATGCAGGAGAAATCAGTGGTTATATTCGGAGCAGGTCCTGTCGGGTTACTCTGCTGCGCCGTTGCGCGAGCCTTCGGCGCGTCAACAGTTGTCGTCGTGGACGTCGTCCCGGCTCGCCTCGCTTCCGCTTTGAAATATGGTGCTACCAATACATACCAAATGAGCGCCGAGGGTGCTGACAGGAATGCGGCAGATTTGTTGGCTACTGCTAGCTTAGATTCTGGCGCTCATATTGCCCTGGATGCGACTGGGGCTGAGCCCTGTCTGAACTGTGGTATCGCAGCCCTCGCGAAGGGCGGCACATTTGTCCAAGTGGGCTTGGGAAAGCCGAACCTATCACTTCCGGTAAGCCAGATCTGCGACAAAGAGCTTGTCTTCAAAGGAAGCTTTCGGTATGGGCCCGGAGACTTCAAATTAGCCGTAGGATTGCTGGATTCGCGCCGAATCAGGCTGGATGATCTCGTCACCCATGAATTTCCTTTCAGCCAGGCTGAGCGAGCTTTTGAAAATGTCGCCGGACGGGGTGGAATTAAGAGTGTAATCTACGGCCCGGATGTCAATGAGGAAGAGGCAAAAGCAAGTTTAGTATAGCGCATGCCTTTTGTTACAGTCATAGGCATTGAACCTTGAAAAGGAATGGCTTCTGGCAAAGATCCTCGTACAGCTCTAGGCTTCTGTCGCATTTCCGCAGAACTAGCTCTTTCCGTGTTGCAAATAAGCTACTCATTGCGGAGATGTCTCGAAGGCTGCCTAAGGTCTTCACTTCTGGTTCCCTCTTCTTTTTCTCACTGTCTTTTCCCTTGTTTTTTACCTTTGGAAACATCAGGTAAGATGCCCATGACATGTACCAAATATTATGTCAAAATACGTAGAAAGGCGGCCAAGATCTTGACCGCTCGATAAAAAACTTGTTAGTCCTCTTCCTTCTAGTTTCTCTGAGCTACCGAAAGAAAAGATCTAGAATGTTTCGATACATTAAAACATATCATGAGTCCAAATATTGGGAACAAAAAGAAGTGACAAGAGCCCAGAAGCTTTCAGGTGCTGAGATTGGTTTTATTCTATTAACTAGAATTCGATACCAGTCATTAGAATAGACTCATGACGGGTTCCGGAACTATACGTTTATCTCGAACTTCTGCTTCCATATTAGACAGCCAGGTTTTTACATCATCCTAACCGGGCGGCCGTACCTGGCAGAAACCCATTTTCTCGTCCAAAACCATTGCCACAGCTCGCAACTAACTTCTTAATCGCAAACGCACCAACGACGTGACACTGTCTCGGTGGATTCACTTGGTAATATGCCTTCGGGTCATTCTGGAAGGGTCGATGTAGAGGTTGTCCGGCATCGGTTGCCCACCCGAGTGAGGAGTGCGTGTGAGCGATGTCGACATCACAAATCTCGGGTAGAGTCACCCTGCCATAACTTCATCGAAAATTTCCCTTCGAACACATGCTGAATAAGTGGTGTGGACATAGTGTGATGAATTTAGGCCTTGCTCACTATGTGTTCGAGCCGATGTTGCTTGTCGGCCCCTTCTGACAAGCCAGGCGCGGAAGATAAGTCGCCAGCGGTAAGGTGGAAACCGTATCCTAAGAGAATATCCTAGCTTACCATCAGGAAAAGGAAAAAAGCATCAAATCAGAGTCCATCTGCGTTCAGGGATCATCCTGATTTCTCACGAAATAATTCCCCTGAGCAGCTGAGGCCTAGAAGTGACCCTGCAAGCACTTCTACCGCTCAGCCCCGGTCAGCAGATCCTCCTTCAAGAGGAAATGAAGCTGACAATGCCACAAACATCAAGACATTTTCGCCGCACCACTGCGATGAAGCCCAATCTGCGCTTGGGATTGCTCAGAGGATCTTTGAACTTGCCAGTCAACGTATCGATGAGGAGACGACCTCCGCCATTCCTGGCTACCAGGCTGGGATCAATGCCCAATCTAATGTTCCAGTATCAACAGGTGTGGGGAATGGCCAACGCAGCTCGATCTCGTCAATACTAGAAGGACCATTTCCCCCCATACCAATATTACACGATCTGCTGGAAGAGTATTTCGATGCCATACATTGGTTCTCACTAGCAATCTACGAACCAAAATTCCGTCAAATGCTTGACTCTATTGCTGATGGATCTGCACATCGCTCACAAAAGCCATTTCTCCTATTGTTAGCAGTCATGCTAGGAATGGCATCGTGGTATCGATTCCAAAGGAGTGGGACTGATCTGCCAGAGCATCGTGACGAATGGAAGGCGTGGAGTACAGATTTGCTGAAGCTTGTCGAATCAAATATTGTGGAAGTTATGGATCAACCTTCAATCACAGCCATCCAAACTTGTATTCTACTTGGATCGCATCATGTCTACCACGGTCGTCCAAACCTCTCTTTCTCATTATTGGGAGCGACAATCAAAATGTCCCAGTCTTTAGGGCTGCACCGGCAACCCTCACGAGGAACCCTGGAAGATATTGAGGAAAGGAAAAGGATTTGGTGGACAATATATACGTGGGACAGATTCGCATCAGTTACCTATGGCCGGCCATTGGGGATCAATGACGAAGATTGCGATGTTACCATGCCGGCAGACGTGCTAGAAAACCCGACCTTTGTCACACCCACATCGGATCAGGGCAGCTTCGTACTATATTCTTCATACCAGCGGGAGCTGAACCGACTCTACTTGATTGCATCTCCAGCCCTCAAGGCTATTTTCGGCTCACGCACATTGGAGTTTTCCGATCAACCGGCGCGAGATACGTATTATGAATTGGCTAAGAATGCGACACAGAACCTCCAAAGCTGGTATGAACGTTTACCCAGCCACTTGTCCTTGGATCTGGAGCAAGACTTCCATGCCGATGGAAAACTAAGATCGAGGGCATATGCGTTACAGTCTTTGTCATTACAGCTGACCTATGACAATGTGCTCATTGTACTTCATCGACCTTTGTTGAACCGGCAGGTTGACTTTCTGTCTATGAATAATGAACGAGCAGCTTTCGGCGCAGAGGGCGACAATCTTGTAGATCATTCGAGCAGCAGTGCTTTTGTCAACCGGTCAATCCTTGATGCTCTGCCTTCCAAAGCCCAGACCTACAGTTCAGAACTGTGGATGAATGCTGCAGTGAGAACGTCAAGGGTAACGGAATTGCCAGTTCTTGCCCAGCTCGCCACAGACAGCCATCTTGTCGCCTTTCTCGCTATCAATTTATTCAATGCTGCGGTCGTGCTTGCTGTGATGGCTCTTTCAGAGCCTCTTTCCGACACCGCACAGGAAATCAAGCGAACAATTACTCGTATCCTTCGTCTGCAAGACCTGCTTGGCAAGCGCTCTGCACTATCGAAGCAAAGCACAGCCATTCTCAAAAACGTCATCATTCTTCTTCTCCGCCGTGAATCCACAACCATATTTGCTCCACTGTTCGGTACAAGTCAACGAACACAGGCCCAGTCTCAACAAACTCCGGCAGAAATCCCTCTTATGTCTGTGGAAGACACGCTCCGGCTGCCACTCGATGCCACGCTGGACTCTCCTCATCTTTTCGGCAGGGACCAAACTCGGCCAGGTCTAAGCAGAGCTCATCGTCTTAACCAAAGTTTAACATCTGTCCAACATGGTAATTATCTCAATTCGTGGGGGAACACACGCTACGGAATGAGCTGGCTAACGTGTTGATTCTTCCCAGTTCTCGGTACAGGTAATGACGGACCATCGAGCATACCGACAGGCACGGAGAGCCCTGCACGTCGTGTATACTCTGACCAAGAAATGCTGCCACGTGGTAATTGGCAATTTCCCGCAGATTATGATTGGAATATATTTGGTGGCTCTCAGGACCTTGCACAAGATAGCCCCATGGATAATATCGATGGCGGACTATGCTGGTTATGGGATATGACATGGAATGGGTCTGACAGGTAGTAAGATGGCTTATGAATGATGACGATCTCTGTGGCGTGGAAGCTCCTCATCATCGAGGTAGTGAACAAGACCCATGTATGCTCCGTCGTACAAAACCTCGATCTTGCGCAGAGTCTCAGGCTATCCAGACATACCGCTCCACAGAGCTCGATTCAGGGGACTCGCCAAGGTAAATCCCAGACTGATTGTCTTTATTCTCCATAAAGTCATCATTCAGTGGCGACCAAGTCAGCATGGAAGAGGGCTCTAAATCTTCCTCTAGAGCCTCCCAGTCGCCATTGAATGCAAAGTACCCGACGGAAGTGTCGAGCCTTTCTCAGCCACACATCCTCTATTAGCTTGAGATATACGGGATTGTGGCTCTGCTCAGCCCCTCGATTGAGGCACTTGTCGACCTTGAAATCCGGCGATTCGCAGGACTTTAAAAAGATGCCCGGGTAGTCGCTGAAGATGGATGCGATCGCAATCTGCCATAGCATTCCTGGGCAGAAATTTACAAGTTCTAGGTTTTGCATTTGGGGTTTGAGCGGCCACCATATCAGCCACGGAAGATAAAAATTTTCTTCATCGGATTCTAGACCTGTGATCTCGTTGATCATGATACGGCGTGCATTAATGGCCGTTCTGAATTGCCGGTACCAGCCAGTCAGAGTCGAGCGCTTCGGTGTCATCTGCGGCTTCTACCACATCAGCTCCCGCCAGTTCCGCAGCCAGAATTGACTTCTCTTGATGGGCGTCGCTCCAATTCGCTATCCTGACCTTCACCATTGCCTGTGGCTTGGTAGAGATACGATAGGATTTCCATGCTTGTGGCATATTGGTCAACAAGGATCAACCTTTTGGGACTACGATTACAAACACGACCTGAACCATCTGACGACAATGGAACATGTCATGACAAGGAAGGAAAGAGTGAAAGTGCCTACAACCCGATTGCACATGGTTTCTGTAACACTTTCCACATTGTCAAGTAATTTCTTCTATTTACAGACTTCATGCTCAACAACTCCACCATGCATATATCAACATTGGTAATTATACCAGCATATCAATGCTCATGATCGCGCTTCTCTGAACTACAACATGATCCTTCCATGGCCGCTCTTGCCAGTTTAGCACGGCTCAAGGCACGGGGCTTTGGAAGAAGATCGCGACCGGACAGGTCTGGAAGAGCCGCATCTCGGGTCTCCTTGACAAATGCTTCCACATCGCGCTTGGCAATCTTAGCGGTGTAAATCAAGTTAAGCCAATGGCCCAACCGGTAGCCACCCTTTGCAATTTGCAGCTCGATTGTATCAATGGCAGAATTGTAGTAAGTCGGGTAAAGGTCGCCAGTCTGCAAAGCGGCAGCTCCATCAGGCATGACAACAGTGCATACAAAGGCATTGGCATCCGAAGCCCAACGGGTAGATGTGGTGATTGGATCGCTGATAGTATCTCCCTTGATCCAACTCGCCGCCTGAGATTTGTAACTACCCGAGTCAATCTCGCTGATCAGAGTCTTAGCCCAGGATTGCGCATCTGCGAGCGAGCTACCACCAATCAATGACTCCGGCATGTAGGTATCCCAGTCCGAATGAAGGTTGTCACTGTAGCCCTTGTAGGTGACTGCAATGCCGTTACCGCCAGTCTCGTAAGCCTCATCATGCAGCGGCTGCGTTATGTCACCGAGGAAGTGTACAAGGAATTTGAGAGCTTCTGCCTTGTGGTCGTTGGAAAGTCGACTGTCACCTACACGCTGGGTGTAGTTGGCAATAGCAGAAACTGAGCACCCTGAACTGCCGCAGTCGCGCTGATAGTCTACATTGCAGGTTGTTGGAGGGTTATCTTCAGCATCGATGTAGTGGAACGAAGAAGACCATTTTCCAGCAGTGGTTGCGCGATATGAATCGGCCCAAGAGGCAATGCTAGCCAAATATGAGCTAGAGGTATCATTCAGAACACCTTGCGCCCTTGAAAACTATTAGCATTGAATGTGGAAGCAGCATAATTGTAGTTCCGCGGCACTTTGGGGACTAAACTGCACTTACCATGATGCTGTCTCGGATGTCACATAATTTTGGGCAACATATGCAACTGTAGCATGGCCTAGTGAGCCCCAAGCACTGACCCCCGTCACTGAGCCAAGAGCGACGAGAGCAACCTTGGTAAGACGAGCCATATAGGATAGGCTTTAGAAAACGAGCTATGAGTAACTGTGTGAATGAGCAGCAGTGAAGAAGAGGCTTCGAGGAGAAGCTACGAAGGTCTGTCTGGCTCTTAAGGGGTAGCGAAGCTCTGTTTATATATTTGCCCTCGCCCGCATTTCTTCGGCGCCGTTTCAGGTCATTGCATGAGTTTTGGTTGCCTTACAACCCTGAATCAGACTAGAGCAGTATGGCTACCGACGTTGCAGCAGGTAAATATGCCCACGAGGGTGTTTTTAATGTCAAGACGGCCTCTTAGTGGTCACTCTTTTCTTGCGGACGAGTGGCTTCGCTCTTCCCCCTATCGCAGTAGGGTCGCTTGGTGGGATCTGCAGGCAGGGAACCGGAGACCACCGGCTTGCGGCATTGAGAGTGGAATTGTCTCTCGACGTCTCGCGCCGCATGCCTTATCTTTTGAGCTTGATAGGTTTCTGCGGGCTAGCGTCCTCCTTGGCAAGACACTAATGAGAGGGGTCATTCGGCAGCCTTTTCCAAATTTGGTGGGCAGGAGAGAGCTTGCGGTGAGTAAACGACAGCAAACTGCGAAAATTAGATTGCTTGAATGATTTGGATTTAATAGATAGTCTAGCCCACGTGGTATATTAGTACAGTACGTCCCGTAACTGGTGTCACCACCTACACTCTTCGATTGTTTCTCGAACCCTAATGCCAAATAGGAATAATCCCGGAGTATCGATATTCCAGAAATAATACCATACAGTATCATACCACAAAAGATACATGACTTTCTGAATCGGCGCTGTATGGAAAAAAGCTGGAGCTTTCCATTGGCATGCAAATAAGTCAAACATGAGGAGCTGGAGTGAGCCTCGAGATCTGGCGTGGTGTCACTTTCCTCTCACACTTCCGTGCCCAAGTGACAATCTACGGGCTTACTCTATACTAGGTAGCACTAGACCTGGCTGTGACCCGCGGGTCACCCGTATTACCCTCGCACCGACCCGCCCGCGGGGCGGGTTTGCGGGCCTAATCTTGGACCCTGAGGGTCCTTAAAGAAGATAAACAGCTTAATCTCGTGACTTATATAAGTTACGTAGATTTGCCCTATATTTTTGAGTATTTATTTTATAGCATTAGAATTATAGATAGTGTAATTAGTAATTAGCGTAAGGATATATTAATAAGAAGTTACTACCTGACTGAGGGTATTGACGACGCCTGAGGCATAAATAGATGCCTTAGGATCATCTATTTATGCCTTAGGACGTACGGTGGAAGGATGATCTAGGACCTCACCGCCCACGAATAGGCCAGTCTATATATAAGCAATTCTCGCTAGTCCTAGGTAGGACCAGCGTTCAGTCTCTTCATACAATCCACCTTATTGTATTGCTCGCATAACTGGGCCATCTGCCTCGCTTACCCATCTAAAACTGGAGACTGCGTGGTCTCACAATGTGGCTAAGTTTGCCCGAGTGGTCCTATCCACGACAGAGTTACCCTATGTCACGATATTTGCTATATCTGCTTCCCACCACTGGAGTTCGCAAAACCGGTTGAGCTTGAAGAGCACCTTGGGACTGAGCATAACTTCTGTATCTCCTGCGACATCCAATTTGAAACGCCCGACGAACTTGCCCAGCACGGGAAAGCATAATATGTGTGTCACCTGTCGGCAATTCTTCGATTCTCTATCGAGTTTGACTGGTGTAGAAGTGTGAGCTGTCGTCAGTGTTCGAAATGCCAGATGTCAATCTTGGGAGCCCTCCTTGCTGTCAAGTGTATGGAATCATTTACTGGTGAATTTACAAAGCTGTATTATGAGCCAATCCCATTTTCCTTCAATACATTTGTTCTGAATACTCCTCGCTGTACGCTAGGACACTCTTATAATGGGTTTACCATTATATAATCGAAAAATACAGCACAATTTTATGTAAAATGACATGTCAAGCTTTTTTTGGTTTTGCGGGTTATACGGGGTATCCATTTGGGTCTTGGGTTTGGTTCTTGTGGGCGGGTTGGGGTTATGGGCAGGTTTTGGCGAGGTTCAATCGTAGGTTGCAAGAGAAGTCTGATATGTAGATGTTGTCATGTTCGATCTTCAGCAAGTCAGTTGGGCTTCGCTACGTCGGCCAGGTGAGATCAATGTCATATCAAGATTATAAATGATCAGAACAGCACGTTCACTTTCCTGTGTGCCTTACCTCTGATTATATCACACTATACAGCCCATGAAGAGTATCTTCATGACTTTGATTTTCTAGAAAGCTCTTCCATCGCTAAATAGCCTGTCACTATCATACAACACAGGGAACTGCACGAGTATGGGGTGTGTCACCAAGAACGACCACCTCAATTCGCGTGATCCGTCGTAGCAATAAGCTCCTTCCATTCCTCCATCTCCTTGTTCTGCCTCTCCTGGATGCTGGAAACATATGGCGCCGTGTCACTCCCAAGCAAAAGTCTTGCAGGCAAAGTCTTCCCTGCCGCATGTCCAGTACCCGTCAATGCCTCCACAATCACCTGAGCCCCTTTCGCCGGATCACCGGGCTGCTTCCCATCATACATACTCAGCATGCTCTTGACATAGTCAATTGTAGGCTTGTAGTCGTCGATGGTTTTCGCTGCAACAGTCTTACCATCCACGTCTGCTTTGAGGAAATTGGTTCGGAAATAGCCAGGCTCGATGACGGTCGCTTGGATACCCAGAGGGCCTACTTCAGCTCGAAGGGCTTCGGTCAGTCCAGCCAGTGCGAATTTTGTGGCGCAATAGTATCCCGAGCCGGCATTTGAGGCATAGCCTCCGAGGGAACCAATGTTGGCAATTACCCCGGATTTCTGGGCACGCATGAAAGGGAGGACAGATCGGATGATTGAGAGAGGACCAAAGACATTGGTATTAAATTGCGCGCGTGCCTCGGCATCACTATAAATTGTTAATTGAGTTGAATAAGAGGTGAATAAGAGGAAGAAGAGAGGGGACTGGAATTACCTGGTTTCCTCTATACCTCCAATCAGAACATATGCAGCGTTATTAACAAGAACATCAATGGTGCCATGGACTTTTGCTGCTTCGACGACAGTTGCATCGATCTCAGCTGGCGTCCCATTCACGTTTAGGGAGATAGTTGTAGCTCCAAGTCTCTTCAATTCCGACAGCCTGGAGGCGTTGCGTGAAGTGGCAATAACATTCTCGCCATGCTTTAGAGCTGCTTTTGCGATTTCCTTGCCAAACCCAGAAGAACAGCCAGTGATGAGCCAGACAGCCATTTTAGGTGAATTTTGGGAATGAGATGAAGATGAAGTGATATGTGAGTTCCTGATAGAATTGAACAGACAAAACTTTTGGCCTTTTAAAGTTGTTCTCAGAGTTTCGGGATTAGTCTATTGGGCGTTGTCTAACGTGCCCTATTATAAATCGGAATATATCTTGCCGCATGTTTCCCGGCCGAAACCTAAAATAAGATCAGCACCGAAAGCTTTCGGCCTAAAACCCTTCCCTCCATCGGGTGAGCCTAACCCCTAAAAACGAGAGATGTATCTAGACCCGGACCGGACCTAGAAAGTCGCGACTCATTCTGAGGTCTAGATGTATCCAAAAACCGATTAAGGTTTTCTGGAGGACCGAGGCAGCCTTGTGCGAAGACTCAACGACGCCCCACCCGAATTTCATCGTCCTATGGCTGCTATATTAAAGGCAGCCACCAGCCCGTTGATTCAGCGTCAGCCCTCAAAGTCAACGACAAAGAAATTGTCCAAGATGGCGTACGAAAAAAAGTCACGCGATGATTCTGTAACGAAGATGCTCAGCAGCTCTTCTCCCCGCCTGGGTGAGAAGGGTGCCCCGGCCGAGGCTGAAAAACAAGGCTCTGTTCGCTCGAACGCACCTACAACGCCAGCAAAGAAAGATGGACATAATTTGGACAAAGTTGTATCTGCGAAGGAGGCACACGCTAAATTGAACAGGGTCATGACCAGTGGCGAGGGAGTGGAATATCCTACTGGCATCAAACTCGGTCTTGTTACTTTGGCACTATGTCTGAGCGTGTTTTTGATGGCTCTTGTAAGGACTTTCCCTCAAAAAATAGTCGAGCTATTGCAGCTGATATTTCTTGCAGGACAACACCATTATTGCGACCGCAATTCCCAAAATCACGGATCAGTTTCACAGTCTGCCAGATGTGGGGTGGTACGGATCGGCATACCTTCTCACAACAGCTTCCTTTCAACTCCTCTTTGGAAAATTCTACACATTCTTTTCGATCAAATGGGTGTACTTGGTTGCTATTGGAGTCTTCGAGCTGGGAAGTTTTATTTGCGGTGTGGCGCCCAACTCAATCGTCCTCATCATCGGCAGAGCTGTTGCAGGAGTTGGCTCTGCTGGCATTTTCTCTGGCGCTCTAATTATTGTGGCGTACTCTGTTCCACTCGTGAAGAGACCCATGTATACTGGTTTTATCGGGGCTATGTATGGGATTGCGTCAGTTGCTGGCCCTCTACTTGGTGGCGTTTTCACAGATAAAGGTATGAACAATTGTCTTGGTCAACGAGATAGACTTCTGATTATCAATAGCAACCTGGCGATGGTGTTTTTATATCAACCTTCCCCTCGGCGCTATTACTGTAATCGTTATCATGATCTTCTTTACAGACCCACAACGAAAAGCTATTGCCAACTCAGGCTGGAAAGCTCGTATCCGGGCGTTTGATTTGCAAGGAACTCTTGTTTTTATCCCAGCCATCATTTGCCTACTATTGGCACTTCAATGGGGTGGAACTAAGCACCCCTGGGGAAATTGGAGAATCATCTTGCTCTTTCTCTTTTTCGGTCTTTTGATTGCGGGCTTTATTGGCATCCAGTTTTGGAAGCAGGATCAAGCTACCGTCCCTCCTCGCATTACAAAGCAGCGCTCAGTATTGTCTGCTGCATACTTCTCATTTGCCTTGGGGTCCTTTTTTCTCTTGTTAATATATTACCTTCCAATCTGGTTCCAGGCCGTGAAAGGAGCATCTGCAATCAAGTCTGGTATTATGAACCTACCTATGATCTTGACTCTGGTTATTGTCTCCGTTATCAGCGGTATTACTGTTACTGTTATGGGATACTGTAAGTGTTGTACGTCTGAGTATCAGCAAAGGTCATTCATGCTAATAAATCTTCAGACGCTCCTTTGATGATCGCATCTTCTGTTCAATGTGGCATCGGCTGTGGCCTTCTTTATACATTGACTCCCAAGTCCAACCACTCATTATGGATCGGTTATCAAGCAATTACCGGCATTGGAATCGGTCTCGGGATGCAACAACCCCTCATTGCCGTCCAAACCATTCTCGACATCTCCGATGTCCCTATCGGCACATCAGTTATCATCTTCGTCCAGACACTAGGTGGCGCGCTCTTCGTTTCCATCGGCCAGAGCGTCTTCACCAACAAGCTAGTCAAGGGTCTTGCCACGTACGTACCGAACATTGACCCTCTCATCATTCTCTCCACCGGAGCTACCTCCATTCAGAGCAATGTTGCCAAGGATATACTTCCTGCTGTCACATTGGCATATAACAACGCCCTCACCCAGTCCTTCCTTGTCGCAGCCGCCATGGCTGCCACTACCATAGTCGGCAGTCTAGCGATTGAGTGGAAGTCAGTAAAGGGGAAACACATTGAGATGGCTGCAGCATAATTGGATCTTTTGTTTTGACGCATAGAGTTATTGGGAGCGAGCTTTGAATACAGCGATGCGAATCATAGCTACCTTTAGACGTTCCCAGCATTGGGAGTGAAATTTTTAATATTGTATAATATCGTTCAGTGCTTTTTTTTTTTTTTTTGACAATAGATATAGACTCTGAATACTGATCTAGACCCACTTGCGAGAAGTAGTCCAAGTCAAACGTGAATTCAATTCATGTTACTATCAAACATGTCCACCGCATCATTAACGATTTGTTGTCTGTAACCCATCCAGTACGAAATATCAAACTCCGTTGCTCCCGTCTGATTCATCGACATCATCGACTCATTTAAGTCCGCTTCATTCGTAACAGCGTTATGGTAGATCGGGAAACCCGTATCAAAACTGTCGCCCAACTCCGGTAATGTAATTTGATGACTTCGCTGAAAGGTGTCATCCTCTAGGCCCTGATACTCGTGCGTAATTGAAGTTGATGTCGGTACCGGATTCAGAAGCTTGCTCCTGTTGTACGCATCTTTGACTGTCTGATGGGATGAACGCGCGATCTTGATGCCCGCGCGAGCCATCTCGTTCTCCGTCTCGATGAGACACAAGCGGCCTATTGCTTGTTGGGTAGCAAGCACTATTTGTTGCAGCAAGTCGACGTCTTTCGAGGGGAAGCTGGAGACCACGGTTGACAGCACGATCACTGCATCGATACTGAAGAAAGCATTGCCGAAGTATGCGTAGTGGAACTGAGTGATAGCTTCAAAGAATCGCTGCTGAGACTCGAGAATAGCGAGACCGGCTTTCAGTACGGTTTCTCGACTCTGCATGTGCTTTGCGACGTGCGGCCGGTGGAGTGCCATGAGTAATGAATATGCAGCTGTGAATATCTTCTCCCTCAGACGCGGTATGATAGGAAACTGCAGGTCCCATGAAGTATCAGGGTTTGGTGTTCGAATCGTCGACGGGAGCTCTTTCACCAAGGATAGTATTTCGGAATGAAGTCGCTGGATAATAGTGTAGTCTTGCAAGCCGGGCTTGTCTGCTCTGAGAGTTCTTATTTCGTGGATTTTCTGTGAAAGCTCATACGTGAGCAAGCTAAGACAGACGGATGAGGGAACTCTGGTATCGTGGGAGCTGTAGGCTTGTGCAGTCGACAAATGCATACTCTCGATACTTTCGGGGAAGTTGCAATTTATAGGCAGTTCGACGTCACAGTCTATTGCGTTGACTAACCTCGGTCGACCAAGCAATATAGACATATTACTTTTCAAAGTTAATTGTGAACAAATGTGTCGAAGTTGTCACTTACCTATCCCATGCATATAGCGTTATCCACAACCTTTTCTTCCATTCACAATACCAAAATTCCTCCCCCGTTGAAGGCTGAACGGTTTTGCTACGTTGGTGTAGATTGAGTTCTTGGGCCTTCCTGATATCTGATGAGAATTCAAACTCTTCCAAGACATGATTGATCCGAACCTGATTGAATCGCTTAAGGCGTGCCAAGCTTCACCCCCATGACCTCGGTTTTTGAGCCATGCTGCTCTGAGGAGATCATGCTGTACCGTGACTACTGTAGTCCCTTGATGTCCCAGCAGATGTATCAGATTTAAACCGATGTCGGTATATTTTTGAGAGAGCTGGAGATAGTCGATCTCATGTAATTCCTCGATTCTGGCTCCTGGCGGGAGAAACAGCAATGTGATTGCAAGTACTTGAAAAAGCAGGCCTGGGAAGCATCTCAGACTAATTGAAATGGATTCAATGCCAGAAGAGCCCGAGGCACTTGAAGTGAAAGTTCGCCATTCTTTGAAGGCCCTCTTGAAATAGAACGGCTCGACTATATCATATAGCCTGTGTGAAATGGGGTACTAAGTATTTGAATGAATGTTCCATAGGCCCTCGTCATCAATTACATACCAGTTAATCTCAGACAAATAAATATCGACAAGCTCATCAACCACCGTAACACTGGGAAGTCCGGAGATGGCCATCCAGTACCTTTTCCATACGGGTGCTACCGACTCAAGTGATTGCATGTGACTTTCGTGGTCGCTAGTCAGTGGGGTCTGGCTATATTAGCAGGGAATTAAACGCAATATTAACTCGAAGGCACCTTCCTAGCCTCAACGAAGGCATTGCTTTCTTTGGTTGAGGAGTATCCCAATCGATCTCGAACCGTGGGACTATTATAGGGAAACATTTCCCCGATTTCCCCTGAAATTCGGGTATTGTTTGCTACGCCCGCAGCTTCAGGATTGGCTTCGGTAGAGTGCCTGATCAAATGATCAGTGGGTGCTCACTTCAGCCAATATAATAGTGGAACTAGGCTGGGAAAGCTGAGAGGGAGAAGACTAAATGCCTACCCGAATAAAGAGTCATAATAGCATTCATGACCGACCTTTCGAGCATTGCAATTATTGCAGGGCCGACGACGATTGCACTATAATAATATATTAGAAAAGCATCCTTTCCATGGCACTGTACGGGGGAATCTACCTTCTGTTTTCGACGGTAGCAGTTGGAGCATGACGTTATCGTCCGTCTCTTTGGCACGGATGGTGTCTGCATTCTGCAATGTGTTGGCAGTTATGATTCGATTCCTTCGAAGGCAAGACGTGTTTGCTCTACCTGAAACAGACAACGCGGAAGCGGCCTGGAGGGGTTCTTCTTAGTAATGGTAGTGACGTCCTGGCTGAAAATTTGTAATAGGTCTTTGATTGGTTTCGGTGTTTTTAAGCTCCGATGTCACGTGCACATATAGCGTATGCAAAATTGTGTTCCTGAATATTGCCGAAGATCGGATGTCCAGGTCCTGAGAATCGCACCTTGTTTTGTATGGGAAAGCATGTCCCCATGCCTCTATTAATTGCTGTGCTTTTTTCTATAGTTTGAGAAAGAGAATTTGATCTATTCTGGTTCAGCCTGTTAAATTACACTAGTTCTGTCAATATTCTCTTGGTTTTCAGACGCGCAAAAACTGAAAGGCTGTCTCGATATTACATTAGGGACAACTGCCAAATTAGACAAATTTCATTTCTTAACTATATCTAAGCCTCGTAATTGAAAGATCGGAGACCCATCAAATCCATCGCAACTTTTAGCATGGCACCAGACAGAAAATGTCTATCTCACGCCTCCTTGGCGACCTCAATAACAATCTTCTTAGCCGAAACCCCCTTTCGAACAATATCGATCCCCTCCTGAACCTTTCCCAATCCTCCTTCGATAATCTCTGGGTCCGGCTTCGGCACAAACTTCCCTGTCGCCAGAGCTTCAGGGAGATACTTACGCCAAAGCGCATCGCCAATATCGAGATCGACAAGTACGGGATCTCCGCCATTGACTACGTCGTTAATTAGCGAAGGCAGCAGAATTTCCGAATAGAGTGAGACATACCAAAGATCATCTCAACATCATCATATTTACTTGCTTCCGGCCATCGTAAAACAGGAAGCTTCCCCCCGCCAAGTTTGTGCACGATCTCTGTACATATCACCTGGGTAGCTGGGATGGAGATACAATCCACGACCAGATCGCCTGTCTTGAGGACTTTGAGAACTTCTTCGATAACAGTCGGGCTGTTATAATCAATGACAAACTTAGCGCCCAAGCTCGTGACCAAATCGTGGTTTTGTGCTCCAGCAGTAGTGACCACAGTCAAACCAGCAGCCACCGCCAAACTTTAAAGTCCTAAGTCAGTATTGAATGATCTGGTCTAAGGGTTTGGGGTATAAATATGATATAGGTGCTATGGTATTGTACGTACTGGATTGCTGAACAGCCAACAGAGGAACTGCCACCCCACAACAAGATAGTCTTTTCGATTGGCTTAGGATCAAGCGAAGGAAGAGGAAGCCTGAGATGCTTAAAAAGCGCGCATCCAGCCGTGGAATAACAGAGTGGGAGGACCGCAGCTTTAGCCAGAGGGAGGGAATCGGGAATGGCCGCAACCATAATTTCCGCGCAAGTCGCAAACCGTTGGAACCCAGCGTGACTTGGGTTTTGTGTGAGAAGGTTATCACACTCGCCAATGACACGCTGGCCGATCATGAATCGGGTCACTGAAGAACCTAGCTGGACGATTGTTCCAGCGATGTCGGAGCCGAAGATAGAAGGGTATGGTAGTGGAACGTAGGGAGTGTCTTGCATCTACGCGTGTCTCTATTATAATCAAACCCAATAGTTCAACGGACCATTCTTACCAGGTAATCAATTGCGTTGACAGCTGCATAAGCAACTTCGATAACGACCTCATTTTCCTTAGGGTTGGGCACGGGTCCTGGTCCGACTTCACATGTTGCCTTCTCGGTAGGAATCCAGGCAGCTTCGTTGCTAGTGATTGAAGACATCTTTTTTTCACGGGATACTAGTGTGCTGGAAATAGGGAGCGGCGTTGAATCTAGTTAGAAAAAGGAACCTTGGAGGCAATAGACTTGTATTTATGGCGCCTTCGGGCCATCATAAAGTTACCAGCTAGGCGCTTACAGCGGCGGTGGCCTCTGGGACCCGCATGAACTTGATTTCCAATCAACTATGGAACACCGTGGCGTGGGGCCTCCCCCATCCTGCTTACAATACTCGGCGCTAGGACCAAAGACCGTCGCGGTCCGGTCTGGTCTTACGGTCCTACGGTGTCGGCGGTCCATTTCGCGGCCTAAATGCAGCACTCGTTCATGGCGGCGTGCCAAGACAAGAGGCTTGGAAATTTTCGGCCGAAGAAATAACAAGCCACGATCGGCATTTCATGGCCGCCGCGGGAGTCACGGCATATGTCCACAAGCGCCGGGCTGAAGTGGGATATCACTTGGGGGGAAGGATAAAAGCCTACGCTTCACTTCTGCGCACGCTCTTTCCGTTCTTCTAATCGTCTTTCAGCCAGATATGAAAATGACAGCCATCATCCCGTACCGAATCGCTGTACCGGACGAGAAACTTGAGAAGCTTCACCAGAAATTGAAGCTCACTGAGTTTCCGGATGAGCTTGAAGTTGCGCGCAATGGAAATACGGAGTCCCGCTGTACGTATACATCTTTTCCAGCAAGTAGGTCGAATGGGAAATAGCTAACACACTAAAGTATGGAGATCAAGAAATTAACCAACTATTGGATTGAAGAATATGACTGGCGCAAGGTAGAGCGTGAACTAAACAGACTCCCACACTTCCAAACCCAAATTACAGTCTAAGGTTTCGATCCTCTTCCTATGCATTTTATACATCAGAAAAGCGAGGTCAAAGGCGCCATCCCGCTTCTTTTCGTTCATGGCTGGCCTGGAAGTTTCTTCGAGGGATCGAAATTACTTCCTCTCTTGCAAGGAGGAAACGGAAAGCCCGCCTTCCACGTTGTTACGCCTTCTTTGGCCAATTACGGATTTTCCGGTGGAGTCACAAAGGTCTGTACCCGACAGGAAAGGAGTGGAAGCGTACCTGACTGATAATTGCAATTCGAGTAGGGACGGTTTGGGCTTGAACAGCAGGCTGAAGCTTGTCACGGAACCATGCTCGCACTTGGATACAATCAATATGGTAGCTATCTTCTTCTCTTGTGAAGGTTTCTACTAATCCACCGCAGTGACGCAAGGAGTATGTTCAATGTTCGACGTGAATACAGACCCTGCTTATTTGACATTGCAGGGTGACTGGGGATCCTACGTGGTCAGATTGATAGGGCACAAGTACCCTCAACACTGCAAAGCGTCTCACTTCAACATGACAATGGCCCAGGAACCACTATGGACCGCAGAAAATCCCAAACCAGAATACACCGAGTCTGAAAAGGCGGCTTTGAAGAGGGCAGCAGAGTGGAATGAAAATGGAAGAGGCTACTTAAACATACAATCCTCCAAGGTAAGGAGCTCTTCCAGGCACTCAATAGTTCCTCAAGTCAGTTAGTAACGATCGTTATAGCCCCCTACGCTTGCATTCTCTCTCCGAGACTCCCCAACAGGACTGCTAGCCTGGATTTACGAGAAGCTAGTCGGCTGGTCAGACAACTACCCATGGACACCTGAGGAGGTCATAACCTGGACTAGTATCTACTTCTTCTCTACAGCTGGGCCACAAGCAAGTATAAGGGGCTGGCGGGTCATTTGGCGGAGATGTTTGGGCGTGGGGGTGGGGCCGAGGGTGTAGTGAAGGGGAAGACTGGGTATTAAGAGGCTCTTGGAGATGTTGGACTACGCCCTTGCATTTGAGAGAGATACACAGATCCATTGGGCCGTCCTTCATCAATGAAAAGTGTCAACGCCAGTGGATCCACTTTTGTTATAATTCTGGTTCAAAGGAGCACTTCGGTATTGTAACCCCGAGTCTCGCTTAGTTACCGAGGACATTTCAGCCTGTCCTCAGTGCACAGATCTATTTTCTTAAATCAATCGATGTTTAATCTCCCTTAATCCTGCTCGATGTCATTCGCTCTCATGTATACTAGTCTATACGTGTTTTAGCTTGCTCTGACACATATCAAGGTCTCATTTCCGCCATCCAACCATATTTTTGGCTCTTTCTATAAATTTGGTTCACTCCTACAGGCACAATTGCCTGTATTCTTCTGAAAAGCGATGATTATCACTCAGCTGTTGATTTATCGAGCCCAGAATTTTGTTTTACACATTTCCAGACCCGATACTCAATGCTTCTATATCGAGAGTATCCCAATAGACCCCAACGCGTACAGTGAATGTATGCTTGCCGGTGACTATGCAGATGGCATATGTCGGGTCGTACCATACTTTTTACAAGATGGAACGGGATGCTATGGCACACTGAACATCACGGTCATTTTTCCTTACATTTCCAAGCCTTACGCACCTGAGATATAGGGAAAGATTTTTCTGGATTGAAGATGTCTGTCAGGTATTCGCCGGTGACGGGAATGACTTGGCTTTGTGTCACAGCCGGGTTTAGTGAAATTACTGGTCCATATGGGAGGACCCAACGTCACATTACATTCTCAGCTTGGCGTTCAATGAAGACTATACTAAGGGGTACCATGTTTCCACCGAAGGCGATTTTTCTCAGGTGATAAAGGTGAAGGATGGGGAATTGTCCACAGTGTCAGATGTTCCAAGCAGCCCACCAGTGACAGAGGGGTTTGAAGCTTTCAAGACACTAGAGCTGTCAGGGTCGCCCGATAGTTCATCAAAATGTACAATAGAATTCGTCTAACGTCGGAATTCTATCCTCATGCAGGTGAGAAATCGAAATGGGGAGCCCTTGACAAATTGCCAAGAGAAATACTGCTCAACAATCCTTCGCTGGGTTTGACGAAGTATCAAATTGCAAAATATTTGAAGCATTACGTTCGGATTGGCCGTGGTTATGGAAGATGGAGAGCACTTTGGTGAGCCCGGTTACCTAATCGCGCTGCCTTTAAATGTAACAGAGACAGAGTGAGTTTATTCTTGTCTTTGTTGAGGTGACGCTAACGCGTCCTATGTACACGGAAAATAGATACTCAAAATGCATACCCTCGGCTGCCCGCAAACTGCGGGAGCTGGGCATTGATGAAATCGTGGAAGACGTCGAGCGTTCCAAACTCGGAAAACATATGGCTAAAAGGCTCTTCGTGGGATTCGACCCCTTAAACAAAAGACGAGGGATGTTACTAAGCGGAAAGAACCACCAAGTAAGTGCTCGAAGTATGCTATTCAGATTAGGTCCGCTGACTTCAGTCGATGTAGGCGAAGACGAAGCAGCAACCGATGACAGGATAGGTTCCTCTATGTCGCCAGTCAATGCGAATCAGACGCAAGACACACGACGAACCAAGTCGAAAGAGGCAACGACTTCAAGATGACAATTTTGTGGCCTCTGCTCCATTCTGACCGTTCCCAACAACTAACACAAACTTGGCGCGGTACACGACTTCGGCATATTTGGTGCTCATAGGACTTGGCACGATCGTATTCCAGTAGGTTGGAATTCGGCCGAGTTTCTTCGGCCTGTGTAGAAAATCGGCCGTTGTAATTCGGGCTGGGGAATAAAGTTACGTGGGTCCTTGTGCTGGGCGAATGCTGTGTTAAAGCCGTGTTAAAGCCGGGTGCGCAATTTCATGCCACCGTATTTTTAAACTTTAACATCTTTGTAATCGATCAACCCGGACCGAAACAGACCCACTTCGTGCAATGGACTTAAGCTGATTATGCTTGATTTGAAAGTTCGCACAGAAGGGTAAGGTAAATGCTACGACTAGATTGTCTCAAAATTGCGTCATAGCGTGACTGAAGTGTCCTCTGTAGGCTATTTAAATGTAGCTGGTACCCTCGGACTTCCACAGTCATTCAAAAATTCAGGAAAGAAATAGTATCACCCTCATGTCTCAGATCATTACTGTGTTTGGCGCCACTGGCATTCAGGGAGGTTCCGTTATCAAGAGTCTCCTTTCTGATTCCACATTGTCAGAAGAGTTCAGGATTCGTGGGGTTACACGAGATGTCTCAACTCCGGCCGCACAGGCGTTGGCCAAATTGGCGGTCGAGGTCGTAAAGGTACGCGAGTGACCATCCTTCATTGATGCCTATCCCATAGGTCCTACCGAGGCTGACACACGTGTTTGCTATAGGGCGACCTAAGCTCGCCATCCTCTGTTGCCGCAGCAGTCAAAGGCTCTCATACCGTCTTCCTCGTAACCAATTTCTGGGAGACGATGAAACCAGAGGTGGAGATCGCTCAAGGCAAGAACGTCGCCGATGCAGCCAAAGCGGCAGGCATCTCCCACCTAGTCTTCTCTTCGTTGATCGGCGTGTCCAAGGCCACGGGCGGTAAATTCAAAAACGTACCACATTTCGACGGCAAAGCTGAGATAGAAGAATACATTCGCGGCACGGGTGTTCCCTCTACTTTCTTTCTCCCGGGATACTATATGGCCAACTATATTCAGTTGCTGAACAAGAATGAGGATGGGTCCTACACGCTAGCCTACCCCGTGGGCAAGGATACGAAATTCCCGCTCCTGGACGCACCCGCGGATACTGGTGAGTGGTTTGCCAATCTTCAATCTGAGTTCCTTCGTTAACCACCTGGGCCCAGGAAAATTCGTCAAATCAATCATCAAGAACCGCGAGAAGCTGCTTGGTAAACATGTTCTGGGTGCTACTGACTACTACACTACTGGGCAAATAGTGGCGGGATTCTCAGAAGTCACGGGCAAGAAGGCAAGTTTCGTGCAGCTTACTGCTGAGCAATACACTGCAGCCCTGCCTCCGATTTTGGCACCGGCATTGTTGGAGAGTCACTTGTTCATTGAAAACCCTGGGTATTTCGCGGGTGAAAGTCTGACGGAGAGTCTGGCGATTCTGGAGGAGAAGCCTACGACTTGGAAGGAGTTTGTGAAGGGAACACCCGCTTTTAATTAAGCGCCACGGATCTGAGGTATATGAGGAAGATGAGAAGATATATTTTTAGATTGCTTCAGGTCCCACCCGAGCCCTTATCGCCGGGGACCGAGCGGTTGAGCTGTTGAAATGTATACAGACTTATACAGTGGAGTACGACCTATTCCGGAATCCGAGGGTCCATTTTGGCATTGGTGGATGGATAGAAAAGCTTAGCTCAGTTTCACAGGATGGACCCGTCAAATGAGGCTATTCTCCCTCGAGTTTGCAAATAGCCTTTCTCTGTTTCCATGCTGTTTGTGCCGATTGTTGTTCTCATACATATTCCAATCTCTTTCCAGTATTCTGCAAGGATAATTTGCCATATATCATTCCATACTCAAGAGGTCCAGTGTCGTCCTCTCCGTATGCAGATATCGCAGCTATCATTTCTCTAAATTGGGATTCAAGCCACTGTTCCGGATATCTCCGCTCGTTTGATCTTCTGGCTCCTTTCTCTGAGATACAGAATTATTATCATTCCAACCAGATATCATGGGACCAGTATCAAGTTTTCCCTGATTACTGGCTCCATAATAAGGCCTCCTGTACACTGCGCATCTCTGAGACCCATTTGCCGGGTTGACAACGGGAATGTCTTGTTGCACGATTTTGTCGTTTGCACCACCTCGTTTGCACGGTACAATATGTCGGACCAATTCCTTGCTCGAGAATGAGTTCCGACATTACAGTACCAGCAACATAAAGCGTTAAAATTGAATGATGGTTACGTTTTTTCCATTACAGTACGTCCATCTCAGAGAAATTGCAGGGCATTTGTGCGTACGTATGGAATCTGTGTGATTGCATATAATCTTATTTCTTTATATAACCAGCGGGCCAAGGAATATTACAAAAATGTAGAGAGTCATAATCCAAACATATATCAAACGGTGTGACTACATTAAGCTCTCGCACACGGATCCCTATATAGCCTTCCATAGTTCCTCAAGGGGTGTCTCTAACGACCCGTATTCCACTTGTAGGATCTTAAAGAACCTTGCCGGGATGCCGCACAAGATACAATCAAGAGATACAATCAAGGAGAGGACTCTACATGAGTAATACCAGATTTCTCCTCGATTGCGATCTGCGTCACAGCGAGCTCGGTGGTATGAGACTTGCCTTTGTGTGCCGGAACGAACCAACCTGTCTCTTTGAACAAGCGATTCATCTCTTCGAGAGGGATGCCCTTGGTCTCTGGCAAAAATGCCCAGAAGAAAATGGCATTAGTGATGTTGCAGATCACAAAGAGGAGGAAATATCGCCACCCCTGTGACGCAATGGCTGGTCTATATTAGTGCGAATACGATGGCAACAATGGGCTGGAAGACTCACCAGGTTCCGTGATCTGTCCGATCATTGTGTTGAAGGCGAAACTGACAAGGCAGCCAATGGCGACCCCATGAGCTCGGGTTTTGGTATCAAATATCTCCGAGGGAATGACCCAGGAGAGCGAGCCACAGCACATGGAGAAGGCGAATTGAAAGATCCATCCAAACACGAGGAATGCCCAGAGCAGACCCTTTTGTGCCGATGGGCTGGAGTCATTAAACACGGCGATTACAGCAGCCGTAACGATGAAACTGACAGAGCAGGTCAGATTCCCAAGTATCAGGGGCCAACGTCGTCCGATGCGGTCGATGAAGAGGACGGTGCATAGTTGGCCGGCGATGCCCCAGATGTATGAAATGCCTTGGTACAACAGTGCCTTCGCTGTTCCAACTCCGACCTGTGCGTAGATGCTCGGGGAAAAGTATTGGATTGCGGAGACTCCTGTCATCTGGACGGACGCCTGTATGGCCGTCACAAGAACGAGACGCCGGAAAGATGCCGGGTCCTTGAAAAGCTCGTATAGACTCGAAGCGCCGTTTTGCTTTTCATCTTCGATCGTACTCTTAATTTGCTCATATTCTGCCTGGACCCAGGTGTCGTTAAGGTCATTGTTGGAGTGCAGTTTCGCGAGCGTTTGAAGAGCCTCCTCCTGTCGGTCGTGATCCATAAGCCAACGGGGTGACTCTGGGAACAGGAGGATCAAGGCTGCTAGAATGCCGGCCGGGATGATCTGGATGCCGAGAGGCACGCGCCACTGATTGTCACTGACAAAGTCGCTGACCGTCCCATGTGCCGTAAACACTAGAGAAGATTAGCGTTCCCTTTCATGTAAATTTGCCCGCGCAGCAGGAATAATCAGATGGTCTCGACATACCGGCGGTGGTAGCTCCAAATCCAATAAAGAGTTGTTGCAGCCCTGTCAGACGTCCACGAATAGCTGGATGGGCGATCTCAGCTTGATACAGCGGGATAACCATGACGAGAACGCCGACACCGAGACCTGCAATCGACCGGCCACCGTAAAGATATCCGATGTTCTGAGCGGAAGTTTGCAGGGCACCACCAAGACAGAAGATCAAAGAGCCCAAAATGATGGTCCAGCGTCGACCGAGGCGATTGGCAGTGATGCCTGCCACTGCCGCACCGAAGAAGGCACCTCCCGTGAAGACGGACACGACAGCACCGCTACCGGTGAAGCGTGGTCAGCTGGGGTCGACGAGCAGGGAGGCAGGGCTTGGATCTGATCTCCGAGTACTTACATTTCATTCGCCGACGGGTGATGGAATGTTGCTACGAAGGAAGAGGAAGCGACCGCGCCCCCAATGACGCCGAGATCGTAGCTGATTATGATCGCATGAATGATCAGCTTTCAAAAACAGCGCTGCATCCATAGTCATCGAGCAGCATACTCACCCAAACAGAAACGAGCCAAGGGAGGCAAATAGCCCGACGAGGAGCTAGAGAACTTCCGTCAGCTGGCATCGGCGAGTAACTGTCGACCGAGGACGTACCTGATACAAGTGAGGCTTCATCGTGAGACGGAGTAATGACCAATGACGCAAAGACAACCTTCCTTGAGAGAAGTAGGTTGGTGCTAAATGCGCATGCCTCCTGTATATATAGATCTCGCTTGATCTCGTGTCAGCCTCGCCGGCGGGTTCCCAAACTTCCGGCTAATAGGATCCAACGGCGCCCGACTTTCCGCGGCTTCTCCCATCATCCCAGAACATCACGAGTCGCGAACTCGGGTTCCAGCCCGGCGGGGGTTCTATTGGGGTTCGAAAAGCATAACCTAACCAATCGGTCCAATCTGCCTGAACCTTAAGTGGTTTTGGGTTACGCAAAGTAGTTTGTCCCCACATCTATGATCATCTGAACTATTTAACCGTCGGAAATCGCCCTGGGTTCCGCGTCCCTTCCCCGCGTTTCCTTTACCCCAGATTATGCCTCAAGGTACCCAGGGGCGAAGCCATCGAGGACCGCTGAGTCGAGCGGGGACGGCGTATGGTCGCACGAGGACAGCTTCGGCCTGTCAGGTTAGTGATGCCCTTGGAAATTAGCCGAATTTGAACGCTCTATTTCTCATCGCGTCCATGTAGATATGCCGAGCCCGACGAGCGAAATGTGACAACGAGAAACCTTGCTCCTACTGCCGTCGAATTGGGGCAACGTGCTCATCCGAGCCTGCGTCGGCAACGGCAGGTTTTGATCCGGCCAGTCTGACCATTCTGGCTAAGTTAGAGGCGCTCCAAAACGAGGTGGCATCGCTGTCGGACCGGTTGCAAAGACCACGTTCAACTTCCCACTCCTCCCCAGGTTCCACGGTAGTCGCCCACGCTTCCCCACATACTCCGCCCCAACAAGCCCCGTTCACCCTGTCCTTGGATCGCCATTTGCAGCGCGGCAATATCAGTCAGGTGCTGGCCTGGAACATTTGGCAGCCTCATGAGCCTCCTCAATGTCTCACAGCAGGTGAGGGGGACCCCGGGCCCGACACAACGTCATTCGGCAGAGTACAAACGCCTCAATTGCATCAAAACCTTGATCTGAGCCTTTTCCCCGGGTTTTTAGATGCCTTTTTCCGCAACGTCCACGTCTTGAACCCGATGCTAGATGAACAGCAGGTTCGCGCTCAGCTGACGAATTCTCTGCTAAATGGCATTGGCTGGGATGCAGCTTCCTGCCTTCTCCTGCTAGTGCTCGCTAATGGTGCCTGCTCTTCTGAATTTGGCGAGCTCCCGATGACCGGTCCCACCGGTGGTCGAGATGAGCATCGGCGGCTAAATGCACAGGCCTTGTTCGATGCCGCGGAGAACCGTAAGCACACTCTGTGGCGCAGCGACTATCTGACGCAGGCGAGATGTCACTTCTACAGTGGCTTGTTCATGATGGTCTGGATGCGACCGTTCGACGCTTGGCGCTATTTTCTCCAGGGGTTGGCTACTTGCCAGAGGTTGACAGCTCCGGAGAACTGCCGTAGCCCCCGAGATCCCGCGCAGGTTGAAAGGCAGGCTGAAGAGAGCATCTACTGGTCGTGTTGGAAGTCTGAGCGAGAGCTCCGCTTTGAATTGGACATGCCTAATTTCAGTTCGACGGGATATGACCATCCCATCATGTTTCCGACTCTGCCACCCCAAGTGTTTGACCAAGAGCAGCTCAGGGCGTGGTACTTCTATCTCGCGGAAATTTCTCTCTGGCGTTCCGAAATGACGGCACGGAAAACACTGTCAGAGTTTGTGAAACAGCAGCCGAGTGCTTTGGAAGTTCTGGCGGAGCGGATAGTTGATCTCGAGGCATCTTTGGCTTCCTGGCAGGCCTCGTTGCCGGATGCAATCAGCTTCGACCCCGGACTACAGAGCAATGCAGTAGACATACTTCACTTTGTCCTTCAAGGTCGATTGACTTACAACTACGAAGTACTCACGTGGCCATTTCTAGAGACCCAGTTACTCTTCGGATCACACAGAACCGTTCGTGTATCCGAACTGGTTGCCAGGGGCGTACGCGTTCACTACGATCGACTCTCAATCAACCGCCCGGGGTTCTATTATCGGCACCATGGCACTTGGCTGATGCGGCGCTCGTCGACACGTAGTGCATGCATCCTCTTGGCAGTCGCTCGGAGCAATTTCTCCGATATCCTCCCGGCAGGGTGGCAAGCATTGCTGTCAGATACAATCGCAATGCTTGAGTATTGGAGTGAAACGCCCGAGGATGAAACCGTTGTCTTTTTGAAATCAGTCTTGCTTGAATTCATTCAATAGCGATATCATGTCTACATCCCTTCCAATCACGATTCTTGTTACGGTAGCGAAATACAGGCTCTCAAACAAGCTTCGTCTCCAGCATATGTTGCGACTTCAATGCCAACCAGCTGTTCTACTGGGACGAATTTCTTCCCGCTTCTGCATTTCAAAGGCCTAGTCGAGCATTTCACTTTGACTAGTGCCGACTGATTTGGATCCAGTCCAATGCTCTGAAACCCTAACAGAACTCTCGTAGGAAAAAGAGGTATCCGGGGAGTGCCATAGACTTGGATGACATGCCTTCCAGGGCGTGACCCAGAGTTGACGACCGTAGTGCTGACAGTAAACCGATCGAGACCCCAATCGAGAGGGCTTGCGTCAATGGTCACTCCCTCCATGGCAAATGTCGTGTAAGAAAGGCCATAGCCAAGAGGAAACTGTGCGACGACACCGAGCTTGTCAAGGAGCCTTTGTCCAAACCAACGATCGTATGTGATCTTCGAGGCATCAATGTCAAAGTAAGGGAGGTGCGTCTCGCTCTTGGGGATTGAAAATGGCATTCGTCCGCTTGCGTCGACCTTACCGAGAAGGACATCTGCTAGCGCATGTCCTCCTTCTCCGCCGCTATACCAGGCCATGAGCAGTGCCGGAACTCGGTCAAGCCAATCATCCATGATAACTGCACCAGCCGCCACCACGCTGACGATGACACGGGATGACACCGCGGTCACGGCTCTGATGATCTCCACGTCGCGATCTCGTAGTCTCAGGGACCTACGATCGCCTCCAGCTCCCGGAACTAGCGCGTCATTGTCCGTGGCACCGGAACCAAAGCCGGTGCTCTTCTGGCCCTCGATGGTGGCGCGGACTTCCTCCTCGTCACTATTCAGGGTTGGAGGAAGGAGATGGAGCAAGTCCTTCTGGTCTGCGAAGGAAGGAACAACGTACTCGCCTTCGTCCATCGCGTCATAGCCTACTACGCAGAGGACGACATCTGCAACTGCCGCGACCTTCTGGGCCTCTTCGACATTGTCTGTATCTTGCAGCATGATTTTTGTACCAGGAAGAGCCGCTTTGAGGCCCTCATACAAAGTAACCACCTTCGGAGCGAATACGGCTGAGGATCCCCTATCCCCGGTGTTTGCTCTATTGGCGAGCCGGCCGACGATTGCCAACGTGTGAAGTTTGGCAGGATCCAACGGAAGTAGCGGGCAATCCGAGACGGCGTCATTCTTGAGTAGAACCATTCCTCGGGCCGCGGCTTCGCGGGACAATTTCCTGTGCTGGTCACAGAAGACGACGGAGGGGTCAGGAACCGTTCGCCCAGTGCGCACCGCATGCTCTATTTGCACGCGAAGGATACGTGCGCAGGAGCGGTTGACGTCGGACCAGATAAGATCCCCACGTTCCAGTGCCTCGGGGACGTGTAAGGCACGTTGTTGCTGGAAGGGGGCTTCAAGGTCCAATCCGTTCTTGATGGACTTAACGGCATCTCGCAAGCCGAAGATGAAATCCGACAGCACAAATCCGTCAAATCCCCACTCCTGCCGAAGAATGGCGTTCAAGAGCTCGTGATTTTGTCCTGCGAATTCACCGCGAACAGAATTGTACGATGACATGACGGATGAGACTCCACCTTCAACCAGCTGACGAAAGTGGGGGAGGTAGACTTCGTGCAAGGCTGCATCGTCAATTTGTACATCCACGTTGAAGCGAGCATTTTCCATGGAGTTCAACGCGAAATGTTTGACGCAAGTCATGAGATGTTGTCGGACGCCGCGATGCAGTGCGAGACCGAATCCGCCCAGAAGTATGGGATCCTCGCCGTAGGTCTCCTGTATGCGTCCCCAGGCAGGATGTCGAGGGAGATTGATACAGATTCCGGCAAAGAAATTGGCCCCTTGGGCACGTCCTTCTAGGCCGATAGCGTCACCAACCCGCTGTTCGAGGTCAGTGTCCCAGCTCGCACCCCTGGCCATTGACACTGGAAAACAAGTAGAGGAGTGCATCACGATGCCGCGTGGACCATCGGTGAAGCGTATTCCGGAGATCTTCAAGCGTGGAACTGCCCCCATAACGAAGGGTTCACGATTATAACGGTCGAACAAGATGCCACGAAGACCTTTCCAAAAGGGCTCATCTCCGTCTAGCAAGGACAGTCGTTCTGCTACAGTCATACTGGCCAGTAGAGCAAGCGTCGCTCGTTCGAGCGTCTGCCCACTTTGAACCATTCGGACGGCATCGTCGAAATCGAAAGTCTCGTTCACAGAATGGTCCAGGGGGTTCTCGGTGGCGATCTTGGCCACTGGTTTCTTAAGCATTGTGATGTGTTGGATCTGAGAATAGCTCGGAACGAAATGAAATGAGAGAAGAATCTGTTCAACGTTTTCCTATTCCCGACGGCGGCAATGTAGTTTGACCATATTCTGAGCCTCGCCCGACCTTCCGCAAGCGCCTCCATGATACCGAACGGAAAGAGCCCGATGTTCCGCAAGTGCCCTAATGACTCTGTACGGACAGCGCCCGATTCTCCGCTTCCGACCCAGATCCCTGTCGTAAATCCAATGCTTGTGCGCTTACAGTGCATTTTAACCTTTTATTTACCCCATTGGGCCCATGGGGGTAAATATGGAACATCTTTACGGAAACTTTCCATTCAGCGGGGGATATTGAAGTCGTAACTATAAGAAGCCGTCATATCGTCCACGAATTACCACAGTCAGACTCCCACTTCATCACATTTGATGTGATTCAAAACAATGTTTGGATACCTCAAGCTCCTTTCGGTGCTCGCTGTGAGTGCGTTGGGTCGAGCAACGCCTGCGATTGAGCAGCGTTCATCTCCTGCGGCCTTTTCCACCTTCACCCACAATCCGATTTACTATCCCCTTAAGCAAGCGCCTCTGTGGCGAGTGTGCTACGCCCGCGCCATTCAGGTGCAAGACAACAGTCTTCTTATGACTTGGGAAGATTATCCCTATGGCGAGAGCTCTACCAATCTTGACACCTTCAAGATCCTTCGATCCATCGATGGTGGCGCGACCTGGTCCAACTTTTCCCAAGTCGCTGACACGCAAAATGGATGGGGCATGCGCTTCCGTGAGTTGCATTCAAGTTTGTTATATCTCTCCTGCTAACTTTAGCTCAGAACCCGACATGTATATCCTGAAAAATGCCATCGGAAAGTACCCTGCTGGAACCTTACTAATCGCCGGAGTTTCGACACCATTGAGCCTTACCGGTGGTGTCTACATTGATCTCTATACTTCCAGTGACATGGGCCAGTCGTGGACGTTCGCTAGTCACATAGCGTACGGTGCTGGACCGGAGACTGTGAGGACAGGCGATAAGGCTATTTGGGAACCGTTCTTTCTGGAATACAATGGCAGCTTGATCGTGTACTTCAGTGACCAGCGCGACCCCGCACATTCACAAAAACTCTCACTGACAAGCACCACGGACTTGCATACCTGGTCTGCCTCGACGGAAGTGGTTGCCTACTCTACTGTCAACGCACGTCCTGGCATGGCTGTAGTTTCTTACCTCCCCACCACCGGACAATACATGTTGTCCTACGAGTACTGCAACCCTCCCTCAGGCAGCGGCTGTCCCGCCCATTATCGACTGGCCTCCAATCCGACCGAATTTCTCAATGCCCCTGATCAAGCTCTCACCACGACTTCCGGTTACACGCCTGCTGGCTCGCCGTATAGCGTTTGGTATCAATATCCAGGCTCGAACAACGGCGCGGTGATCCTGTCGACCAACTCAGACACGGATCTTTTCGTATCTAAAGATAACGCCAAAACGTGGACAAATGTCAACGTGAACCAGTACACGGGTCAATCTCGCCACCTCTTGCTATTTGATGATGACGGGGCAGAACGCCTTCACCTTGCTACAGCCGGCTTTTACGGCTGTTCGGGTTCCTGCTATAACTACGTCGCGAACGGTGTCACGGATCTTAGTGTCTTTGGGTAGCTCTAAGTGGGTTCTCGGGATGTGCTTTTAATATTCGAAAGACACACAGATTCCGTTAGGGACGTTAGGGCTGAGATTGAACTACTTCGCAGTTAGTAGCTGTGGTAGAGCCGATTGACAATGTACTGGAGCTCATGCCCCACCTGTAGAATATTTTGGTAGATGTTCGTGAATTGAATAATGGTCCTAGCGGCACATCAACAACCAATTATCAATTGTGGCTCAAGCCAGGTAGTTCATATTTGGGTAGCACATTTATCAAAATAATGCAAATATTTGGATAGAATGACTCGCTCAGTGTGTTGCCTGTCCGCTGGGTGGTCCTAGTCCTTCTGGTTCAGTTGCAACTGTATAACGATTTTATGGCAAGTTGATGCGAACCGGTCTTGGAGCTACGACCTGGACAGAGCTCCGGAGCAAGTTGACATGTGCAAACAAAGCTAATGACAGTGAAATTGTTATCGATATCTTCCCCTACGGAATTGTCACCACAAATCTGCACTAGAAGGGACATTCATCTATCGGAGGCTCCCGACTTTTAAAAAGCCAAAATTACATCTGGATTAAAGGCCGGAGATTGGTTCGTAGATAATATACTGTCGTTTGCCTCGCTAAATAGAAAGAACGATGAGCGGGAAATTCATGGATGAGAAAGTAAATGGTATACAAAATAGAAAGTTGCATATGCTAGGTGTGGTTCTCAACATAATGGGATATGATTTCAGATAAGAGTTGAAAATAAAGTGGCTGTAGAAGTCGACCGACAAATTAGGATATATTATGATCAGGTTATAACCTGCATAGATACAAGCGGAAGCAACAGGCAGTGAGCTAAGCAACTCTCCCCGGTATTCAAGTCAAAAGACTCGCTTCACGCTGTCATCGATGTGCCTGTAGCGATGGCAACTCATGCAAACCACTGTCCGCTTGGCTCTCAAGCTCGACCGGTGACCTGGGAGTCTCGGGAGCCGTATTATAATATCCGGAATTATTCGCATCTGGGGATCTTGACCCAGAGACGCTTGATCCAGGTTGAGTTGACCCCGCCGCATTTGACGCAGGGGAATTCAATGCAGGTACGCTCGACATCAGGGGACTAGGGTCCGTGGGACCTGTCGCGCTCTTGTTTGACTGAGATCGGCGGCGTAAGAAGAACCAGATCAGCCCAATCAATATGGCTAGCCCTGCGACTCCACCAACAACTCCACCTGCAATCGCCCCAGAATTCGACGACGAGGATGAATCGCCAGTATCGGCTCTTCCAGTATTGGTAGCGGACTGGCTCGTTATGGTAGGCGCTGTCGTGGATATTGTTGATGATGGTGTAGGTGTGGAAGTCGGTTTAACGGTAGCTTCATCAAATGATATCACGCGGTTAGCTAATTCATGTGCGACGGTACAGAAATCCGTTAGCAAAAATACATACCTGAATATGCGATAGCGAGTAGAGTCATACTCTGGTTCAAGTCCGAAATGTCATCGGCGCAGCCGACAAACCCATTCTCTTTCTGAAAAGCCGACGTTCCATTGGCACAGCAAAAATATCCATTTGCTTTGTAAACATTTGCTGTCTCATTCGCGCAATGCTTGTCATCCAGCAACCTAGAACAATCCGCGTCTGACGGACAACATTTGACATTGTCCTGGCCACTTGGACACTTTGTGCCGCCCGGGCAGCACGCGTGCCACGGAGACCAGGTTTGACCACAATCTGTTTCTGTGCTGAGACAGGATCCATTTCTGCGAACTGAAAGCCCATACGGGCTACTTAGCATGTCCGACATCTAGGCGGGATCGAACTGGGTTCCAGGGAGAAAGAAACTGTGACCCAAAAGTCAAACGAGTCTTAGGAAGCTTCCTCGGAGCTGGCGAGAGGCTCGCGTATATCACAAGAAGGAGGAGGGTCAACCCGATAAAGTTCGAAAATTCAAGGCCGATGGGGCTGAAGGGGGCGCTGGGGCTTATTTTACCTTTACCTCTTGAGATTTTAGCCCCCAAAGCAAAGCAATAGAGCAAACAGATAACTGGACATCAAGTCAGGTAATATGTGTAATGTAATTACCAGGGTCTCACCCATTTTACTAGCTTATACTGGTCTGGAGCGGGCCGGGCTCATTCCCTTTCCACCCAGCCTCCAGGATTACATGGGATGACATGAGTACGGTAGACTGAATTTCTTACCAATACATGTACAATAGTGTCTGGCTAAAGGTTAGCTATCATTGCAAAGATTCACAAGCTTCGAATATCAACATACCAGTCTAACATGAGAAGACACTGTGAGTATTGAACAATCGAAATTCTCCTGGTTGAGGGCGGAGATATCAGATTCGCTTTTCCACAGGCGGGATATCAGGCCAACTATATCTAACGTAACAAAAGGAAACCGTGTACTGTACCTGCCTTTCTCTGTCAGTTTACCAGCCTATTGGGCAAGAACTCCATCATTATGTGAGCGTTGTGGGGTGGAGACCCACCATATTTCTCTTCATTGGATATTATGAACTGCTTCGATAACCCATAAAACGCAGGGGTCGGGTCATCCTACTGATCAACAGTGCCACGATGGTCAAAAGTACTTACACCGGGTGTGGGCGGTGACATTTGAGCTTCGTACAGAGATCAGAAAGACGGTTAACGAAATCTAAGCTTGTTCTGCCGAAGCCATAAGAAGGCTAAGAAGTGTTCAGCGAATCTCTATAATTGTCAAATTCACTGGTCAAGACAAAACCTTCGGCCAAGAATACATGTACAAAATCAAATATCTGCTCCTAATACTATTCTCCGATGACGTCGCTTTCCAACTCGTTGTAATAATTTAACAATCATGAAAACAACCAATATCCCAATCATTACCTGGCCTAATGTTGCAGCTTTATGGCCAGTATAGTGAGCAGGCGATAGGGATGGTGAGGATGAATGCATGGCTGGTGAAGTGACAATAGTACCATAATGAGATCCGTGCGAGTGGTCTTCAACGGACTTGTCCCTTCCACTCGAAGAATCGGGCATCGCTGGAGGCTGCTGTAAACTTGGACCATACTGTGGTTCTTCGGAGAGTTCATAGCTCTCATCATGCTCCCTCATCCATTGCTCATAATCGGTTTCCGGTCTTTCCCGCTTGGGCTGTGCGTGTATTTTTTGTTGTAAAGCCATGTTGGGGACCGAAAAATTCCTAGTAGGAAGCCTGATTTTATCCTCGGTGACTCATGGATTGTACAGCATGTTCCCATGTGTCTTGGTATCACAGGTTTATATGTCTGGGCCCAAAAGTAATGCAGGGAAGATGTTTGAGGAAGGAAGGTCACATAACCAAACATAAAAACAAACAAATACGACCAGCTGCTCTTACGAGCGATGATCTATACTCCACTAGGAAACGACGGTGCTGTGACCGGGACCGAATATTACGTTAGCTCCAGGGATTCGTGTCTTCGGTCCAGCTTGTTATTTATTGGATTTGCTTTTGTAACCATAACCAGTCTGTAACAAAATCTCCAGCGGAGCAAAAACACCGTTCACCCGGAGATTAGTTACACCGCCAAGTCTTTGGTGTTTAAGGGAACCGTCCGAAGAAATACCGACGACGGCTTTCAGATATCGATATCGAGGAAAGTTACAATAATGTAGATTGGCATTTCACTGAAAGAAAATTAAGTTAATTCCTCTGTTAGAAGACACGCTCGTGCTCGCACCTATACAGTGCGAAGCTCCCGCCAATTTATAGTGATAGCAATTGGACCCTTATTCTACACAACCAATGCGATATTTCCAGGACTGTTCTCAATCACAGGTGGAAATAGGTCTTTCGTAGCTTTAGTAATCTAGCAATCAGATTTCTCAAAATTTCCGCGAGTGGATGTAATCGTCTATGGTAGACAACTAGGCTTTCCTTGTGGGGGTACTAATCTACCCCATTTCAAGTCAAAGAAAACCCGGGCCCTAGAAGGCGGCTAGATATATCAACTCAATAGGTCATCTGATCAAGGTCCAAAACTATATGTCAGACCGAACTATTGATCAAAAATATGTGAATTGTCATTAAACATGCAGCTTTCAGTTAGTTGGGATTCTGGCACGTGATGTCAACAGTGGATCCTAGACCCTGTGGACCCTGAGGCGGTTACCTGGTAACATACCCGTACCGTACGAGGTCAAAATTCCGCATAACGTATTTGTAAGCGAGTGGGGCATCTCAAAACACCATACTAAATGGGATAAATTACAACCTGGTATCTCAACAACGGTGGTCTATAGGGACTTTGCCTTCTAGCACAATGCATTTGAGGTAATATCTAGGCTCTTTAGGGAATTTAGAGAATCTTTGTAACATAGTGAATAAAATATATATGATTCTGGCTCATAGTAACGTAATTTTCGATACCGTAACAATGTAGGCTTTAGATTTCGTCAAAATTGATATATAGTGTTGAAAAGCCTTATCAACAGCTATTGGCAAATAACAAAATAAAATAAAAACGTGGTTGTTGAGATATCAGTGTATAATGTATTTAGTATGGTGTTTTGGGTTGCACCACTCGCTTACATGCACCGCTCGCTTACAGAATACCTTATAGCTTAAACATCTACGTTGCTCGGACTTGGATCGGGACATCTCTTCGGGGCAAATGTTAGCTTAATGTTGTGTTAAATACAGAAGTGATAATTAATGCAGATGTCTGTCTACGAGATCAGTTTTGCTATATAGCATTTAAGTTAAGGTGGCATTGTTTAAATATGTTTTGAGATCCGGTGCTAATGAGTATTATGCCTATTGTGGAGCGTGGAAAGGTGGTACAACCATTGAGAACACACAGCTTAGAATCATTAATACACCACAATGCAAATTGACGGTAAATCGGCTGCCGAAAATGGCTACCTTGAACGCCGATTTAAGCTCCCGTTTTACTGGTCCGTATGCTCAGGGGAAAGGATCAGTGACGACGTGTGGTCAGTATCCTTCAATCCGTTTGTAGCCGCTCCAGACAAAAATAGCAAATCAACTGTCTTACGGAGCCGTCAAGACAGGTTCTCAATATTTAAATGGTCTCCCTCCCTCCCTGTCAACTCATAGCTTTTCTACGGTCCAGCTCGCCCGCAACAGTCGTTTCTGCATTACAACTCTCCAGCATTTCTCCTAGTTAACTGTCATTCTCGTCCTACTAACCGGCTTCTTTTCCATTCAATTTCTTAAAGCTTGCCATTATTCTCTGGTATCTACTAGGCTTATTGCTACCTAAAGCCATGACTGTTTTCGGACTCTTGCGATTCCTACATTAAGGCAAAGATGGTAGCTAGTCCCGGGTATAACTTTCGGCGTCGGGGATGAGTTTATGCGCTAGGTACGTAAGCAACAAAACAAAGGAGCACCAACCTTCAAGCATCATATGGAAGGACTCGAATGATGGCACGTGATAGCTTGCTGGTAATGCAGCAGTCCCCGTATCTACCGGTATATCTACCGACGCTGTTGGGAAGGACTTCAATACTTCGTCGAGTATTTTGACGGCTGACTGTAGAATAACCGGTCGGCGAGCTGGCAGTCGCTTGGTACGACTAAGCTCTTGTTGTAAGATTCTCCTAGTCTCATGTGCCTCCTTCCAGAGGGTCGCTCATGTCGCCTAGACTCTTGCCCTCTGTAGAGTCTTGTCTCGGTCTAGGCAATTGTCGTGGCGACTCGACGCCATCATGGCTCGGGAGTCTACTATCTGAATTAGTAGTTCGAAGCCTCAATGGAGAATTCACATCCTGCAAAGAGCTTTCCAACTTGCGATTCTTTGACAGCGCTGCATCAGTCGCGCGTGTACGCAGACATACTCGTTTTGCCTTGGCACAATTTTGGCACGGGTCTTTTCGGTCACATTTTATCTGTATTGACATTCAAGTCATTCAAGTCATGAGTCGCTGTGCATCGCATATAATATTCTATCTTTTTGAGATAGCACGCGTTACACTACGTGAGGGTGAGATAGTCGAGTTTCTGCATGATGGGAAGGATGAATGAACAAATGACCTACGGCTGGCCGATCTCTCCTTCTGAATCGTGGAGTATATTCAATTGACACGGATCCACCTGCACCTTGGGTGGTCATAAATTCAGGCTTCTGGTCAAGATGAGAGCAAAATTCGAAGTCGCTTCGGACCCGAGGTTTCGGATCGTCACCTTGTACGGCATCAATAGCAGCCATGCAGAAAATCGTTTATATAACGCCTTTTTGGCTGGCAGCGGCTTGTATTATCTATCCCATCCGACGCGACGCTGTACTACCATATAGTTTACACTTGAGACCTCGCAATGGTATTCTACTATGCACTAACTGCCTGCAGAGTGTCCTCGCCTATATTATCCCCTGTTGCCCTCCCTGAACTGTTATCATTCATTTGTCTTCTACACTACCAACCTTTCGACACTCGACCACATAATCCCCTGGAGACTCTCATCAGTCAGCTACTCCTTGACCAAATACTTTTTTGGCTGAGGTTTTACAGCACTAGAAAGCAAAATGTATTGGGTATATGGCCATATTTAGCCTACAGCATCTAGGCAGAACACTTCGCAAGTTCAGCCACCACCTCCTTATTGAGACTCGAAACAAGCAGCTCCTCATTCCCTCCCACATGTACAGCCGCCTCTACAGCTCCATACGTATCGTTGCCACCCAAACAAAACCTCACCGCATCAGTATAAACTTTCCCCATCCGAAAGCCCAAGGACTCCAAACTTCTCGTCTTCAAATACCGCTGAAAGCTATCTAACGGAGCCGCAGTGGGCAATCCTCCTTTAGCCTTGGCCTTTTGAGAACTATAGTCCTTGTGCATTCGATCAACCGTTTCCCACCTCCCGATCTCTGTGAGAATAACACCAAGACTATAAATGTCGAATCGCCGACTAAACTGGATTACGTTCCGGCTGTCAGGGTGTGTGCACTGTGAATGGCGATATCGATCGCAGAATTCGTCTGCTTCGGGCTTGATGGTCATTTCCTCTGGGGAGTCAGGGCGAGCGTAGTCGAAACCAGAGAGGTAGGGTTGGGTGATACCAGTGCCATCATTGATTTGTGTGAAAAAGAGGATGTTTTTGGAGTTAAGGTTCTTGTGGTACCATCGCGAGACGAAGAGCCTGTGTAGGCCTGTGGCGAGCTTCTGCGCGAGTGCGAAGCGCTCATCGAGGCGTGGTCTGGTGAACTCCTTACGGTTGATCAGGTCGTGCAATGTAAACACTTTAATTGACGAACTCCCAGGCAGCGGTATGATGGTCAGCGGTATGCGATATACCAGTCCGACGCGGGAGCTTGGCTTGAATTCAATGTCGTCAATAATCCCAAGGGAGTCGAGCGTTCGATATGCCTCGAGATTCTGGCTTGTATGGAGAAGGCGAGCGAGATCAAGACATGTATTTAGATACGCGATCTTGTGCTCGGAGTTCTGGAGAATCCTGTACGCACGCCATTCAATCAGGACATGGTATGTCTGGCCATTGTGCTCGTACGTCGTCAGATACCGCGCCATGTCGACTCCGATGGAAGCAAACCGTGAGCGAGGCAGTAGAAGCTGATTGGTAGATGGGGGGCCCGGTGTGGATTTCTGATGCTGGAAGGAAGTTACACTGGCCGCGGCGGAGAGGGCCTTTCGCCAGTGTAGACTAGCTCTTTGAATTTCCAGGAGGCTTTGAGGATCGGATTCAGCAAGTAGAGCCTGCATTATGGATCCTTCAAGAGAAACCTGGAGAGGCTTTGGGATGAGATTGTGCAGGCTGGTGTTATAAGCGTGGATTGTGGTGATAAGCCCCTTGAGACGGTCCTCCTCGCTGATCGCCCATCCAAGGCGTATCAAGGATCTTGACAGCCGTGACTTGGATTGGGTTTCGTTGTTATTAAGCTCCTCCTGGAGCCTGCCAAGGACTGCCGGCAGGTCTTGAGACTCGACCTCGGAGTTCTTCTTTGCGCTCTTGGGCGAAGTAGCGGCCGCAAGAAGAGAGCCGATGGTAGCAACAGTCTGATGCACCAAAGGCAGCAATTCTGGCGGGATGGTGCAATCCGTAGAGGATCCATGGCTTGCAGGGTAAAGCCCAACCTCTATTGCCCAGCGCAGTAGCACCTCCCTCTCCAGTTCGAGCTGGCGGAACAGGGTCCTTGACGTCTCGGAGTACTCACGAAAAGAGATGACCAGACGAAGGACATCAAGTACGGTGGAAACCAGGGCTGCGGTCCCCAACCCGACGCCGAAAGGATCCATCTCGTATTCACGTGGAGTGCGACGAGGACTGGCCAGAAAGCCCACGGGCCCTTTTCTACAACGGCTTTACCCCGCGCTAGACAGATTGCGGCTGAAATTGAGGCTGTGCTGTTTGGGAGATTTGATTACATATTTTTCAGGTCTGGCACTGTCCCCGTCCCCTTGACCCCAGACACTTCTTTGGTCTACTATACATGGCGACCAGCACGTGCATCGACACGCGCTCTGCGTACGGGACTCAGTACTCAGCTTCGACAAATGAAGTAACCGAGTCGCAGAAGACACGTCGAAGCCATTATGAATTGTTTCTCTTCATTCAAGACCTACTACGGAGTGATGGAGGCATCATCCTGGAGTTCCCGATCGACGACTGGGGTCAAAAAGGGACCATGGACATTTCTCTGGGAGCTGGCGGGTTCTCGAGCGTCCATCGAAAGATCGCAAAGGGCCGCTGGGGGAATCGCAGTGTCATGGCATATAAGCGCATCAACCCGCATTTCGACCAGGATGGCAGATTTGACGACCAGGGCACTCTGGCACAGGTTGTCGACGAGCTGAAATTGCTGGCAACACCGGGGATTCGTTCCCATCCTAATATTAACCAGCTGAAGGGTATCTCGTTCGAGACACAGGAGCATCGAAGCGATGGTTATCTATTTCCAACATTAATGTTCGATGCGACATCAATGGGCACTCTGCTCGATTTCGTCCAGGATCTTGTTAGCATGGTCGACGGGCCCTACTGGGAGTGCTGTCTGGACGTTGCGCAGGGCCTGCAAGCTCTTCATAGTCAGGGGTTTATCCACGGAGATGTGAAATGCGAGAATGTCCTTATGTTCCCAACAAATAAACTTCAAGGGCGCAATTTCATAGCGAAGCTGACGGACTTTGGCTGTTCGATGACGGTGGATGCGGTTGAGCCAAGGCAGTACACAAGACTAAGGGGGGCGACTATCCCATACGACGCCCCAGAGGCAGACGCTGAAATACAGAGCGGCCATCTTCCATTCACAGACACCTACTCATTTGGACTTTTGGTATGGAGGGTGATCATCGATGGAGCTGATCCGTTCAATGACCCGCGGTATCGATCTTCGACGACGGATGATGGTGCACGCTATAACTATACTCTCATTCGAGAGGATAAACGGAATGGGAGCACCCTCAGCCTGGCACTGAATCGAGTATTTGACCCTGACCGCGCACTATCCCCCGACACGAGAGATGCCTTTGGTGAGGTGCTCAGTATTGCTCTCAGCTCTAAGGCCACAGAAAGGGACCTTGGTCGCATAATTCAGATACTGAGTCCTCCCCAGAAGTGAGTCAACGACCTCGATACAAGTCAAGTTAACATTGATCTTAATAGCTGAAGTTTTCCAAAACGAGCCTTTGGCCTTAGCCCACCAAACGCACACCTGTTGCGAGAGTTCACCAAGTTCGAAGCAGCGCGATTCAGGGGGCACGCACAAGCAAGTCGCGGGCTGGCCGAATGGAAGTCCATACCACCGAAGGCAGACCAATTCTACCAGGTAATCCACAAGTATGGAAAGCTTGGGTCAGACTTTACGGGCTTCGGCCTGTCCAGGCTATCGCCCATGTCAGAAGCATTGAGGGATATCCTGGTGGCGATCGAGGACGTATACCGAACGTGCGGCCAGCCACTGCCAGTCATTGCGCCTCCTTCGCTGTTAACATCCGACGACCCGCAGAAGGACCCGCGGGATGTCTGGGATTCTATGCTGCGCACCATATTCTTGATAAGTAAGGACACTGGTGCAATGGTGGGGAGATCTGTGGGATTCTTTCGACTATTTTCGGTTATGAAACGTAAGGCGTTCTCAATTAAGAAGATAATATTGAGTGTTAATGATAGCATTGTACCACAGCCCTCAAACAAGCAGCATCCAGAAGCCTTAAGATAGGTGCATCAATGAATGCGATGCTTGAACGAGCTCCAGCCCCCAGAAAGGAACAGTTTGGTGTCCTACAGGTAACGTACACCAACTGGGAGGTATAGCCATTACTAAACTGTTCAATTAGGGCCTGTCTGACTTCGATGGCGGAGTAGCAGCCGCGGACATGGTGGCAATGATGAACGAGGAGACCATGTCTAAAACAACATCACAATCCTTTGAGCCCGTAAGTAACAGACTATCCCAAAATAATATGTTGCTGATTACGAAATAGTCTCGCAGTTTGGACTTTCACCTTCTGACTACTTGTCGCCTGCCGTTCCCACTACAGGCGCGACTCTTCGCTGATGTCTCGTCTCATGCACGATCTTTGGCGGCCGGTTCGCACAGGGGGCCTGCGCTCATGGAAATGGCGAACTGCTATAGTATGGGCTTTGGTATCGAACAGGATCAATCTCGCTATTTTGCCATATTGAAAGAGTGCTGTGAAATCGAATACAAGCCCGCTCAACAGTCCTTATCGCAAGTTCATACCGCTATCGGGCTGCACCTGGCCGAATACATGGAGTCTAGACCTGCGATGCAAGACTCTAGTGGTACGGGAGACAAGGGTGACGTGATCAATATGACTGTATCTCAAATCAACCAGCGCAACAGTGATGGCGATCTTCCATTGATAGCAGCGTGCCGAGCAGGGAATCTTGACGTCGCCTGTCTTCTAATTGAAAATGGGGCCAATTGTGCCCTAAGAAATAAACTTGGAGAGACGGCCATGCACTGGTTATGGATGTTCGACGACGCCTCGTTGCCGAGGATCGTCGCTCAACTCGCTCACAGCGGCGCCGATCCGAATGCAGTTGCGAAAGAAAACCTTTTATACACAGACGACTTCCAGTTTCCCTTGGTTCAGGGTACAGCATTGCTCCGAGCTGTTTCACAGGGAAACAAGGTGGCGGTACGCGAACTGATCCTGAACGGCGCATCGGTTTCAGACGCTTCAGGTCCGATGATCTTTCATAAACAGCGCCATTGGAATTTAGACGCAGTGCAGCTCGCCTGTACATGGCACGACCCAGAGGTCCTGGAGATTCTGTTGGACGCTTCGCCGTTTTATCCAATCAATGCGGACACGGACATTGGCCTTGGGTTATTATACTTCGCAATTCAATGCCAGAACACGCACCTCAGGATGGCCCGATACGCGTCCAGTCACGGCTCCCAACTACAGAAAACAATCCAATTACTCCTTCGCCGCGGAGCAACCAATTCCGTGGACAGCGATGGGATGACAGTGCTTCAACTAGCCGTTCGCAGTGACATGCCGGAAATTCTAGAACATGTTACTACCGTCGATATTTTTATGCGGAACATAGGCGCGCAAGTCAACGGCAAAACCGTGTTTGACTTGGCTATCGCTACCGGTAGACCCGCCGTCTTTAACGCTATCGTGCGAGCTAGTGGAAGTGTATATCAAGATTCCGTGGCTAAGCATACCCTTGTCAGCACAGTCAAACTTGCCCCCGGGAATAACTATTTCTTGAAGAGGACACTGGAGCTGGGATTGCACTCCATTACTCCAGATGATAGGAATACGGCACTAAAGGTGGCTTTCCAAACGTGTCAATGGGAATTTGCAGATCTCCTTATGGAGCATGGTGCGGATATTAACGGGCTTAGCCACAGTCAAGAGACATCTTATATCGTGTTTACTGTGTTTGGATCCGTGCTCTACAACGCATCCGAGGCCAGTCTAGCTGCAAAGCTCGACTCCATTTTGTCTCTAGCAACAAAGCACCACCAACAACCAGAATACCTCGTAATACCTGGAATGCGTTCATCCGCCCTCCATCTTCTTGCCGGCAAAATCTCGACCCTAGACCACGATGAGGCTGCCCGGACATACTCCATCCTTCTGAATATATTCCCAGGAAAGCATCATCTGGAGGCAAGGGACAGTCGAGGGTGGACACCGCTCCACATGGCCGTTTCTGTACGCAATCTCGTCGCCGTGCGCGCACTCCTTGATGCGGGCGCAGACATCAACAGCTTGGCGCTCTTCGAGGGGTATCCGGTCGGGCCATCACCGAAGGACATGCTATTCGGCCAGCTCTTTGCGGGAGGTTCCTTCAATGACTTCTCACCCGCCTCGCGCAACAGGGGAGATCGGGCACTAGAGCAGCTGATCAAATTGTTTTCGCAGGGGCGTTTCTCGCAAATTGCGAAGCGTAGCGTGACCCTCCGAGCTGAGCAGCGATGGATAGTTCCCCCACAGCACAGGGAAGTAATGGACTACGTCGAGACTTATTCGTTGCAGCCTCGTCGGTCTCCACCGTCGGTGCCGACGTCTGTCACGGCTCAGTTCATTGGTGCTGTGGCCTCCGGGGAGGAAGGTGAATTCATGCAAGGGTTTGACGTGTCCGGTGTCGATAAGATCCAGAAACGTATCCAGTGGAACGGCGTGGAGAGTGTTCGCTTTTTACGCAACCAGGGGGTTCCATTGCTGCGTGATATGGGGATTTTGGATGCTTATCTATGTGATGAGCCGGGGAGAACCGGGTGATGAGACTGTGATGCCTGGTAGTGTGCTAGATCAGCAATATACTCCCACAAGTGCATTATTAATAGAATAGACGTGTCGGTTGTCTGAGTCCTAAAATTAGTGTTCGCAAATGTGATGACAGCCATGGCCCGGATAGGGAATCCAAGTTGGGAAGTACTTAGTACTTATCAGATGATATTGCCTACTGGGTTGCTCAGTGGGCGTACTCAGGGCGGCGGGGTGACTAACCCACCCTGTGCTCGGGGAGCGTCAACATTATAACAAAAGTAAAGTATGCCTTTTTTTCCAAGACTCAACACATATAATTCATTCGTTCATCGCCATAATTCGAGTAGAGTGCTGTAAGTATACCCCAGTAACACTCATATTCTTTTCAGAATTGTATCTCTCAAGCCATTCAGAGGGTGCATACTTCTCACACAGGAATAGCGTATCTTGATGGCTCAATGAGGCGCCGCATTAGTGGCTTATATCATTTAAAGCCAACAAGACATGGGTGGGACTTCCATGGATCTTGACACACTCCCTGGGTGGCCTAGGAGTTATTGAGGTAAGGTGAAGACTGTAAAGTCGATTTCGATCATCCCCTTCCTTTATTGGCTCTGATGGCTTGATATGGCGCTGATAAAGTTGCATGTAAACGGGCGACGCGAAATAGTAGGCCCATGAGCACCTCCACGTCCCAAACTCTATTTCATTATGAGCATATGTACTCACCAGATCAAAAACAATGGTTTCTCCAATTTCCGTGTCGACTTCAACGCTTTACCCCCATAGATCGCCATGAATCAATGAAGGTTCGATTGATCGGCCTTCGGACTGTAGCGCACCAAGGAGCCACGGGAAAACAACGTCGACCACCTGCTTACATTGCGGTCTCAAATTCGGGCCATGGTCCATTAGTTTGACTGTCAAAATTCGACAACATCTTTCGTCTGGTTCACAAAACAGCTCGCCAAACTATCTTCCCATTTCACAGTTTGCCCAAAAACCCACAGACGGTTGGGACTGAAAGGACTTTTCAACGGTGCGTTAATTGGAAAAGAACACGAGAGCACTGATGTATGCAACAAACGGGTTGACATATGTTTCGCTGTAAATGAGCTAAATAAGCCTGAATTCTATCAATCGAATCTTCTGATATCTCTCGACGGCAATCAAATAAACTTCTGCATTAGAAGTGTTTCTAAAGGCGGATCCCACTTGCTTGTCAATCTTTTCCAGCACGGTTAGATCGATACTTAGAAGTGCTACTACTTCATACAATCAACTTCTGCAATCTTGTCGTTTCTCGCAGAGCCAGCCTGGCTACCAACAGCTGATGCTACAATCTTGCCGTCTGATTCCTGAGCCCATTTAATGGGACCGGGAGGCAAAGTCTTCTCTGGCGAGTCCCAGTTCAAACGCTCCCGGATGTTATTGTCAAGATCCGGTAGCATTCCATGCTTGAAGGGAAAGCCACCGCCAAATATGCTCGGGATATTTGCATCCTCAATGTGCTCCCTGAGAGTGGGCAGAACTTCAGCGTCGAAGAGAATTACGATCTTCTCTGCTGTATAAGGATCGACCCATCCTTTGAGGTATTTCCAGATCGTAGCGAAATATGAGGGGGCATTGCATACCTGTGGTAGGTGATGTCAGTATATGTAAGCCGCAGCCTGTACGTCGCACGTTGCTTCTTACAAAAATGCGCTGAATAGTCTCAGGGTAGCAAGTTGATAGTAGCCAACTTATTTCCTGAGCAAAGAATCTAAGACTCCATCCTTGCTTTAGCCCCAAATTGGATGCGTCCACAAGATAAACGAAGTTGGTGATCGGAACCGACGGGTTAGGCCGGTCTTCCATCATTGAGCAAAGGGGAAGCACAAAACGGGTAAGACTGTCGTGGAAGATAGAGGCTGACTGTATCATATCCGGAGTTGGTGGCTGATGTTCCTCGGATGCTGGATATTTCCAGCCGGGGGATTGGCGACTTTTCTCCCAGCTTGCCAAACCATCTTTATCAAGGTAGGCGAGATCAAACATGCATATCGGCACACCAGTCTTGCCTCTGCGACCGGTCCAGTGGGGATACTGAATATTTATGTAAGTGGGTTTGCCTAGGGTAGAAGTAGCTACCACTCACAAATTGCCGAGCCTGCTCAAAATCGGGGATTGGGATTATGTCGTATAATTTCAGCACAGCTTTCTCCTGGCGAAATTGACATGCTTCTTTGAATTGCACGAGCGCGGCATCGGGATCAAACCGACGGGCAGCCAAGAATCGTCTGTTCATGTCAGCCCGAGGGACAGAGACGGAATCCACTTGGTAAAGACGCACAGCAGGGTACTTGGATCCGATAATCCATCACACAAATCTCGGGTTTCATGCCCATCCTTTTGATTCAAAAGTTTGTGGTCGTCGCATAGCCGAGTCAATGATGCAAACGAATCCTCGTGGTCGGGAGGGATCTTAAAGTTCAGAATTTGATGGATGGACATGCCGATCATCTAGAGGTATTTGGATAATAGATCGGGGAATGGGGGATAGTTGAAGGCGAGGGGAAAACGAAATAAGGTTGGGTACGAAGTGGCTTTCTGGTAGTAATCTGCAGCGTCACGAAAAACGGAAGGCTGACGCGTGGGGAAAGGGATCTCTACGGGATGTTTACTTAGGCCGAAGCAAGTTCCACTGATATACGATGGTTGCATTCAAAAAGGTTAGCCACACCGCCGATGACGCCGAATACGAGCCTTGCATCGTGGCCCGTGCATTTAGCGTTACAAAGAGGCACTTCCCCTCCGGCCCTCTTCCTGCTGCACCAAGAATTTCTCGTTTTGTGCAGTAAAAATGGCTGCGACCAAGACTTTGACGGCTTCGTGCCGCTGCAAGAGTGTCCAGTTTACTGTCACCATTCCCACCGAATGCCTTCCCTTGAATGTACACTTGTGCCACTGTAGCCTCTGTCGCTACACCCACGGCACACCATGCAGCTTTCATGCGCCACTCCCATATGGAGTGGAGCCTCAGTTTATTGCGCCATCCAGCCTCGAGAAACTAACTAGTTATCAACACCTAGCGTCAAAAGCGACGGGCTACTTTTGCAGTACTTGTGGCTGCCAGATTGGAGGACTTGGTAGCCAATGGACAATCTCTACCGCGATCTTCGACGCCAATAGAGAAGATGAAGGAATTTGGAAGTTCAACGCCCACATGCTTCCGAACTCTGCGCCGGATGGAGGACTAGCAGCTGTTTTTTCGGACATTGACGGACATAAATTGCAGACCGAAAACCTAGGTCTATCTCCGCAGGCTATAGCTGGCAGCGATTCTCAGCCACCCGATCCCGAAAGCAAAGAGCTCCTCGCGCAATGTCATTGCGGCGGAGTGTCTTTCACAATTGCCCGACCCAGTGAGGAATTCATCGCAAGCCCTGCAGGCAAAGAATGGATTTCACCCTTGGACAAGAGCAAGTGGCTTGCAAGTATGGATCTCTGCGACGACTGTCGATTGGTTAATGGCACACATGTCGTCAGTTGGATGTTTGTATCGGTTGATCATATCACGCCGCGTCTGCCGAAGGATTTATTGATCGGATCTGCGAAGGGCTATCGCTCCATGAAAGATGTACTCCGAGTATTCTGTGGCACATGCGGCGCAACTATCTTTTACCATTGCGATGAGCGACCGAATATTGTAGATGTGGCGATGGGCATCCTGCGCGCGCCTGAAGGCGCTATGGCTGAGAACTGGAGCGTGTGGAGAGCCGGGCGACCGTCATGGCCGGAGAACGGAATGCGATATCATGCTGGATTTAGTCGTGCGCTGATCGAGGGAATGAAGCAATGGGGGGCTGAAAGGGGGCATCCACAGGAATTCAAGCTGGCATAATATTTTAACTGTCACGCCGACGGTTTCGTGTGACTTTGAAATTTTCTTCAGCTTCAAGATATGCTCTGTGTATCTGTTGTTCTAAATATCAGGTTGGAACCGCAGACTGAATACCCCTGATGTTTATTCATAAAGAAGATCTCAGCGTATCGAGAGCGGATCTACCTCACTTTGCCAGGAATTATGCCAACACATAGCATACCGCAGAGCGTTATTTCTCCAAGGGGTAATCAACTTGGCAACACAAGACTGGCAGTTTGCTTTGCCATACTCGTTATCACCGTTGTCCTAGAAAGGGTTCCTCTTGGTTGGGATGAGGAGACCTTGTGATCGTTTCAATTGCGATCACCTGCCGCATAGGTCTTAGCTAGGGCTCGTCCTACCTTTCTTTGTCTCCTAGCTATATAAACCAGAAAGTGTGCCGTTATAGTCGAGGTTCCCCTATCCCCCTCAGTGCCTCCTATCGCATGTTTGCCAACCATTTGGACATCACCTTTGGTTTTTGTTTCTGTCTCTTTCAATTTCTCTTCCGTTTTCTTTTAGTGTGCGTGTATGTCCTTATCATCGGGCTAGCAAAAAGGCGGATCTGCTATTGAGCGCCCTTGCCTCTACGCACAAATTGTACCTGTTTTAATTATCCATCAGTAACCAAAGCCATGGCTGTCATTGACGAGGCCCCAGCCGATACACCTGCGAATAAGGTTGCCGTCACTACCACACCCTACAACGTTGTTTCGAACTGTTTTGATTTCGAAAATGAAGACCAATTTATAGACTGATTCGAGCAATAGATAGCCCGTGGTCGCCGAGTAAGTGTCGCACCTATAGTACTGCACCACCCAAAAAGGTACAAAGAGGTACAACACCAAAATATTTCAAACGCGTATGACTTAATAACTAGAAGGCTGTGCAAACTCCGAAACAAATGGGAGATACCTCACGTATACGCCTATAACCTGTGAGAGTTTTAGACCGATCGGAGCTAACTAGACCTCAGGACCCTGGCGAGGAAAGGAACCTGAACTTAGGCGTGTGCGTACCGTTATGTACTTTTATGTCCCATAGTTAAGGGCATGCTAAGACCTGAACTCTGGCAGAGTTCACCACCCCCCGTGGGGTAGGGTATTAACCACGGTTGTTGGCTGCCACGCGTCGTAGTCCTCTATATAGTCCCACTGCTGTATAGTATTATGAATACTACGAGCGGTCGCGCTAGTGAGACGATAATTTGACCCTTAAAGGTAGGTAATAATGAATTGCGGTCTCACTCCGAGGTTGCATTTCTTACACACGATAACTAGGTCTGTCGAAGGTTGGTGAAAAAATTGGGTTGCCATGGTTAATGATAATGTAAGATATATATCGCACAGTAATGAATTGCTTGAAATTTGACGAATGTCGAATACTGACTTTGGGGTAAAATAGTCTACAAATAAAGTGAGATAATAGCTAGGGAGCGTCTAAACCCCTGAATTAATTGCTACCCCTCCTGACCATTATAGACTAGCATTATCGAGGTAATTGCATACGTCTACGGTGCTGTGGTGGCGTCTTTGGTAGTAATTGTACGCCGTAAAGGTACAAGATCCCGTACCCTAACAAAACATCTTTAAATTTCAATCGCCATTTTCTCGATAACTAATAAGCTGCGTATGCTCCGAAGCGAATGGGGGATATTTCAAATGGTCTATTATAACTGACCAAAATTTCGGACCGATCAGAGGCCTCTAGACCTTAGCAGTCAGGTCGGGCCCACTTTTTATGTCCCATAGTGAAGGGAAAGCCCTAGCCTACAGTCAGCCCTGACTGCAGTTGCCCCCGTGGGATAGGATTTATCTACCAAAGGCGGTCACCTACGAAAAATCGATAACACTCTACCGGCGGCCTACACTAGGAAGCTATATAGGAACCTACCTAGGGGCCGGGCGTACTTGCTGACATAGCTACGCACGGGCCATAATTGGTTATCCACCTTCAGAAAGGCCATTAGCTTCCGCGATAACGATCACTACGCGTGTGGCGCGAAAGAAACAGTCAGTCACGTCCTAGTGGACTATCCAATACTACAGGAATTGAGAAGAGAATTAAGAATGAAGGTTAGGGACGCATTTAACAGCGTGTCGAGTCTGCTAGGAGGCTCAAAGAAGGTGAAAGAGGTAAGCCAGAAAGCGTCTCTCGGGCTAGGACGGTCACAGCCGTGCTAGACTTCGCCGAGGCGTCACAACAGTTTCAAAGTCGCGCGCCATAAGGGCAGCCTAACAACGTGAACGGCAACTAGGCCACAACAGGCCTTGACGAGGCTCTAAGTTCGTTACCAGGAAGTGGGACATCACACATATACATACACGGATATATATAGTTGCTGTAGCCTGCATATCGCTTTGCGAGGGGTCGGGGTAAATGAAATCATCCATCCATCCATCCATCCTATATGTCTTTTCGTTGTTTACATTAAGAAGGGCATATTATAGCCTTCGTGGAACATATTTGCGAACAATCCCGCATGTTCTGGGATGATTCCACTTTTAATAACCCAATATATTATGAACAGAAAGCTACGGAACACAGCGACAATATGGGTAGTGTAGCTAGCGGAGAAAATGTCGATTGACCCGGCCATCTGGCATTGCATCACGAGAGCTACCTGAAGTAGATGTCGCTAGCTCTTACAAACCACCAAACCTTCTCCTCGGAGACCGCTTCAACAACGTTCTAGGAGTGTTGTCGTCTTCTATTCTGCTTCAAATGGCCCTCTGGATGCAATCGTTACTTGCGAGATCTAGGGATCTCTTTAGGCTGAAGTATTTCAGTCTCGGATTCACCACAAGTGCATTAACAATCCAGGAATGTCCACCCTTGACTGCCAACATTAATGGATCCTCAAATTATCGATTCCTAAGTTTGACATCAATTTGATCATGGCCTAGTAGTGCTTAGACCATCTGCAAGTCACCGCCACGGGCGGCGATGCAGAGTGCAGTGTCGTGCGTTGCGATCGTGCTTTCATTGATGTTCAGACATACACGGCGTTGATTGAATTGATTAACCTTTACAAAAGCGGGGACCACCTTATATATTTGTCCCCATGATGCACTCGATGGCAGCAGTCACCAAGATGCCAGTGACCATTCATCGCAGTTGCAGCGGGCCCCACTAAAAACCTCAAAAACCCATGGTTCAGAAGCCGTGACTTTACTCAATACCAAGTCACTTCCGAAACCATTCAAATATTTCTCATCCAAGAGGCTTGGTGAGGCCATCGGCAACCTGATCTGTGGTTTGAACGAATTTCAGTCCAGCGCCTTGAACCTCTCCTTGCCACTTGCGTTGGATTTCCATATGCTTAGTGCGGGAGTGGTATTGCCCGTTCAAGGACAGAGCGATGGCTCCTTGGTTGTGACTGCAGATGATCGTTGCAGTCTTTGCTCATGTTCAATTCATTGAGGAGCTTTCGCAACCAGATTGCTTCTTTTGTCGCTTGTGTCTGTCCTAAAAATCCAGCCTCATTGGTTGAGAGAGCAACGACACTCTGACGCTTCGATTGCCAACTGATTGCTCCACTTCCAATATTTCCAATATGAAGAGGTACCCGGCTGTCGATCGTCTGGTGTCGCGTCATCTACCCCAGTCTGCATCCGTAAAAGCTTCCAGGCTCTGTGGCTGACCCTTGTATGTGAGCCTCAGATCTTTCGTGCCTTTTGAGGTACCGCAGAATTCATTTAGCGAGTCTCATGTGTCGCGGTCCTGGATTTGATAGGTGTCTGCTCGCGATGGAGACGGCATATGCAACATCTCCCCGAGTCCCAAGCATAACGTACATCAGAGATCCGACAAGACGTTGATATGTCTTTTTCTGATGTGGAGAGCAGTTGTACTCTGGAGCACTTTGCGGACATATATTCTTGCGAGGGCGCTCTAGTTCGGTTGCAGTCGCAGCTGGCATGCTGCGATTTGGTAGAAGAATGAAATGAAATAAAATGTGTACTATTTGTCCCGAAACTGTTGCTATCAACTTCCACTGCCTGACTTAATTTACAATAAAAGCAAAAGAGCTACCCTAAAGCTATGACCTCAGCCCTTGCATGTAGGTCCTTCGAGCTAAACCCTGTCATGAAAGAAATAGATCCTTCCGGAATTACCCATTGCTTTGTGATCCCGTCCCAGTAACTCAAGTCTCTTCTCATGAGTTCGAATCTCACCTCCCGCATCTCACTCGCCTCAAGAAGTACTTTTTCAAACCCCCGTAAGACCTTCGGTGGCGTGCCTGCAGGAGTAGTATCCTGGGGAAGAGACATGTAGAGTTGCGGCACAGCAAAGCCCGCCCGGTGGCCTGAGTTCGTCACGTTCACCGTTACTACAGCCACGGTAGACCATAAGTCTATCAGCCCACCCGGTGCGATACCTTTGGAATGGTCAGCGACTGGCTTCAATGGGCCTCCAATTAGCTCGACATTGAGAGTCTGTCCCATGTCGAAATTGGTGTAAGAAAGTCCGAAACCGAACTCGTACAGTGGCTCCAAGCCAACATTTGCGTCAAAATGTCGATAATCAATCATCTGACCCTCGACAAAATCAGCCTGCCATGCATTCGGATCTGTGATAGTTCCTGGCAACTCAACGAGTGATGGACCATAGTCTGAAGCGGCTTTAGGAACGGTGTAGGGGAGCCGACCGGAGGGCTCGATAATGCCCCAGAGAACATCGGCAATGGAGTTTCCAGTCTCTTCCCCAGGGTAGTGTGCTGCTAAAATCGCCGTCACGTTCTCATTGTCAGCCCAGGGCATGAGTGCCACTCCGGGGCCATGTGTAACGACAATGGTGTTCGGGCACAGCGCTGCGGTGCTTTCTACTGCCATGGTAGCGTTCCACTGGAAGTCAATATCCGCTCTATCAATCCCTTCTGTTGCGAAAGCCTTCAAGAATAGTAAGCAGACTTGGGGTACTGGATAAATCGACCGGAAGCGTCCGTCCGCAATCTCATCATTGTCAAAGAGCCATTGTACCCGGCCACCGATGAAGTTTATCTTTTCCCGTAAGGCTTCGAGCGGGCTCACGAGGTTGGTATGTCGAACCGTGCCAGATCCGCCGCCTATGTCAAGGGTGCCCATTTTGTTACCAACCGCATCATCGCCATAGACGAGATACACTGAGCCGAGCGTTGGATCAGGGGCATCGTTTCCGAAGACTGCAAAGCTCGTCTCATTTGTCAAGGGGAGTGCTCCGTTCACATTCTTGAGCAACACTGTGCCCGCAGCACCCAATTCACGGATACCTTGCGCATGATTGCCACGAACATCGCGTGCCGGGACCTCGGGATAGAGGCTAGACCAAGGCGAGCCATGGCCGTACGTATAGGTGAGGAACGAAGCCCCGCTGGCAGGGTCAGGAGTGGGAAAATCCACGTCTTGACCGAGCCGAAAATATGGTACCATAACTCTTTTTGCCATGTCGTCGAGACGGTCCGCTGACACACGACCCTCATCAATAGCCTTAATGAGCGAATCGCCGAAGTAATACACGCCGCTCACGGTCTGGTTTCCTGGCATCTCCATGTCTAACCCTGCATTTGCAGTGTCTTCTGTCGAGTGTGTAGCACCCCAGTCAGATACAACGTATCCGGGGAAAGCCAACTCATTCTTGAGGATATTGCGCAGAATTTCTGAGTTTGCACATGAGTAGCTCCCATTGACGCGATTATAGCCACACATGACAGACGCTGTTCCTGCATGAACGGCATTGGCGAACGGCCAAACATAAAGTTCGTGAAGTGTTCGGTCGTCAATGTTGGCGGAAATTGCTTCGATCACAGTTCCATCCTTACGAGTACTAGGGACACGTTGCGTCTCTTGCTCGTTGCAGATATAATGCTTAGAGGCAGCCTGAACACCGGCTGCTTGAATACCGGAAACAGACTCGTTCATGGCGACACCAGCCAGATACGGGTCCGGCCCAAAGCCCTCCCAGTTCCGCCCACCTTGAGCATGGCGGCCCATGGGCCCCGCTGTAGGTCTGTTTTGTATTAGTCGAAGACAGCAGAATTAATCATTGAAGGTTACATACCCAAGATGCACGTGCGAGCCTTTCGCCCTGAATTCTTGTCCAAGAGCCAATCCGCGTTCGTACATGAGGCGTCTGTCCCATGTCGCCGCCACAGTGATCCCAGAGGCAAAGACGCTGACACCATCGGAGCGAGCTACCCCAGCTGGGCCGTCGCTAAAACATAGGCCATCGAAACCGAGACGTTCAATTGCCGCAATCGTGCCCACACAAGGTAGAAGTGGGGAGCCACTAGCTCCTGTGACGAGGCCGACTTTCTCGGAAGTGTTAAGTTTAGAAACAAAGTTGCTGGCCTTTTCCGATGCCTCGGCCAATGCTATACCGATGTGATTAGCTATAAGTCATACTGAATTGTCTTGGATACCTACGAAGAGGGAGACTCGGAGTCACGCCAACCGCGGAGACATACTGCAGGGCTGTGGCAAGAAACATGAGACTGGAGGGGTCGAAGAAACGCATGCTGAAGACTGGGTGCCGGTAGGTTGGGCGGCGATGCATGCCGTCGTTTGGGAGGATTTCAGGTCGAGAGATATCTACTTATTTATACCCCACGGCTAACCTCAAAGTAATGTAAGTGCCGCTGAGGTCTATAACCAGCCGCAAAAAGTATCATTATGTAGTATATGACCTAATTGTTTATGTGTCGTACCCGTGTCCGTAGTCGTACTCGTACACAAAGTGCGCTAGACATACGAAGTAGGTGTCAGATCTACGATCAGTTACTAGACCGTGTTTATCTTTGTTTGATCTGAGAACACAAGAAGCAAAGGATGGGAGCCGCCAGTCCAACTCCGACAACCCTTAAAGAAGCATGGACTTGCGCGAGAGAAGGCGTATAAAGCCCATTGTGTCAGCCAGCTCAGCCTGGTGAACCGTGAAAGGCAGCGCTAGCAAGGGTTTGTTCAACTGTCGCGGATTAAAAGGTAGCTAGTTATTTCCAGGGGTCCAGAGTGCCACAAGTTTGATCCGGCGCTAATGCGACTTGCTTACCATCTTGAGCTGGAAACCAATCAGCGTGTGCCGTCTAGGACGATCACACATTGACATTCTCCGTTCGCCTCATGCTTCGGGCTCTTCACGGCTCGCCACTTAATTTTTCTAAAAAAAACAACTCAAGGTTCCCAAATAGTCCATATTGGTTCTTGAAGCACACAAAAACGTTCTCGAGCGCAGTAAAAGCCCCGTTTGAAGTGGGGTTCAAAGGGCCACAACCTGACAGCATAGCATCAGTAGCGAAGGCATGTCCGTTGACTCTCATAAAAAACGAACGTTAAAAATGCCGCTCACGATATTGATACGTTACTGGATAATTTTCCAGTTCTGCCGAGCTTCTCCCGCCCTACCCACCACGTGAGGCGACAAATCATGGTGCGTATCTACAGGCTGTATCTAAAAGTTCAGTACACTTGACAAATCAACGGGAAGCAATTATACGTATGCACAGCCCAAGTCCACATAATAACTGGATCCGTCCGGAAACAGAATTTGCGCGGATACGCGTACTCTCGCCCTCATGATTTGTCGAAATAGAATTTGTGGCCATGCCGCTATCGTTGCCTGATGTTCACAGCACCACAGCCTCAACGTGGAGTTTGGCGCGTCTCCTTCGCCCATCTAGAACGGTCCGAGGGCCGGAAAAGGAATAGTTGCTTTGTGGGGGTCTGCCCTTTTTCTCCTAGTTTAATAGTTAGCTGTCCCTCTTTCGCAAATTTTTATCTTTCTCCTTTTTACGCTTGTGTCGTCTAGTTCATCAGAATCACATTTTACACTTGCAAAACTCATCAACCAAAATGTTAGGCTGGCTCAACTTCACGAGCTTTAATCGCACCCAAGAAGCGAGATGGGATGCTGATGCAGTGACAATGCAACAATTTTCGAAGTTTGAGAATTGTTGCATTGTCACTGCGAAAGTAGCAGTACATATATTTGCCGAATAAAAGGGTCCTCACATTACTAGCTTGCTCTAGTTTTACAGCACCCGTTTGCTTAGTTACTCATTTACTGCCTTACAGGGGGGGCTACTTGCCAAGCCATTTTACGCTTGGTAAGCACAGATTGGGTCAAATATCCGCTGCACCAGTTAGTTCCATGAATTACACTTATTCTATCCTGTCAGAGCCTACCATTGGTCTCACGTAGAACTAGCGCACTGTATCTCTTGGAATCGACAGTTTTGAAAAGCTAGAAAAATACTGTATTTTATCGGAACGTCTGTATAACATAGTCTGATGAAGCTCATAGATTGCTAGAAATATAACAAAAATACGAATCGGATGCCTAGACGAGATAATGCGCTGTGTTGAGGCCAAAGAAAAATTCATATCTTACTTGCGCATTGCACTGCGCAATTCTACCTGGCTAAGTCACGTGTTGGCGTTGCAGTAAATTCGTGTTACACTGCACTTTTTGAGGAAGCCGGTCACTGAACTCTCGTCGTCGCTGGGTCCAGTGGTCACACTTACTGTACAGTACCCACCGAGTTCTCAATGAGCAGTTGGTCATGGTAACGTTACTTGTTGGTACCTGCCCCTCAAATAAGAGGCGGCTGCGGGCGAATTTTAGCAAGTAGAACGTTAACATGTACACCGAAAAATGTAAAACATGGCTTCCCTTGTCTGTCGAGTTCTTGGAAATGAGCATGGACATAGGCCTATCTGGTCTGCAGGAAGCATGTGCATTGTCAATCGGGTGTTACGGAAAAGGCCCATGCATCACTAGACCCCCATACCAGCATGTTTGAAATATCATTATCCCCTCCCCCTTCTTTTATTACCGAGAACTGGTGCTTTGCCCGTTGCTTCTTTGCAACCCTTGGCTCTTCCAACATCCTCTTTTACTCCCGACTATAAAACCCCTGTCACATGGCCGCTTTGTCGCTGCTGGGCTGTACTGGGTACATACAATTAGGGTGGTCGATAAAGTGGTTATGGTTATGACGGAGGAACCGTCTAGTTAAGCCCTCAATTCCTTTTTGGCACCTATCTGCACCGCATCTTGCCTCTACAAAGTTGAAAGCAGGCACCACAATAGGGATAATCTGTACAAGGAGCTCGGGACGCATACTTGAGAAATATGATCATGAAGCCACTCGGAGCTCAATTCTCCGTGGATATCGTTAGAGTAACGGTTGTAATAGCCGGCTCGTCTTCGTCGGCGGTTTCTGGCCCTGTAGTTTGTGTGGTTCCCTTATCCTCATTATCAAGAGCGTCGACTTTAGGGGAATGTAGTCGCGGATAGGTGATTGGGAGTGGCTTAGTCCACGAAACGGCCGCTGATCTAGTCGCGGTCTGAGGGCCAGCCTTTGGGACCGACGGTTAACTCGCTTCCGTTTACTAATCGAGGAAGGCGTCGCGGGTAAATGTAAGGAAAGGGGTTCTAGTGTTTGCAGGATAGAGTCTGTCAACTAGGTAAGACGAAGATGCCTAATAAACAAGTAGTATATTAGAGGAATATAGAGACTGATTCTTAGAGAACCTCTGGGTTCTCTAGGACTGGACTATTTAACATAGGGGATCAGCGTTACAGTGAGTCAACGCTGACGCGTTGCTGTCAATCCTTAAGGGGTACGAGAGGGGTACAAGAGATCTATACATGATTCCTGAGGACTCCGTTACACTACGTCCGTTAGGTATTTCAACGTACCTTAGAATACTCAATATTACAGCCCGAAAATTCACAATTTATATAGTCACGGGTCTTAGCTTGTTTGTAACGTTTGTAACCTAACTTAGGGCCCTAGACCTAGTACTAGGTCTAAGTCTCCGACCCAAAACCCAACCCAGTCCGGGTTGGGTCCGGGTTAGGTTGGGTCATGCGGAAGTCTAGTTTTGCCTAGTTCTGTAAGAGATAAGGTAAACTTACCCGTTCAAAGTGTGAGCGTGGATAATAAGATAAGACTCTTCCTCCTCGGATAAGGTAGTTAGGAACGATCCCAAGGAATATAGAAAGACGTTTGGCTTTTAATGGTCAGACCGGTTACCCTTATAAAAAAAAATCTAACCAGGTTAGGAAGGATACTGCACCTCTCCTTCAGGATCTCATGAGCGAGGTACAGTCTGCATTCGCAGCATCAGCATCTGTGCTTTTTTTACCAGTATGCGATTCCAGCGCTGGGCCCATTTCCTCGACTAGGCCTTCAGCAGAATGAACCAGCTGTCCCTAGAGGCCGCTCGTTTGAACTAAGCGTCAATTTCCAACAAGCAAAAACAACTATTCGATACGACTTTGAGCCAACCAGTTATCTCGCTGGTACCTCCAGAGATCCATTCAACCAGCTCACGGTAAACCAATTGCTCGCAAAGCTTGCGATTGGCGGAGCCAATGTCAACACGCAACTGCACTACCATTTCCAGAGTGCGCTCTCTCTTTCGAAGCAGGATATCATTGCCTTGCGAAAGGTCAAGTATCATCTTTCCACCAAGCAACATGTGGTTGCATGGGACCTGAAAGGCGATGATAATCTAATGAAGATGTACTTTTTGGCCTTGGCCAAGGCTAAGGCGATCGGGGTGTCTTCTAGGAGTTTCGTAATGAAAGCTGCTGCGGGGGCCGATCCCAACATCCAAAACTCAGCCGGCTTTGCCATGCTCGATGAATATCTCCGTGAGAAGGGGCTACTTGAAAATTTCTATATCTTAAGATGGGATTGTGTGGATGACTCTCCGCGCATCAAGATCTACTTAGCTGACCCGGAAGTGACCATCGCAAAGGTCAAAGACTTATGGACCCTTGGTGGCCGGCTCCATAGTCCGGCTATTTTGAAAGGCTTAGACTTGCTCCTCAGACTTTGGAGCCATCTCAATGTTCCAGAAGGTGTGCGTTCCACGACGGAGCTCGGAGAAACTGAACAAGAGGATCGGAGGAGTGGATTGACATTTGCTTACGAATTGAGGGCGGGGGCTTTGGAACCTGAGCCCAAGATGTACTTCCCTTTAGTTGGAGAGAACGACCTGTTTGTGGCAACAGGGCTCGCTTCTTTCTTTGATCACTTGGAATGGACGCATTTAGCATTGAACTACGTACTGACCTTTCTGAGACTTTGTGAGTGCACCTTCGTCCTGTCTCATTACCTTGCTGCATGCTTTCGTGCAATAGACTTACCATGTTCCAAGTTCTCATGTCGATCTCTCTGTTTCCAATCGGCTCATCTCCACGCTTTCCTTTTCGTACTCGGAAGCCAAGGGCCCTTACGTAACTAGTTACTATTATTCGTCCAAGGTATATCCTTGGATGGGCTCAAGGGAGCCACTTGCAGGGCGAACTATGGGAGAGTGATGGGTGAATAGGTGCAACAGTGTAGAAGAGAAATGGCAAAATACGTACCCCATCAAAAAGCGGCAATTGATGGTCTATCTCCATTTTAACTTTGATTGTGTCGCTCGATACTTATCCCCTAGGTCTAATCTTATGGAAAATTATCATTGAAACCAAAATTGCCTGTCTTCGGTAACCTTTGTACGGAGTAAATTAGGGCTATTTTCGAGCTATAGAGTACAGAATTCCTCACTAGTAACAAAAAATCCTATTTGAAGTGTAACTTGACCTCTGCTTATTGAACTTGAATGAAGTGAATCCTTTCAACAAGTTAGATAGTAACATTTCAACATTGACGGTGACCAATGAGCCTAAAATGAGCCGTAAAATCAAAAGGTCCAGCTTCCAACCTGTGGCCCTCAAAAGGACCAGGACCACAACTTGCTGTCCCGATCCCATGATGTGCATAGTCAATATTCAATTCAGTCTCGTCTTTAAGCTCGGAGAGCTCATGCGGGTGTTTCGCGCCGTCCAACTCAGCAATGCTGTACTTCCGCAGCGAGAAATTGAAAGGGGCATCCATCACAGCCTTGATTCCCGGGAAAGCTGCATCGGTCCCAGCAGAGGCAGAATAGGGAATATCCAGAGGCGAGGAATGAACACGCACCCAGTGCGTGTCGATGCGATTGCCGTTCTCCTGAGGCCATTCGTATGGCGTTTGTAGACCGTCATCAAGAGAAGCCGTGTACGTGCCAAACCGAGAAGCGCTCTTTTTGTCACGATAAGATTCTCCGGGACCCCTGCCAAACCATGTAGCTGAATCGTAACGACGGGGCAGTCGAAGCGTGAGCCCAAGCCTAGGAATGTATTTTGGGTACGAGCCGGTGAAGTCGCCGGTGACGTGGAGAGTCACAGATGACTTTGTGATCGTGTACTCGAGTATGGCTTCCAATGCCCACTGCAGCACCGTGGGCGCCACTCGGACTTTTGTCTTGATAGATACGCTTCCATCTTCGTTCGCATGCCAATGGGCGGACTGGATGAGCATGCTAGTGCTCTTCACACGGAAGCGTTCCCACTCAATACAAGGACCGGATGAACCAAGGTCATTCTGCGTCATGGCGCGGTACACTCCTAGCTGTGGTCCGCTGTGGAAGATCTTGCCTGCGTCGGTGGACCACGACAGGTCGCCCCTGATGAGGTCGTAGGTGAACTGAGAAGAAAAGCTGTTCGATGTGATATATAGTCTGCCTTGGCCCTCGCGTACAGACAGTATGGACTGTGGCAAGCTCAATGTTGCAGGAATTGTCAACTTCTGTTTTTCATGTAGGGCGACCTGTGCCCAGGCAACCTCATGCCCACTCGGTGCCCAAGCAGTGGCCTCCTTCAAACAGAAGTTGAACGTGAGCCAGTTTGGCTCAGAGGTGAAGCTCACACCTTCTGGGAAATCGACCAGACAAGGGCTCCCGGCTTCAATAACCGGCAGTTTCCACGGCATTGGATCAGTGTTCCCACTTTCATTGACGAGATGCCATGTCACTGAAAGATGATCAAGGGTGCTGAAGTCGTAATGGTTCATAACTTCTAACTGTTGCCGACTCTGATGTAGCGTCACTGTGACTGGTTCGATGGCTTTCTTGTACTCGATCAATCCGGGAGTAGGCGTGTGGTCAGAATACACCATCCCGTCAAGAATGAAGTCTGCATCATTAGGTTCGTCTCCAAAATCACCGCCATAGGCGTAATAAGTCGTGTCGCCATCCCTCTTCAAAAGCCCATGGTTACACCACTCCCAGATGAAACCTCCTTGAAGAAGCCTTTCAGTGCGGTAGGCTTCAATGTACTCCTTCAACCCCCCGGGGCCGTTGCCCACTAGAATACAAAAGTGAGAAGACGCGACTAGAATGTGTGTTTCTTGACTGTTTGATAAACTTACTGGCATGACCATACTCGCACTGGATCAATGGCTTGTCCGGTTTCTCAGCGACATGCTTTTTGAGCGCATCTATACTCCAGTACATGGTAGAGTACAGATCGGCGCTGATAGCTTCTCTGTCTCCCTCGTAGTGCACGAGACGCGTCGGGTCGGCGTTTTTGATCCAATTGTACATACTGGCATGATTTCTTCCGTAGAATGCCTCGTTACCGAGGGACCACATAATAATGCATGGGAAGTTCTTAAACCGCTGTACCAGTTGTATCGCACGATCAAGGTAAGCATCTTTCCATTCAGGATTGTCGGAAGTCCACTTCTTGGCAATTTTGTATGATTCCTCTTGGATCTCATGTTCAGTCATGAGGTGCTGGTTCGGGATGTTAAATCGTTCCACTGGATCAAAGCCATGGCACTCGAGATCCGCTTCGGCCATAACGTAGAGACCTAGCTCGTCACAGAGGTCATAAAGCCTGGGGTCATTTGGCTGGTGAGAGCATCGCAGGGCATTTATGTTATGCTTTTTCATCAGGATGAGATCCGCACGCATATTTTCATATGGCACAGCCCGGCCATGCAGATGGTGATGTTCATGGCGGTTCACGCCATACAAGATGATTGGCTTCCCATTCACCAAGAAGTTCGAGTTGATGACCTCAATGCATCGGAATCCAATGCGTTGGGGAATCGTCCGCCCGTTGAAAGAGATAAGCAAGGTGTATAGCACAGGGGTTTCGGCTGACCACAGTTTCAGGTCCCTGTCGGGCACATAAATGGTAGTAGGTTCCGTGGATGGAAATACCGATTCATGAAGTAACCTGCCATTTGGGTCATACAACTTAGCCCGAACATCGCCATCTTTACCTTGGACTTCGACGTCAGTGATCAACCTCCCCCGTGTGCTATTCCATGCGGGATCTTTCTCGATGGTGGCAACGGCGTTGAAGTCAATCACCGAGTCTGACGGGAAGGACAGCAAGCCGACATCTCGAAAGATGCCACTGAGAAGCCACTGGTCTTGGCGCTCAATATATGAGCCATCACAAAACTCGTACACCCGGACCGCAACAGTGTTGACGGAAGTGGGCGCAAAAAGCATGGGTGTGATATCGAACTCGCTAGGATTGCGTGAACCCTGGGAGTAGCCGACAAGCTCGCCGTTGACCCAGAGGTGGAACGCGCTGTCTACGCCCTCGAAGCGGATTCGAATCTGTTGCCCATCCCATTTTGCGGGCGTGACAAACTGTCTCCAGTATGATCCTGTCTCGTTGAGAAGAGGTACTTCAGGGGGGTTGACGTGGAATGGATAATTGACATTTGTGTAGGTCGGATGCGAGTATCCTTGCAGCTGCCACATCCCCGGGACTTTAATGTCATCCCAGCTCACGGGGTCCGCAGAGGACCATTCGGGGGCCTCAAAAGGTGACGCATCATGTCTGAATTTCCAAGTGCCGTTGAGTGACAGGTACTCGCTCTTGTCGCGGTTGAAGGTGCGGGCGCTTTCTTCTGAGGTGTAGGAATAGAAGTGCGCTCGTGGCGGAAGGGTCCCCTTGTGGATGATCTGGAGATTGTTCCAGTCGGGCAGTTCTTTAGGAAATGACATGGCCAAAAGCTGTGACCTGAGGAGTGAGCTCTGAGAGATGGCCAACTGAGGTTTAGCTGGCAGGGAGACAAGGGCCACAAGATAAGGACAAACTCCGGCGGGGGCAAGACGGTGAATCCCAGCTCATACCCCGGCAGGATTCCGGGAAACCAATCCATTTCTCCGGATGACAACACAGCGTTATGCAGTCAAGGTTGGACCCCGCAGATGCCGAAAGATATTAGATGTTAGGCGGGGTTAAGGTCCAGAGCTGTTTTAGTTCCAATTTCTGACTCGACTCGGTTAGAATGCCGAGAAATATCTAAACATGTATGAATTGACATACAAATGTTTCAACTATCTGGGTGTACTCTACTTGAACATTAGGTAGGTATATTTCTGGGAAGTTCAGCCAGGCTTTGAGCAACAAGGACGTCGGTTTCAACAAGTAGCGTTATCACATTGTTAACAAGTGTACTTGAATTTCAATGAGATCTTGGGCACACCTGTAAAGGTAGGAGGTACAGCATAGGAGATATTGTAAACACGATTATCCTCAACGCTGGCACCATAAACGACTGGTAGCTTCTTTAAGCCTTCTGCGCTGACGGTGACATCGAGGCAAGGAAGGTCTTCAAGGCCGCCGACAACCTTTTTCTCGACAAGAGTCCAATTTGGCGGCAGTTGCGCAAGCGCGAAAGTGAAAATATCAGTTCCATCTTGAGTGGTGTTCGGGTACGAGATCTCCAGGCTGTTAGGCCCTGCAACGGCATCAATAGTCGACGCTGTCGGATAAAGAGAGAACAAGGCCATATACGGATGGGGGGTGTGGTGTTTGTCACCAGCCCACTGCACGATAGCCGGGACGTATTGCTGACCGCGATTAACAGTCTCAGAGACTTGCTCAGCACCGATCATGAGGGGGGCACTAATCCACGAAGTGACAACTCGAACCTCAGCGTCGGCACCGAGGGCATCGGGAACCTTTTTAGTGATCATCCGCTCCCCATCCCAGTAATTCTGAGATGCGAGCCACGTAGAATCCTTTTCCGAGATATGTTCCGCAACTACGTCCATGACGAGCGCCAACGCTGCACCCTGTGTGACATCGTACAACAGGTCCGACTCTAGTTTGTTGGACTGAGGCCCGCCATAGCCGTATAGACCCCACCAGAAGTAGTCGATAACAGCCGAGTTGGAGACTATATCGCGCGTGTAGGCCCGATCATACTGTTTTATATTATTCTGTTAGCAGGCCTCGAGTTGTATGCGCTGAGAGAAAGACGCACCGGTCCCACCATATTGACAAGATAAGGGTTGTAATGAGCGGCTATATCCGCCCATAGATCTGTCAAAATGATTTTGGCATTCTTGGTCATGGCGGCATCCTTAGGCCCGTATTTGATGGCACCCGCAAGTGCCCAGATATCCATTCCGTAGTACGTTGGTGCGTTGTATTCAGATAGTACATTTGAACCTGTCGATTTAAATAGCTCCAGGATAGCTTTGCCCTGCTCATTGGCGTAGTTGATAAATGTCTAAATATTTAGTCAGATCGTTCAGAGCTTCTAATTTGACTCTTGCGGCGTCACATACCTGGTTTCCGCGGCGCTGGCCAATCCAAGAAACATACCACGCGCGCATTATAGCTGGATTAGAGTATGCTGGCGTTAGGTTGTCTCCTTCAGGGTAAGACCCATTTCGGCGCATAGAGCCAACGGCCGCAATCTCCAAGCTGTCCTCGATGCGCGATACGAGACTCTCCCCGAGTAGATCGGAAAACTCCTCCACAAGTTGCACGAGCTGTGTCCCGATAAATTCTCTCCAATTTGGGTCGTAGGTGGTCTTTTAAAGATTCCCTGTTAGCTGGATTCCGAATCCTAGCTTGGCTCTTTCCAGGGGATTGAGAGCAACGTACATATATCTTTGGTGGGTACAGGTCCGAGTCAGGGGTGGGATAGGGCTCGTCAGGTGAAAGCTTAAATGTACCATACCAAGCCGACTCATAACTGTCGGTCATTTGGCATGAAATACTTGAAGCATTGTAATTAGTTCAAAAGTTGCGGAAAAATCAAGTCAATTGGTAGTAGAGATGGAGACGGTCTTACATGTTTTCAATTGCAGCCTTGGCGTTACTCAGATCATGGCCCTTGTTCCGGTAAAGTAGACCGGCGGTATACCATGCTGTGAATCGAGTTGACCACGGGCCATTGTCCGAATACCAGATGTACTTGTATGAATCGTCCCAACGCTTGTCGTTGACATACATAGACCAGTCGAACAGCTCCTGTGCGTCTGTAACATAGGTGTGTTAATAAGTGCCTATATCGTGGGATGTCCTTAGAACACTAACTTTTGGTCAAGCTGTTTGTTATCTGGGCAGCTGAGGCACGGTTGACGGCAATGGTACCAATGATTGCATATCTCGCGATGTTGTTCAATTTCATTCTGGCTGTAAGACAAGGTCAAAAGAGCTGCGGGGCAATTAATTCACGGTCAGCCCATACCATGGCGGGGCTTTTTCTTTTATAAGACTACCACGCTTTGAACGTCCTCGGAGGACGAGCTAAAGCTTCGATTAATCGGGATTAAGCCTACCCAGTGAAATTCCGGCTAATTCCCCGCACTTTACCGGTGACATGTCCGGAGGCTTGCGGCTTTCCGTTATCTCAGTGGAGTAATTCGACAAAGGGTAAAGTCTAAGAAGTGTTTATTCAATACATGTTGCTCATTGGGCATCACAGATCTTCGGTGGCCACTTTGCTATCGACAATTGCCGGAGCCTTCGTATTCTCACCAAGCTTTTTCTCCGCTATCGATGCCGTGACTCCAACCAACTTGTCTCCATATTCCTCTCCATCCAAGATCACTGCCGTCTCCTCCAGACTGAGATTGCCGGTCTCCACAAAGAGGAAGTAGACCACCACAAGCTCAAAAGCCAGCCAAACGTCATACGTAATGTAGAACTTCCACTTGCTGTTCGTGACGCCGATGGGGTTCACATACTGGTTAAAGATTCCCGCAAGCGCCACGAAAAGGTTATAAAGAACGAGACCCCGGGCACGTAGATCAAAGGGTAGGATCTCGATGCAGTATGTTACCTGTAGAGGTGTCCAGCCAATGGAGAAAAAGAAGTTGTACAGGAATACCATGGCTAGAACACCTTTTGCGTAGCCGTCACCTCCAGTTCCATCAAGTGCCGTCGTCTTCTCGTAGGTGGCTTCGAGTGCCGTCCAGACAATATAGACTGCCAGCAAACCTCCTGTGGAGATGAGGAAGAGGGTTCGCCGACCGAATTTGTTCATCAATGCGGCAAAAACAAGACTCCAGATCATAGACCACAGTGTGAGCAGAGCATTGATGAGAGTCTGAGTGCTCTCCGCTGTATAGCCAATCGAGTCAAGGATCAGTGTCAGATAGTACGAAATGAGGCCGTTCCCGCTCCATTGCGAGAAGAATCCCACGGACAGAATGATGAAAAAGCGCCTGATATTGCCTTTACTCTGGAAGAAGGTCAAATATGAGGTATTGCGTCTGGCTTCAATCTCGAGTTGAAGCGCAGTGCGAATTTCCACCATCTCCAGGGTGACGAGGGGATCAGAATCATCGCCATTGGCGTGATATTTGCAAATCAACTTCCTCGCTTCCTCTTCACGCTCCTTGCTAATGAGCCATCGTGGCGACTCCTCGATGAGAAAGCAGAGCCCAAGTTGGATCACGCTGGACAGACCTTGGAGGAGGGATGGGATGCGCCACGCCCAAGTGCTTTCGACGCGGAACGTGCCGTAAGTAACCCATGCGGCGACAAGGGCACCTAAGTTCCACAAGCTGTTGTATATGGCTACCTGTGGGCCCTGCTGTCGAGGAAACGCCAACTCCAAGAGAAGCAGTGGTGCCGCAGTGATATTTAGGACAAGACCCATACCGATGATGCCACGAGCTGCGATGAACATGCCGACATTTTGTGCCGCGGCTTGTAAGCTGACACCTATTATGAGGATAAAGGCACCAATGAAAAGCACCGGACGGCGTCCGAACTTATCGCAGCTAAAGGCGCAGATTGGCATGGTGATTAATTGGCCGACATTCTGGATGGCGTTTAAGCTGTGCAAAATTGTGTCAGTATGGAGGTCTTCCTCGCTTACTGTCCGCTATATATGCAGGTCAAATCATGCAATTTCCACTTACAGGCCAAGCTCAGAAGCTCCGGGGTTGTTGAAAGAATTCTGCCAGGTAGTGAGGGACTGGAGGCCATTCATCATGGATCCATCATATCCAGTGGCATAACTTGAGATCTGGAAAATAGCAAGCATTAAGTTGAGCTTGATGAGACCAGAGTTGGTGAGCCATGTTCGCCCGGTGCGCCCGCTCACTATTCCACCGACTGTATATGGCAACTCGGTATTTAGCGTGAAGGGGGCCATTTTGCAAGCCCACTGAGAACGTAGATGAAGGGGGGAAATTCTTGAAGGCAGATCTCTAAATATGGGACCAGCGATAAATCTCAATTATAAGACTAGGTCACCTCACGTTCGGGGGAATAGTGGTCATATTTAAAAAGCTCCCTTGGCAAAAGTGCCACAAAAAGCGTGGCATTTCTTGCATGGTGAAGCGGTCGTAAACTCTGTTGGGAATTGACATGTTAAGATCTTCGCGATAAAGGATCCTAAGGGTTGCCACTTCTAGCACAAAACCCGGGATTTATCGCTCTCACTGCGGGGAATATATTTAGGGTTAATGATTGAAACCGCCACAATTTGACAGCGCGAGATTCGACTAACTCTATTCATTGTTCTTGGCGGAATTTCGCCGAACTTTGCCGGGTTCGCCGATCTGATAAGGTCTGCCCATGTGGCGTGGTAACCGTAGGGTCGTATGTATTGTTGCCAAAGCTGTTGAGTATATCCTCTGAAACAACCTTATTCCTGCCAGATCCTAGCTGCGGCGGACAAATTTCAGATAACTCGGTAGCGAGCAGGCGGCGTTACATTTACCCAACGCTTCGGTAAGGCAGCTCGCGCACTGTGAAAGCCCGGTGTTCTAACTATCACTATAGCGGCCATCTTCGCCGAGCTCTAAAGGGAAAGACCTAAAACTGCCCCGGTGCTATAACTGAAGCATTTGGGCGGATCTAGTCCGATTGCTCTTAGGTTCAAAATGCCGAAGGGCGGTTCTTCATTCTCATCGGTACATCAATCAATGCGTCCTCACAATAAGAAGGGAAAATATGTCCTAATACACCTAATGCTAGATATGGACTGTTAGGTTGTAACTGATGAGTTCCGCAAGGTTATCGAGACCTGCCTACTAAGTTCTAAGTCGCCATTGTGGGGGCCTTTGAGACCGATGCCTCTATACTAGTCATTATTAGAATGGACTATTCTACGTGGGCGACACTTTCGGCAACTATCGACCTCGAAGTGATTGGGGTGGTAAAAGGCCTATCACTGTTCCGTGAAGTTGCCAGAAAGGCAAGGTCATGTACAACCGTTACTACCTGAACTCTCCTTTCGTGCCGCCAGCCCGTACTTCACGGCTGCTTCTGCTTAACCGAGCGCCATTCAATCAAAAGACTTCCCACCATCGTCGTGCAAGCCAACGCGACAGTGAGGTACCAAGTATGAGTCAAGCTCCGATTGATACCACCCAAAACCTCATCCCACCGCTGCGTAGGAACCCAATTCTTAATATTGCCAAGTCCGTGCCCTTCAATATACGTAGGTGTCAAACCTGGTACAACATCTTCCAAACTTGACGACAACTGATTCGTGAATATAACCTGCGCAATAGCAATAAACACCGCCGGACCCATACTCTGCCCGAACAAGATAACCCCAATCCCAAGGTTGACATCTGCAGCACTTAACGTTGTCTGGACTGCCGCTTGGGGAGCTTGGAAGCCGATGCCTCCGCTGAATCCTACGAATCCGGAATAGAGGATGATCTTGGTTAGGGATGTATGGAGACCGTATGTTGTCATTAAGCCACCGGCAATTGGCATGCATACGGAGGCGAAGATCATAAAGGGGGCGTAGTAGCCGAATGTGGTGGTGCCGATGCCCTGAAGAAAGAGCCCGAGCATCATTCCAACGAGGATAGGGATCATCAGGTAGCCGCTTTCGCTTGGGGTCTGGCAGGATATAACTTTGTCAGTACATTTTCTTGTAATCAAAAATTAGCCACGATGCCTTACCCGGGATCGAACGACTTGATAGTATGTCGGTAAGTACCACTCTAAGACGTTGGTCATCGAATTAGTGCACGTCGTGAAGATGAAGCCCGCGATGACACTTCGATTTTTGATAATGCGGAAAGGAAGTGCTGCTGAGTCTCCGCGTCGGTATTGATTAAAGACGAAGGCGGCGAGTAGCACAGCAAATACAACGAACAACGCAATCACTTTCCTATCTGACCAGGGATACTTTGTTCCTGCCCAAGATAGCGCCACGAAGAGCGTTGTTAGTGATGGGATGAACAAGCAGTTGCTAAGGAGGTCGAGCTCTCTGATCTTCTGAGTCAACGTCAGGTCGTCCTCTTGGCGGGTTCTTGGGTCTGAGAAGAGGAAAAACAAGGTCGCCAGCGATACACTGCCAATAGGAAGGTTGATCCTACGAAGAAGTCAGTGTTAAGCTACCTTGATCATGTCCGTGACGGGGAAGAGCATACCAGAAACACCATCTCCACCCTAAAGACTGTGTCAATGCACCACCTACTATAGGCGCCGCAACGATCGCAAGCGATTCCACACACGCCATCAAACCCGCAAACACTGGCCGCTTGTTGAGCGGCAGAATATGCACCACGACGGCAAAACACCCAGCCAACTCACCTGAGAACCCTAGACCCGTCACTGCCCTCCCTACAATGGCTTCCTTGACCATCGGCCGAGTTGGATTTCTTTGACTTCTTGCATCATCGGGCACTCCAGAAAGTCTTTGATGAGATCCGGATGAAGTGGAGAATCCCGCATCCTGTTTTCCTGCTCTTTTTCTTCCCATTCGCGCATAAAGTCAATGGCATGACTAGGAAGCGAGACCCTCGCTTGGACAGCCTCTTCATAGATCTCGTACTTGTACCGATCAAGTACATCTAGAAACGTTTGCCCCAGTCGATCTATCGCAGACTTTAAATCACTGACTACCCTGTCCAGTTCTTCCTCGTCGATGAAAGCATATCGGCCCAGGGTGTCAAGATATAAGCCTGGAAATTCAGCAAATATCATTCCACGGAACGCATTATACCCTCCAAATCGATGGAAATATGGGTCTTGATGGTAGTCTATGTCTCCATAGTCGGCATACGGAACTCTTTCGCTATTGTGTCGCGGACATCTGGAATTGACGAGTAAGGTAATTTCTGGGCAGAGCGACGAAGGGGTAGATCTGCGCAAGATGCATCGACAGTAAAGGTATCTGTGGGTGTAATTGAAAATTGGCTCCCATTTCATGGTCAATCGACGACACACTTTCTCCAAAGTTTGTGTATCATTCTCGTATATTGCTCTTCGTGGGGATTGGTTTTCATTCTGTTGGTCAGGCATTTCGGACAATAGGCCCTTCTTTATATCGCCGTTGAAGGGTATAAGCGCTATGTCCGTGGTCTCGTAGGTTATTTCATCAGGCTCTACCCAACGAAGTTCTAGTTTGCATTGGGAGCTGCAAGATATTAATCAGCCAGCTTTTTATCTGCAATGTGGCGGCTTGCAACTCACCATGTGCTATATTTCCGTCGATAAACACTTATCTCCTGCTTCTGCCCACAGCGAACACATGCGTAATGGTCAAACCCGAAGCAGGTACTCATCACAAAGGAAACTTTGATGCCTTTGCCTGATATTACATGCATATTCCACGTATCGTTATCCAGTTTCGTCCTGCTATCCCAAGTCCATAGTTCTAGGTGCGACTGTTGTACTAAGATTGCACCAGGGAGGCCTCTGTTTTAAACTTGTACGAAAGAAGATGCAGAAATTCCTTGAAATATTAGCTGGTTATGGTGATTTCATGGAAGATATCAATACCTTTCGTGAAGAGCAGAGGGTCAAAGGGAGATAGTAGCCTTGATCAAGGCCATCATCAACGCAGATATGCTAGTCAGGGGCTCCTGTTTCCCATGGATATCCCAAGTCGTTTGGCTTACGGAGATATGACATGCCTAACGATGATCGTAATAGTTGTACCAGGGTTTCTAAATGCTGTTTTATCGACTGTAGATCTTGTGTGTGTTGTACATCCGCGCTCCTTGTTCTATATTAGCACTGGTACTATGATTCTTGCTATAAATAAGGCAGGGACTGGATTATTCTATCGATCTTCGAAGTATTTTGGCGGTGAAACTAAGAGGACAGAATAGCACTTACAGTTGAAGACCTTGTATTGAGATATTCAATTGATGGTCTAGTTGTTCAAATCGTTTACTGACCCTCATTGCGCGGGCTGCAGCCCTGGCATTAGAAATAACATGCCGCTTTCCCTTTCCCTTCGTGGAATTTACGATCTTCAACATCTGCTCGAGAACTTTCTGACAAGCCCTCACATGTTCGTCTTCACCTTGAGTAAGCTGTACAGCTCCAAGAGTAGCAACATCCACAAAAATGGCTTTGATTTGCGATTCCCTGTCGGAAAACTCCCGGAGGCTTCCATTTGCTGATCGGGATAAAGCGAGGAAGCGGCTGAAGAATTCCACCCCAATTTGCGTGATTTGGACAATAAAGCTAGCAAGGCTAATTGGTTCCATACCTGCCGATAGTGTTGACGATCGATATCTCGCGCTTATGAGTTTGGTTGAAGGTTCCTCGAACTTCGGCTCTGCTGACTATTTATGATCCCCGCTGTGAAAAAGCGGGGCACGGACCTTCTGACGCAGATGCATCCTCGAGCATAGCCTCGAGCATAGCCTCGATCATAGCCTCTAACACAGCCTCGAACATGGCGACCGACAAGGTGTCCTTAGTTCACCACTTTTTTGTACTTAGCACTTAGCATGTTCTCCCCACAAGAATTGCGAATCTACATAGCATTTGACAAATCCTGCCGACATCTCATCAGTCAGTGTATTTTTACGCAATAAATCAAAAAAGACATTTACTACTCTTCACTCACTTTGACTCGAACAGGTCAAAAAATAATCGGCGCTAACACCTTCGGGGTAAGGCCATAGATGAGGTATTGAATGGGTGCTGGTCAGCCGATCTCGAGAATAACTGTACCATATCACGAATAAAGTGTAGCCTTGACGAGGTGTAGTCTCGGTGCCATAGAGTGCATGAATTATATTCTTGAGAGAGTTATCGATATCATGAAATACTGGAGGGGTCTCGACAAGCATAATATTACATACAATTCCTTGTGGGGGTATCCAAACCGTTGCGAAGTCACTGTAGTATTGTATACTGTACACAATACATGTAATATACAATATTTTACGTTAGTCCGTCGTTCTAGTTTTTTAATGGGTGCATTCTGAGGAAACAATCGTTTACAGCTCTTCCTGATCCAGACTAGTGCATACTCGGGTACGAGCCGAGAAACAAAGTCTGTGTGTCCAAGGAGTAATCTGTTTTCGAAATCGACTGTACGCTGAACCCTCGTCGAAGTTGAACACTGGATTAAGGTACAGTGCCGACCGTTATTGCCTTCCATATCAGAGACATGGAAATACTACTTCAAACCCTAGTCACATGATACGCTAAGCCAAATATGGTTATCCTGTATTTAAAACGTTGTTACAAACTTACGAGGTAACAAGGACGAAAGTATAAAACTGTACAGTCATGTACTGCTACATGTCCAAAAGTAACCACTTTTTATTAAAAAATAAACACCCTTCCCCAATTTTCAGGCTCTCAATTTCACGTATCGCAGCTTTGCGTTTGACATAAATTAGGCTAAAGTCACAGTTGTGGAACGTCCGTGCGAGGAAAAGCAACACCTTCTACAGCGGAGTGGTCGGTGAACCAGGTAATCACGCCAGGAAAGACAGGTCTGACCCGAGCAGCTGGCAGACCGCAGTGCGGCGAGTCGAAAATAGCTTTTATGGTATCCTTCTGCTTAGCACCAGTTGCCACAACGACAATGCTCTGGGCATGGTTGAGCACGGGGTAAGTGAGAGTGATACACTTGTGCAGAGGGTGGGGCAAATCAGACACTGGGCACACCCATCTATCCTCCTCGATCAAGACTTCATGGTCGGGGAACAGGCCGCAGGTGTGGCCATCATGGCCGCAGCCTAGGAGGATCAGGTCAAAGACGGGGAAACGAGCGTCTCCGCAAACGAATTCCCTTATCAAGGACTTCTCGTAGTTGTCGACTAGCTCTTCCTCGTCGTTAACAAGGTCGGCATCGATAGGATAGACATTCGGAGCTCCGAGCTCTGCAGGGATCTTGTCCAACAATTGGTCCTTTAGTTGCCTATAGTTACTGTCTTCATTGTCGAGCGGCACGACTCGCTCATCGGCAAAGAAGATGTGCCACTTAGCGAACTGCGGAGTGTCCTCGCGGGTACCGTCATTTCTAGGCTCGAGAAGAGCGCGAGACAGCATGCTGAGATGAGAGCCACCGGATACAGCGACTGCGAAACGACCCCGCTTCTCCACGCTGTCATTCTGCAGCTTGAGGACGAAGCGCCTCAATTGCTGGACAAGATCATCGATGCTCGGGAAGCTCAAGAGCGTGGGTTGATTTGGAGGGTGATGTTCACTAGACATAATAGGTGGATAGGATGTGGAAGGGGGTAAAGTGCAGGAATCCATTTTCAGGCTGTTCGGTGGAAGGTTGGAGGTTTGGTGGGGTCACCTGATAATGTTGTGTGCGGTGAAGACAATCTAACCATACAGTACTCCACACGCAAGTGACCACTGGTTTGTAGAACACGTCCTCTCTAACTGTCCAGCGAGCTGCCTATCTGGAAGTCGGTGACACGTGATTCTAGCGGCTTGCTGTAGTTCCTTACTGCCACCTCCCGAGACCCAGGACTTACCAGAGGCTCATCGGGTATATGTTCGGGTACAGCAGGGTGGATCGAAATCAGATTCACCACCTATACACAGAATATCTTACTGTAGGCAGCCACGTCTTAAGGTTGCTAGTAGTAGTATATCGCAAAAAAACAACTGAGAGAAGCAACTCGAGACTTGTTGAAAAGCTTTAAAAGAGAAATATCGTAGGCCAAGACTAAGAAGATAGTGGGAAGAGTGGTAAAGAAATAATGTTTTGATGATTCGCTGTACTGTAGTCGTGCAAGCTCCAAATTTATGGCCGAGGCGAGCTGAAGAAATATGGGGAGCTGAATCCCACTCTTCTCCACTGTGCGCCAAGATGCGTGATATCATCGCACTTGTCAAAAGCATGCAGAATTCTGAAAGGACATGAAGCGTGCGCCAGCTCACAGTGACACGCTTTAATCGAAGAATCTAACAGCGGGTTCCCTCCAAACGAGAATCTTTAGTCACATCCCCCAAACCTATCATCAGCGCATATTTGTGAACGTCTCCGGAGGTATCTAGAGTAGATGTGCCCCATAGTCGTGATCCTATCTGCAACTAGACTAATTGGTATCGAGGCATCCCCAAATCATATCGCTGCTGCCCACTTTGATCGCGATCATCAGTCTTGGCATTGTCGGAATGAGTATTCCACCCTATGCACAATTGTGACACTAAAAATTGATTTAGACCCACCCCAATGCCCCTCGTTTTCTCATTTTTGCGCTCTACCCTTTTGCTTTGTTTCTGCAAACCCCCGCAAAGAATCAATCAGCAAACATCTATACCAACATCATGGGCCTTAAAAACCTCGCAGACGAATATTCCAAGCTTATGGGTCGCAACCCCGAAGGCACCTACCTATACACCCCTCAGAAATTCGAAGCATTCCACCCCGGATCACTGGGATATTTCGACGAGAACGGAACATGGAACATGATCACCGACCTTTGTCTTCCAGAACGCACCCAGACGGACGGTTTCAAGGACATGAGCCACCCTCTCAAATGGGAGAAGCCTGAAACAGCCGCGTGGAGAACAAGATCTTCTGACGGCGAGACAGAGCAGAGTCTCGATGCCAACGCCGAGATCTCCGGGGCTCTGAGCTCAGCGCCAGTTGATGTAGGTGGCAAAGCCAAAACCAAGAGAGGATCAACCATGAAGGCGGAACTTGTCACAGGATCTGTGGTAAAGCATGAGAGACTCAAGGCTCCTTTCAACTCGATCATTCAGTCATGGATTAAGAATAACGCCAAGGAGCTCGTTCAAGGCATTCACGGTGTGGATGTCAGGAAGTATGGTGTCTGGGCGATCAGAGCTGTGTATGTTACCCCAGAATGTGCTATCACTATGGATAGTGGCAAGAACTCGGAGATCAGTCTGGGCGCTACTGTGGGAGCGACCGGCATAGGCAAGCTGGGAACTGAGGGCTCAACGCTTGCAAAGTTCAAAAACGCGGGTTGGACTACATACTCCGAAGAAGAGGTACGTACTCGTGAACACTTCCGTGCAGGCTCAGAGTCTATGATAGCTGATACCCTACAGAGCGAACAAGGCTATGTCGTAGCTTTCAGTGGATCTAAATTTGCCCTTCGGCCATTCTCGGCTTTGAGATCGAATGTGAGTATACCTTCCTCCACTCTCGAACACCTCCAGCTGAGTGAGAAAAGCCCCTCCACCAGATTATCAGCCTTCCCGGGGAGCACGGAATCAAGACGAGACCGCTGCTGGACGAAGATGGGAATGTTGTGGGGTCCGAACGTGTTCGGATTATCTTGGACGAAGCCGGCCACCCTATCGGCGAAGAGAAGATTGATGAGGAAGCCGAAAGAAAAGCGCAAGAAGAAAAATTCGAAAAGGACCAAGAAGAAGCAGAGAGACAAGAGCTGGAAGACTATAACTACAATGAGTTCGACATTGAGTGCGACCCACTCGGAACCAGTGAGCAAGATCTCGAGGAGGAGAAACAAGCCGAAAAGCTGGCCAAAGAGGCCGAAATAGCAGACTTCAAGAAGCACTGGGAGGAGATTAAGCTCATTCCCGACGAAAAGGAGCGGGAGATGAAGCTTGGCTACTATAAAGCGGCTTTCGGTAAATACGTCGAGCAGATGCGTGACCAGATCAATTCTCACCCCGACGAAGCTAAGCGGGGAGAGCAGATGGCTACGTTCAAGGAGGATGTGAAGGCCAGGATGGAAATTATGCTGCAGTGATGGACTAAAGAATGGAGTCCATTTGCTAATTTTGGGGCTTTGATGCACTGCCATGTGTCTTGAGATCAATTGTCGATGGTCTACTCGCCAGTGTCTATGTAGTATCTTCTATATTGAATCGTGGGCGCTCTATCGAGGCTCAAAGTTCACCTCACCCATCAATAAAACTGAGATGGCACAGGCCGCTGATTGCAACAAGAGCACCATTTCAAAAATCTCTTTCAATATAAGAATGGTTGGCAGCGTCAAAGCACCGCTAATTAAAGGCGGACGAACCGTAGTATCACTCCAGTCATGCTCGAGGCTTTGTTCGACCATCTGATTGAAAAGCCTGCCTTTTATCTGGAAGAGGTGGTGGTTTTTCTGTGGGACGAATTCGCTCTTCAAGCAACGAAATCTAGCGTAAGGCTGGTCAAAAACGACTGCTCGGGTCAAGGCCCTAGAACGCAACCTTGAAGTTCGGGACGAATACCATTATTTTATATCGGACTTCAAGTCTTACCACCTTGTCTATGTCGATGAACCTGGATGTGATAAACGGATAGTCTTCCGGCGAACGGGTTGGTCCCCCCTTGGTACCGCACCGGTTCAAGTGTCGAAATTTGGATTTACAAACAGAATATAAGGCTTGCTCGAGCCGACGGTCGGTCTCAAACTCGTTCAGTTGTATAACCTGATATGATGCCCCAGCTTATTGAAATATACACTACTCTTTAGTGAAGGGTTGAGTACTCAATCATTCAGCAATAATTTAGAAGAAGAATTTTCAGCATCTGTTAGCTGATCAACGGAATATGGCGGTCTGGGAGAAGCTTAAAGCTCGGATGGCTTAATTTTGTCACAAAGTTTTATTTGGTACGTTCAAATTTCCCGTGAGCCAAAGCGATGCGCTTTGCTATGACCCTGGCTGTTCTGTGAGTAAAGAAAGATTCAGCGTCATGTATTTCAGCCGATATAGATAAAGAGTTCATATGTCCAAGCCACGGGACTCCTGTTACACCTCAGGGGTGATAATGAGGTAATTTGATCCCTTGTCTTCTCCAGCGCCATGATACTTCTCACTGTGAAGTTGTCCGTACGCTTTATCCCAGGCCTCTGCTTTCGCGGAGTCGAACTGCCCCATGGCCATTTTGAAGGAGGCCGTCTTCTGCTGGAACTCGTTCCATTTTTCTGCGAACATTCGGTCCTAAGAGGTTGGCCATTAGTTGGCTAACATACTAAGTGGTACTAGGATCCATCTACTTACGTTTTGTGGAAACCATTTCTCCCAGCTGTCCGATGTAATTCCCACGTCCTTCTCTTCTTTATGTTTCTTTTTGGAATCCTCCATATGGTCACGGGCGGCTTTTGCAGCATCTAGCCATTCTTCTTTGGCCTTGTTGTATCGAGCTTCAGTGGCCATTGTAGTGGACGTCAAGTGAAGATATGGGATAAATATGTTCAGGGTGTTGAAGAATTGCGGGTAAAGGCAATAAGGCAGGAGTGAAAGAGGCGTAGAATGGCCTTTATAGCCGCGGTTTTGCCTGTGGGTTTAGCTCCTCACAGCCCAGCCCCGATTCCCACAGTAAACAGGTCAAGGTCAAGGTATCTCATTGGACAGTGGACCTGCATTCTCATCGGTACAAGTGGCGTGTAACTAACGCCGAGGATCCTCTCGAGCTTCTGTGACGCTAGTGATCTTTCAGCTCCATCCTCCGTCCGGGAATGGCTCTGTGGATTATAATTAGCACCTACAGTATAAGCTGGCCTTGCGGTAATACAGATTTACAGTAGTGATTAGCTCTGTAAGTCAGCCTTTAACGATTCCCCCTAAGGCTATTCTTTGTTAATGAGACGGTAATTTTGTTACGATCTAAGAAGCGGGGTTTCCGGCCCCGCTGTGTGGCTTAGTGAATATATATACGTCGCTTCTTCGCGATGATTCTCCGCCTGGGCTTAAATTTATCAAATATGCAGCAAGTTCAATAACACCGCTGCTACCACGGCATATCACATGCCCATTCAGGTGACCTCATGGTACATAGGGAGGCTATGTATGATGATGTTGTAGTTGAAGGGTAAGCGGTGCGACCACGCTATCATGACAGCATCGTGCAGCGATGGTGTATGGGTCCCACTATGAGGACGCGGAGACCCAATGCATACTGTAATATCCGGAAAGTGACGATCTTGTTCCCGCTAATTTGGCGAGCTGAAAGATCGATGCAAAATTCTCAGCTTGCAGATCTTTCAGCTTGCAAGGACCAGTGGGTCCATGAATCGTAGCCACGCTAGAGAGTAGCTGTGTCCGATCGGATCGCTTCCTCGGAACACCGTGATTCATCTTCATCTTCCCGCTTGCGGCCCGTCATACTACACGAAACCATGGTTGAAATCATACTTCAGCCTTGATACGCTCGTGCCGAGGCGCCCAATACCACGTTCCTTCTTTATACTTGCGGACACTGCTTAGTTTGAGCTGATTGAACCACTATTCATCTCTACTTATCGTCATTTGCTCACTACAGAATATGGAGGCGCAGCAATTCAGTCCAGATGAAGAGTATTTGGAATTGACCATTGTAGTCCACTTCGACAGTGACGTGCCGGATAATGATCTACCAAAGATACAGTGGTAGCTATTTGTACATGATTTCCTCTGCAAGGCAGGGCTTTCTCATCCTACCTGCCGACGCTTTAAGGGGGGCGCTCAGAGTCAGGCTCACTGAGTAAATCCCAGTCCGGGCCCATGTCTGTCACGTGATTGACCAGTGAATGCCAAGCTCTTAATTGGCACAGATGAGGAGATGAAGGTCCGATTAGCCCCGGGGCCGATCCCTGAAGTTTAGATATGCACCAGGCCCCCAGCGCCATTTTAAAATGGCGGTGAGGCAGTTCGCAATGTGGGTTGAGATGAAGGCAACCAGCCACCCGGAGATTAATTCCGCGAGAGAATTTCGAGGAAATTATTATACGTGATATTGAGGTCGTACAGAGAGGCCCATAGACACTAGGGTACTTTAAAGCCTCCAGATGACTTCACCAAATAGCTATATCCCTACGGAATAGAGGTTGTATCTACAACGTTGGAGACATCGATGCACCCCATTTGAGGTCACAAGAAGACAGGACATGAGCATACTGCAGTACCTCAGCACAGTATTTTGAATTTTTCACACCAATTTGTCGATCAAGCAGACCGGCAACAGCGGGTCCTCAATCGCTCTCTCGTAACTTGTGTAAAGCCGATGATTTCCTGTTGCAGGTGTATCCACAGGAAGATCGGTCGACTCGAGTACTTTATGACGCGTTGGGTCAAATACTCGTCACCATGCAGCTCAGTTCCTGCTGCTGGATAAGGTTTGAGGAACACAAACGTGACAAATAGAATTACTGCTGAGCTTGATGGGTCGGACATGCAACTTTTGATTGATTATGCGGGTGCTGATATGCGATCTCAGCTAGTATATCGTCGTGCGGCAAACTCTGCGTACTCTCACCGACATCGTCCGTCTTGTTTATGACATTTGATTGGCAGGTCATGATGCCAATCATTAATAACACTTTAGTGCTGCTCTCTAGTGTTTTGCTGATGGCCTACAATATGTAAAGCCAGGGCTAGGTACGCAACTACTGCTCACACGAGCGGCTTTCTCACTTTACCATCATCGGCCCCTTCGTGTACTATCTTTCTACAATATTTTTCCTGCAATTCTCCTTCCCCCACTCTTTCACAATCATGAGTGAGAAGAACAATGATGGCCCGAAAGGGACACCGGCGAAAACCCCAAAAGAGACTCCAGAACAATCTTCGGGGAAGGTCTCAAACAATGCAAATACTGGCTCATTTGCCAGTCTACTGTTCTCCAAGGTTGGAGCCACAAAGGAGAAGAATAAGCAGGTCTTCATGATGAGAGTTCCCGAAGCTGTCATAGAGACACAAGACCTGAAACATCTAAAATCTCTGATGACGAGTCAAAAGGATGCAAAGGAATGGTGTGTCGCCGAGTCTATCAACTTTTTTTGCTGGCATTGATCATCGCTTTCTCCTCTAGTGCGTTTCTCCCGTTTTGCAATCAAGCGGGTGCAGTCGTCGACAATAGCTGGAAAATCCAGGATTATGTCGATACTGTGAAGGTAAGTTTGGCCATTTCACAGTCGTGTTTCAAGAGACTCACATGCTTGATAATAGTCCGCCGACAAGGACAAAAAGCCCAAGACCTATGAGTTTTACCTCTTCGAGAAGACTGTTTTGGATAGTAAAATTATCCCAAAGATTGAACTAAAACTACCGGTAAGTATTTGAAACTTTTGGCTTTTCACGCTGAAGAACCAGTTGTTGACTTCAGACAGGAGGATGTGAAATATCTTGATCCTGCCGTGTTGAAGAAACTCGAATCAAGTATCGATCTAGCATCCTGGAGAGCAGCGAAAGGCAGCGGCCAAAACAGGTACTTACAACATCTCCTTACTATGTAGGATTCCTATGGAAATGCTAAACTCAATTCTCAGTGGCCCGGCGCAGCTGAAAGAGAATGACTGGCAAATAGTTGCTACAAGTAACTCCTTGTGCTATGGACTTTCCATCATGCGAATGATAAAGGGAAGCGGCGAAAAAGCTGAAGGTATCCCTATTGGTGTGGCACGAGCACGTCAGCCAGGTGAGAAAATTAATCACGACGACCAACTAGCTGGACACTGATGGAACTTCTTTTCAAGCGTTCCAGATTAAGGCTCGACAACTTAAGATTTCAGATCAGCCCGAGGTAAGGCATCGCTTCCATCATCTTAGAACTCCAAAACCTGACTTGACAGTAGCCAGAGCTTCGAATCCCAGACTTTATTGTCGATGACCAGTCTTACGTTTCAATTTACGAGACTAGGAGCCAGTTCCAATCTTCACTCTCTCAGTCATCTATTTCAACATGGGATATCCTCCGATCCGGGTTTGTTTTCCCCCTACCTTATTGAAGGTCGTCCCTTTAACTCGAAAATAGGGCCATGAGCTTCCTTGGTAACAGTATTGGCACATCAGCAGGGTACGCACAGTCAAATTCAGAGAGGTCCTACGAAATCAAAAAGGGCGATACTGCTCGAATGAATATTTCATACAATGTGAGTCCCTTTTTCGATGATTTTCCAGATGTGCTGACCGTTTTAGTTCCCGAGGGCTACTTTGATACTTGACCAATACAGCCTCGAACTCACAAAACAATGTGAAGATGATTTGAAGCTAGTGAAAGATAAGATTTCATTGGAGAACTTTTTGGAACTCTACGGTGAGTGATCGAGCTCGAAAAACTTCCCCCGACTTGTGCGCTGATCTCCAAAGGTGAATACTTCAGCAGAGAGGTCCAGGTAGGAGGGCGACTTTTTGCCTCAGAAGACTTTGAGTGGACTGGAGAGGGTAGTGGTTCTGATGTCAAAAAATCTATGAAGATCCAGGCAGCATCCTCACTGAAGGGGGAGATCAAAGGTGTTGGCGTGGAAGGCGGCGTGCAGGGCGGGTATGGCCAGAGTTCTGGAACCGAACGAAATGCCACTCAAGGCGCGATGGAGAATTCTCTGCAGTGGCAAGCAAATGGTGGCGACACCCTGCTCTGCAACAAGTGAGGACCTTCTATGACAGTCTTGAATGTCAAGCTATCGTTTTACTAATTGGCGCGCACTAGCCCTCCCGAATGGTGCCCAACAGTCGCTCCTCACCACAACTGGAGGATTATCAACGTACATAATATTGCGTTCCTCACAAGAACAAATTGACTGACATATTTTGCAGAGAGCCGGAAACTGCCACTTGTTGGATTTGATAGCCAAATTCCCGAAGCAGGGGAGGATACAGAAATTTATAGAAAAAGAGGAGTACAAAGAAGTGATTAGATCGCTGCAGCCGAAGTCAGGCAGGAAATTTTATCTCCGGAACGAAGATGAATTCCAGTATCTGACAGCTTATTCACCATCAAAAGTCCCGGCTGGTATGTTTACCATTTACATTAATATAATTTCAGATGCTGATCACTCTTCTCATGTAGAGATCAAGAAGACTAAACCTGCTGGCTCTAGCAGAGCGTATGGAACAGCTATGTTCTCACCAACAGCACCCGAGAGTGAAAATTCTGGGCTGTACTTTGAATTCGAAACACTTCAAGGCGAGCCAGTACACAAGGTACGACATCCAGCTTTCTGCGAGATTTCGCGTCATTCTGATTCTTTAGATTGAGTACGCCAAGCCATATGTTCTCAAAAATTCTGCAACGGGGCGCTTTGTCAGTTTTGCGAGAGAAAGTGGAGCTTGGCTTGTTGCGAGCAATAAGCCAACGGATGAATTCGTGTTTCTCGAAGGGAGCACGAGCACCGAGGGAGAGGTTAATCAGCAAGATCTCGTTTACCTTGGTATATCCCCGATGACTGGCGAAGAACCACGGTTTGTATCTAAAACAATCAGCTGGCATGGCAATAATGGCATTCTCAGAGTCTCTGAAGGATACATGGTACGTTCTATGACCCAACAGAAGGTCAGACAGAACCGGAAATCGTTTAAACTCCTCTACCAAGATCGGGAGAAGGCATAATGGGAGGAAAGCATAATTGGGACACGGTCGAGGTGGAAGTGGCCTAGGGATGCATCAAGGATGAATTTATATTTCGGTATGAAACAAGATTGACAGTTAAAAATGAAAGATCAGAGATTAGTCCACTGGGGTGAAACGGTTGTCCGTAGATGGATTGGGCCATGTTATAATCCAGTGACTTATGAAGTACCACACTACCATCTTACGCAACTACAAAGGACGATACAGGTTCTTTTTGGGGTCACTGGCGATTTTGGAAGGAGAGTAGAAACGGGTGTTTCAGGGCCAAGTAGACTAGATGTCTGCCCTAGATGAGCTAGGGTGTGTTGAGACAACTTCTTAATGTATCCTCCCGGTTACGTCACTTTCCATGCATAATAATTACGACTGGGCAATGATGAGGATGCATTGCCACTGCATCTATCCTAGGCACCATGATCCAGTAGCATTTGGGCCACCTCTTTTTGGCCCCTAACTGATGCGGCTTGAAGAGCATTGCCATAGCGTCCACGTTGGGCGTTCACATCGGCACCTTGATCTAGCAGCATTTGAACCACCTCCTGTGGCTTGGAGTGCATTTCCATGCGTCCACTCTGGCCATTAATTATGTCCGTGTGTCTCAAAATTTAATGTCTGCCCACTTTCGTTTCTTGGGTGATTGCCGCCTAGGGCGCCAACAATGCGTGTCAACGAGATAGTAGGTAAGCTCCTCTAGGCTTCTAAAGGTTGTGGAGCAGGCTGGATGCTTGCAGTCGAAATCAAGTTTGAGTTCTTTCAAATGATCTTTAATATGGGAGTGCCACTTTAGTAATGAGAGGACGAATTGAAATATTCTCTTTGACGGTTTCTCTCTCTTAGCACTTAGGCAAAATGGACATAGCCTAGGCTTTATAGATGCGTTGCGGAAGATCATAGGATCATAACGGAGCAAATCGCCTAGATTATTAAGATGCTCCTAGCAATGATCCTCCCACTTTGATTCATTAGTAAACCATAGGTCGCATTTAAAGCATATTTGCGTAAATCCGTGGGTGGATTTATAATGCCTAGAGTAGCAACGGTATAGATATAACCATTTTCGGTGATCCTTAAATCTATTTTAAATTAGTAATAGGGAAATCGTATTTTCATATTGAACTATGATATACTCTTTGATAGATCTTCCACAGAGATAGGCCTATCCTATAGGGCTGAGGCTATCACGGTATGAAATCGGATTTGTCTCACTATAGAGAGATTCTAATGCCTATATAGTTCTTCTTCTATCTAAACTCCGGAGGCTAAGCTTATAAGGCAATGTGCTAGCTAAGAAGTCTCTATAAGGCATTACCTTTCTCCTATAGTGGAACATAGTTTTAGTGTAAATACTTCTATACTACCTCCCTAATTGCGCCTAGACCTTTCGGAGCTCTTCATTATAAAGGCTCCGTTTCTCACTATAGACCCTCTTTTGTTTAAGTTAGATTTTGTGTTTTTCTTCCGGCGTAGCGTCTAATAGTAGCAAACTCAACTTTGCCATAATTTAGTTAAGAGTATAAATATCTTCTTAGGCAAGAAATTTATACTTAGCTTTCGTAGGGAGGAGCTGCGATAAAGAGGAACTGCGGTAAAGACCTATTTCCCGACGATTCTAGATATACTCTTGTCGGCTGGCAATTCCTAGATAGTTTGCTAGTCTATTAACCTCACTAAGTGGATATACGTATGACTTTCCGTAGGTGTTCCGGTTAGTTTGTCTAGCGAACTTCATTCTTGCTAACTCGGAATACGTCTTATCTATTTTATTATTAGCTAGCACGTGAGCGTATACTTGAAATGAATCCGTACCTACTTATTGTAAAGCCTATCTTCGATACGCCCGAATAGTAATATTTAGCGTATAGCCACTTCTGTGGCCCAGATTGACTAAGGCCTTACCGAAGGAATCCGCTCCCCTAGTATGGCCTTTGAAATTGTCTACATTATACTCAAGATATTGGCGAAAAACCGGCAAATCTCTTAGTTCTTACTAGATATAAATTACCTTAAGGATATTATCCTCCGAAGGACCGACCTTCTTATACATATCGATAGTATCTAGGATCTCGTTCACTAAACCGTAATCTCTAAAAGCTTTATCCGCGGTGGCTATCGGTAAAAAGAATATCAAAAGGTTTAGAAATATAGGCATATCCTCGGCGTATACTTTATAGAATGCGTGCTTAGGAATCTCCTATTTTGTCTTTCGCCAATATCCTTTAACAAATTCGCGCTCGTAGGTGAGTATAAGTATTACTATACTATCCACACTCTCGATGGTGAGTTCGAAATGCTAATATAGTCAGCTTTAAGTATTGGCTTCTTCTTCCTTATCTAAACACACCTTATAATAGGCAGCTATCACGCGGGCTTCTAAGTCAGTATCCTCGCCGTCCTCCCCGATCTCGCGGGCTCCGTGCCTCCGAGCGGTTAATTCGTGAACTTCCCCTATGCGTGCAGAGGTAAAGCAATATAGGAGCATTGCGGCACTCAGCTAAACTCTAGCCCGATCGGCAGGGGTTCCACGATACTTATAGTGGTCTCGACACCATAATTAAGTCATCAAGATAGTTAAATCATTTAGGGATACCCTACTATCTTTATTCATTTGCTCAGTCGAGAGAGGGATCTTAATCTTTAGTTCTCCCACGATATACTATGTAGTATTAGCCCTAATTGCTTTGAAATAACGCTGGTATAGACCTCATTGATTGTAGTCCTAGTGGTAGGTAGGAATTCAAAGTTTCTTTTTCTCTTTATGCCAGTTGCGAATTTCCTAAAAAATCCCTAAATCGTCTCGACTATAGGCCGTTCTTCGATCCGACCGTCCATTCCTCTTGCAACCCACTCGAGAAATACCCTACAAGTTCTGATGTCCGGCGGAATGACGGCCTATAGATGTAATTTGACAAAACTAGGGTAGAGGCACAATTTAGCGATTTACTTCTCTACTCCCGGGCCTAAGACTTACTCGTCGAAAATAAGTAACGCGTGACGGTAACCAGATTCTATTCGTGGCAGTACTACCCGCTGGATTTCATTGTTACTATGCTCCCCGAAATCCACAACATTGGCCATATATTTCAACGTTGGGTCATGCTTGGTTCGCATCTTGCTCGTGACAAAGCGAGGTTGGAGTGATAATGCGAGGCTGGAGAGACGAAAACGGAGGGGAAAAAAGGATACTTATAGCTTTTTTGGTCATGATGGGAAATGTACCTTTTGCTGTACGGGCTGAATATTCGGGTGAGGAATATTCAGGTGGGTGAATATCTGCCCTGAGTGCCCTGAATAAAGCGGCGAGCCGCCCATGCCCGAACCGTGGGCGCTAGGTGACCACCACCTTAGACATGCTGTTGTATGTTTGTTTTCGCCCTTTTTCAGTGATTTGTCGGGACTAGTGCCCTTGCCACTTAACACTTCAAGCCCTTTATTCTTCAACAGAACACCCCGAACACCCCTAAAACGCTGACATGGTCCCCTGCCTAAACCTTTGCCATCTCTCGTGCTCCGTTTCCGCTTCCAGCTTAGTCTCTGTATTTGCCTTTGGTTGGGGGCAGAATTGGTATTGATCCGATCTAGGCAACTAACCCCGGAGAAAATGGTTCTTGTCCGACTCGGGTTGGATAGTTTCCGCTCTGTCGTGCGCACATTGACGTGCTATGTCTCCTAAGAAGAGGAAGTCAATCAGATCGCGCGACTGGGGGAAGGCGAGGCAGATAGACCATATGTGATGCATCATCGAGGGTATCCCAGCTATGTGTTCCTTCCACGTCTACACGTCGGTGAAACGCCGCGATGGAGACGATCGTGGATGGCATCCCCACATCTGTCAATGTGTCTACTGTGCCGTATCTCCAGTTGACACCGAATGCCCAGGGAGACGTAGAATAGATCTCGGAATTTATCTCGACTCGAAGGGGTACCATTGTGCTTTGCCTGATGGGCTCAACGAGTTTTGTATACTTTGTTACTAGATCCTCAGCAAATAAGTACGGTCCTGCCATCTCGTAACCTCTTGATTTATGGTGTGATAACCGTCAGTGGCTTATATCTCCATTGTCCGAGCAAGATGCTTCCATAGTGAGCACTTCCCGACCTGCCAATCCGGAACCTCTTCCATCGCTGTGTCATTAGTCTGCAGCCGAAGCTGACGACCCCGGAAATTCCCCCATGGTTTCCATGTCGGCGAACCGGGTGCTTTATACGTGTTCGGATTTAGGCTCCGCATAAAACTTACCCAGTACCCCATGGTTACGGGCACAATAGGCGCGTTGGTTGTGAGGTAAGACGGTGGGAACCAGCCTGCTTGTCCAGGTCCAAAAATAGCGCTTGTCTCAAACGTATGGGGGACCCCATAGCCAAGGGCTACAAAGTACGGATCAAGCACGTTATACCGGTAACTCCACACCCGCTCCCGGCCAAGGAACCGCGCCACCGCGCCTGCTATGTCATTGGCAGGGCAGGTAAAGGTAGCGTCACCATACGCGGCGGAAGCGCTGGGGAAGTATGCTGCGTGATTGGGGACGGGTTCCATTTGCGTGTAGTGCTGATTGATGTCTTCTAACTGTGCGCTTGTGAGATGGGGGTAGTTGGTGCGGAGGAAAGAAGAGACTTGAGAGGCGTTTGACGCGTTATATGCAAAGTACGAGCCCTCGTTTGTGGTGTGGCCCACAAGCACGGGTACAGCTGCGAAGCGGCCAGCTGCGAAGGCGGTATATAGCTGGTCAGGGATGAGTTTGCCATCGATGGTTGGTAGCCAGTACCAAAGTGGTAGGGGGTCGCTGGGTTTAGACCCGGGAAAGTTGGAGCCGTAGCTTGCTGCCTGGAGAGCAGAAGTGTTCGTCTCTCGCAGACAGCTTACGGACGAGCAGCCAGTTAAGCCCAGCAGCCGCTGATATTGGAATTCCATGTCTGGGACAGTTCGTAGCGTGGGCCAAAAAGGACTGTCAAGAACCGCTCCAACGAAGAGTTTGTCTTTTGCTTTGCCTCCGTATGCCGTGAGGTGATGGGATATGGAGCCACCACCAGCTGACGAGCCTTGTATAACAACATGGCCTGGGTCACCACCAAACTAATAAAATGAAAATGGTCAGTTGTCTACAAAAGCTATGTTTAGTAAATGTCCGCAAACAGACCTTGCTAATATGCTCCTGCACCCAGAGAAGTAACAGCCGTTGGTCCAGGAGGCCAACATTTAAGTCTCCATCCTGCCTGACCTTTTCACTGGCAAGGAAACCAAGAACACCAACGCGGTAGTTAAAGTTGACTAATACAATGTTGCCACCCGAGGATCGAATGATCTCCGTGCCATTGTAGTTGGGATTCGAATTAGTTGCGTACCCACCGCCTTGGATATATACCAGGACGGGGAGCTTGGAGGCAGGCGTAGCGTTTGAGGGCTTGAACACGTTGACAAATAGACAGTCCTCATCGATGCCTGGACCTGGTTGCTGCCCTGTGCCGACACAAATAGGACCAAACTATAGATAGTGAGGTCGAGTTAGTCTACCCTTCGATTTTTGTCAAGGGCAATAGGTCTTGGACTGTGACTGACTTGGGAGGCATCTTGTTCTTCAACCTTACGCTCCGGCTGCCGTGGAGCTCTAAACCTGAGATCGCCGAGTGGGGCCTGGGCATACCGCATGCCCAAGAACTGATCCACGCTCGCTTCGAGTCTTACACCACGGTATATTGAGTATCCAAGGTCAACTTTCGGAGAGTTGGGCTCAATGTCTATGCTGGAAAGTGGCATGGCTAGACCACTGGCTAGAGCAGCCAGATAAAGGCCCCCCGTGAGGAGCTTGAGTAGCGGCATTCCGTCGTCTCGGATGGGTGGAGCACAGAGTTGCGAAGATGATCGTGTAGTGGAGTATTTCACGTATTAAAGTTAGTGCATTTGTTCCAAGTAGCGGCCAAACTTCTCGACGCTTTTATAGAGACATGAGATGACCCCGCAAAATCAGCACATCTTTAGGGTCTAAATCCACGGCACATCAATTTGCCGTCGGGATACATTTAGGATATATTCAGCGCCCGCATAAACCGATGACCTATCCCTTTTGTTCTCCTTGCAGCAGGTGTAAACTTTAATTGGGAGAGCGCAGACATCGTCTACTCGGATCCGGCTAGCATCATGTCACGGATTATGTGAGGTTAGCAATTCTATTCTAAATCGGGCAATGTTAAAAGGACCCCTCTTGTTGATATTCGGACTCTTCACCTGTCTAAGCCTAATTAGGGAAGGCTTACTATATGTATTTCATAGTGTATTTCCTTAGTGAAAATGAACAAAAGGGCGTAGAGGAAGACAACAGGTCTCGTAGGGTGATAATAGGGCCGGAATGGCTTCGTCTACGGCTTAGGGAGCCTTACTATCGCCGGCGAGCTCTGTAGGGAGTGGCTTCGTATACGGTCTAGGTGTCGCCGGCGATTATTCCTACTTCTTAGGGAGAGAATCCCTAGTCCGATCGGCTTAGGAAGAGTCGGAGAGCTCTATAGATAGCTGATACGATCTAACTTACTTATTTTCTCACTTTTGATATAAAACTTTTAAAGAATTCGACGTAAAATAGCCTACTAGCCGCTGCATAGGCTAACTCCTCTAGTTCTATAGTGTTTTCGGAAACAAGTTCTCGGTGCATTAGGATCACCGAGGATTTTATGCATTTCTACTAAAGAAAGACACCGTGAGATACACATACTACGCCTTCCCTAATTAGGCTTAGACAGGTGGAGAGGGGGTCCAAATATCAACAAGAGGGGGTCCTTTTAGTAATGCCCTCTAAATCGGCAGCATCGGACAAAGGGTGCGGCGATATATTCGCTAGAATGTATCGGATCACCAGAGGGCTTCCGACACATGTAGATCACACCAAAACCTGTGGGTAAAGTCCCCTCAGTAGAGTAGCATTGCGACTAGTGAGTGGCCATTGAGTTGGTAGAAATGGAGCCTGCTCATTACCCCGCCGGGGTATTGAGATGGACGAAGATCCTGCCATTCCTGCAGACCCCCTCCCGAAGACGCTTGGCACCCACCAACGCTTGCCAACACCGTCGAGGGTGGAGAGAACCTCGATGAGCTATACGAATACGCGCCGCCTGTGTGGGTACTGAGTACCAGAACGCCCAATTGAGGAAGAAGGAAAGATGTCGGAGAACGGGGTCTGATCTTGCCTAGTGCTTACTATGTAGGGTCTTTGATACGGAGGTGTGAACATGTCTCGTGAGAAGGAGGACATTGGAGAGGTGGAGGTGCATCCACGCGCTTATTTTGTAATCAATGCATTACTGGCATTGAATTTCCCATTTGTACTGCGAGTTTTATGGGGTTGGCTCACAGTAATGGGCTGGTGCTTCCACTCTTTGAGAACCAGCCTCACTTTTTGTACTGGAGCATGATCAGGCGTACGGACACGACTTCTTGCTTCAAATGGATAGAAGCGCCTGCATAGCCATTACGGTATTAGTTAGGCTCCAACAGGTTAATAGAACTTTGATTGATTGATTGATTGACCTGCAGACCCCCATTTTGTCCAGGACCGCTGTTGGCTTTTGCTGGTTCTGAAGAGCATAAATACCGATTCTTCTATCCATAGCTTGAACTGGATGACCTGCAAGTCTCGCAATTAGCCAAAGAGGGTGGTCTTACAGTCACCATGAAGTGGTTCTATCGTTTGTTTCTACATCTTTTATCCACTTGAGTGGGCTTGGTCGGTCGGTTAATGGTGCTCACTTACTACTTTAAGCATTTCAGTACTTCTGGCAGCATTGGTCCATGGTATAATAACGACAATTCTTGGGGTGTGTCCGCGCCAGGTGGTACTGGATTTTTTGCGATGGTCACTGGCGAAGACTGGCGCATCTCGTCGCCCAAGAAGATCAACGATGTCAACCCGGGGCATAACACCTGGTTTAGTCAGTCTGCTAATCCTGCGGATGGCCAAGGATATGATGCTTGGTAAGACTCAACGCTCCTTAATATAATCCTGAGTTCAGGAATTCGTTCATATTAATTGTCTAGCTACGACAATTTCATTGACCCAAGCTACGCTCCCACTGATCGCAACTCGAAATTCGAGGTGATGTTTCGGGTCGGTTATCGCGCCCCTAATTCTCCTCTCTCCGACCACTATGGCTCAAATGGTGCGGTGCCTTGGGCACGGAACGTGAATATTGGAGGCAAAGAGTGAGATGTTTACTTATATCAGTAAGTTATACTGAGTCTTCTATATCTAAAGCTGACGTTTTTGACCTGTATTTACAGTTGGCCAACCGGCGGTGCTCTTACCATGACTTACGTCGATCCGAATAACTCAGGTTGGTTCTCGGGTAGTTTAACGCCTTTCTTCCAGCATGGCATCAGCAATGGCTGGTATAGTGGGGATGACTATTTGACTAGTGTTATGGCAGGCTGGAAATTTGGCAAAGGAGATTATACGGCTTCTTCGTGGGGTGCCATTGGATTCTGATATAAGAAAACAGAGAGGTGATGCACCTAAGAGCCCTATTTCTATGCTTTTATTCTAGGCGCTCTCCTCCAGCAAATAGCTTTCAATTGTAATTGTGTACGCGAAGGATTCGGCTTCGCGTTGTACTCCAACATTTAATTTGTTGCCCGTCCGGTTTGTCAACAAGTATGGTGGCATGTGTTCTGCATCGTTCACCTGCTTCCTGTGCAAAATGCACTATAACTTCGTCCATACCTCCTTAAGCTGCCCCGCTGAGTTCTCCACTTTGGGCTTAACGTCTGCACCGCCTTTTCCAATCGCTACATATCAATTGATTCCTTCCATATTAAATCCGGGTACCGAGCGAGGAACTTATCTAACCTTGTTTCCTTGATGTATTGGGGGTTATCTACGAGCGAACTATCCTAGTGTCCGTTGGGGCTTTTGCCAATTGGGCTTTGCGTTACTATAGTAGGTGGTCGCTTTCTTGGGGGAAAAGAACAATAATGATAATAAACATGAATAGTGATCGTTGTACAATCTCCTACCGGAATTACAATACTCGTGTTGCTACTGAATACACCATCTCGAACAAAGTCTTCATCTTCCAAGATAGAAGATATACTACTGTTCCTCCGGAGGCATTTTCTACACTGGGTGGAAGCGATGAGTCTGCTCTGTGCTTATATCGGAGGTAGAGGGTATTCTTGGTCTCCCCCTTACGCTTATACCGTTAAGTAATCTAGTAGGCAGCCATGTTGATTTACACTAATAGATATAGTGCGACGAAAATTCTGTGATATCGGATTTTCTGCACGATGGAACATGCTTTGTTCTGAAAAATCAGCCTGATAGCTGATCAAGCACCGCGGGACAAAGTATTTGCACCTCGAACCGCAATGATTCGTACAGAGTTCGAGCCGGAGCTTCCTCATTGGATATGCCAGTTCCCACAGGTGAACAAAAAAAAAGGAGTGCAGAGTTACAGACTCTCGAGGGCCATTCAAATTGGGTTTGCTCGGTGGCCTTCCCGCCCGACAGCCAGCTGCTGGCGTCCGGCTCCGATGATGAGACCGTGAGGCTGTTGGACACAGCGACGGCCGACTTGCAAGAGACTTTGAACACCGACGGGATTATCAACAGACTCGAATTTTCTCAAGAAGGTCATTGTCCAATCACCAACCTAGGTACACTCGATGTTCTGTCCGGGCACGTAAATCATACCTTTGATTCAACCTAAACAGATCTGGCGATCTTCATTGACGAAGGACAGTGGATAAACCTGAACGGCAAGAATGTACTATAGCTTCCTCCTGACTTTCGGCTTAGCTGTTCCGCGATTAACGGGAATCCACTTGCCCGCAATCTTCAGTGGAGCACCCTGCATACTACAGGACCCCTGGGGCGAAATTAACCCAACGCTGAGGCCTTCACATTTACCTTAGTAGGCTATGCACTATACCCAATTCAGAAACTGGTCCATTTAATTTCTTACTAGCCCTCCCCACCTGGTACATATATCTCTCTACTTTGAGAAACTCCTCTTGAGCTATGTTACGATTGTCAAAGCCGAAACAACCCTGGCAGGTTACACCGAGTAAAGGAGAGGCAACTTACTGAATACTAATTTACACCCCAACACTATAAAGTTGAGCAGATTTCCGAGCTTAACGCTTCAACAATTACTTTGACCAGCTCCATATCAAAGATTCAATATCAGCAATGGCCATTCTCAAACCCATCGTTCTCGCTACCCTGGCTCTGGCTGCCCACTCAACAGCCCAGTCCGCAAATCCAGGCGTAGGATCCAACCCCAAAGCCACCGGAGCAACCGAAGTTGTCACATCAACCACAGGTCCAAACGGGTACGCACCATAACCCTCCCACACCAGTCCACATCCCTAACAAAAGACCAGATCCGAAGATTGGCTCAACACAGGCATCACCGGTGGCGGCTGGAACCCACCATTCCTCTCCATAGACGACGTCTACCACGTCTCCCTGGACAATTTCTACAATGGAATAGGCTCGGCATGCAGGCAATACGACGGGTACTTCCAAAGCGCCGGGTCCAAATACAGCGTGGACCCAGTAATCCTAGCCGTTATCGCAATGCAAGAGTCATCCTGCAACGCAAACGCCGGTGGTCCCACGCCGGGATTGATGCAAGTGTCCTGCGCGAACTATCCCAATGGCCAGTGTACGGATTCCATCCAGGATAACGTGGATGCGGGGACCCACTATCTCGCCTCGCAGCTGGATGCGTCGGGTGGGAACGCTATTAAGGCGTTTGGATCGTATAACGGGTGGTTTACTAAGGGTAGTGGATTGAATGGTAATAAGGGGCTTACGCAGGATTATCCTTGTTCGGCGGAGGGTAAGTCTAATGGTGTTCCACAGAACTTGGATTATCTGCATCAGGTTATGAATGGGTGGTTGATGGGGTTGGACGTTTATGGTGCTGATAATTGGATTGGGACTTACAAGTGTGATCAGTCTTGTGATAACGGCAGCCTATGCTAGGTTCTTCGGATATTTGTGCTAAATTAGCTGCTGTTTATTACAAAGTGGGGACTGAGGCTGGTCCTGTTTTTTCAAAGTATGATAAATTGGAATATTTCGCGAAATTGGTCTCATCTTATGGTATAGCAACAGGTCTCAATCTCATTTTGTTGAACTGGTTCCGCTCTTCAAGCAATTTCAAGAGCGACAAAATTTGCTCAGAAATGCAATAATTAGTCTGATCCCCCAAAACGGTATCATGTCTCAATAAGACAACGATGGCCCTGTGGAGCCATCAAGAAATAAGACTCCATGATCATATCACTCTCTGACATTCCTTCTTTCTTTGAAGGTCGGGCATCAGGTAAGGCTCGGAAGAAAAGCGCCGTGGCCATACGAAGCTCCATCCGAGCTAAATGGATACCCAAGCAGACTGCAAATGTTAGCTTTATCAGCAATCTAGATATCTGAGGCTTACTCCTAGATCCACCACCAAAAGGCAGGGAGGCATCTTTCATTTCCTTGCTAGGGTTTTCCCATCTCTCGGGATTGAAACTGCTACAATCAGATTTTTGCCCAAAGCTTCTGGAAATTTCTTTAACTCACCTGTACGGGTCTGGGAAAATAGAAGGATCTCGATGGAGACTATAAGACTGAGTTGATACTGTGATTCCTCCTGGTATTTGGAACCCACAGAAGTGTGCTCCTTCTGGTGGCACTGATCGAGGCAAGCCAAGAGGGACAGCCGTATACAACCGTAAAGTCTCCGTGATGACTAGGTTGAGATAAGGCAGGTTTCTGAGGCTTTTGTCTGTAATGGGCTCGGCAAGACCCATCAATTCAGCGACAAGTTTCTCTCGCACACGGCTGTCGTTAGACACAGCATAGCTCAGATAAGTCATGGTAACAGCAGTGGTATCGCTTCCTGCGACAATGTATCCGTGGGCCTCTTGTCGGATATCCTGCAATGACAAGCCGTTTTTCTCCGTATCAAACAATTTGGTGAGCAGAGTGGGCTTAGGGTCCAATGGATTCTGAGCCATGAGACGTCGGTAACGATCGATCGACTGGGCAGCATGCATCCCAATTCTTTTACCTGCCTGTACACTTTCCCTGAGCATTGGCAAGGGAATATAGCTGGCGATTTTGATTAGAGTTGGAAACGTCGTCCGAATTGGCTGGTACGATGCCAGTCGTTCCATGTCTATGGTGTATTGATTTTTCTGGATTCGTACCTTGTATTAGCGCAGATCTCTTCCCATATTGGTTTCCCGAATATGTCCACAAACCTTTCCTGCTTCGAGCATTCCGAACGAGTCACCAAAGCTTAGTTCGCCGATTATGTCTGTTGCCATAAATAACCACCATTTGAACACATCAGCAACACCGCGCGATTCCAGCTCCTGTTTTATTTTGCTGACAGTGAGGTTGATCCTATCAGCTATGAGCGGCTCGAAGCGAGTCAGAGAGGAGTCGGAGATGGGAGATGCCAGAAGACGCCGATGGACGGAATGAAACTTGGTATCCCTAGTCGAGAATACAGTGTGCACAGCCCCGCTAGCCAGGTTGCGGTAGAACACCGTTTTGAGGAAGCGGCTGTTTGTCTTGTGAATCTCTTTCACGGCATTTATATCACAGACGTCTATCTGATCTGGGCGAACTCGAACAATGGGGCATGTTGAAAACCCATGTCAGTACATTTCTGGGTGTAGGTACGAAACTGGCAACACTTACCATATTTCTCATGAAGCTTGTGGATGTATAAGGGTGCTTTTCCGCTCATCCAGTAGTACGTGTAGATCACTCCTGTCCACTTTGATATTTCAGGACCAGGGATATGCGATGTATTATTTGTGAGCCTTCGATATATGAACGTCTAGGATAGCGCTCCAGTCAATAACTCTTGAATAGGGGGAGAGGATGAGCATATGAGCCTACCAGACAAATAATCCCCACAAGACTTGTTAACCAGTGGCTGATGAGAAATGTTTCGCTGGGAAACTCCATTATGTAGCTTCGAACCTTAGAATTATTTGGCTCTAAGATTGCCAAAAGATCCATTACCTGACGGTTGCTTTATACTTAGCAAGTTTGAAGCGACGTCGCACAAATCAAAAATCTGGACAGCTGTCGATGTCGGGCGCCTTGTTTTCCGATTTCCGACATATTGGCTATTCGCAACGTTGTTTGCCCCGAACTCATCGGTCGGTCATTCGTGAACAAGCGAGGGGAGGGCAATGATCGACGAGGGCCACCGTTCGGCCTAACCGGCCGCCTCCATTGACCGATGTGGATATAGATGTGACTTCAGGGTCATTATAAACTTCAACGCTTGACTAGCTCTCTGATCCCTGCATGTTTGATGTCACATTGTGCCAAGATGTTTCTCTGCCCCCGCAGTCATCTTGCCTCTCACGGCCTTCCGCTACAATAACATCTTCGACGGAGAGCAAGACTTGATACATTAGTCTTAACACCTGCGCCAAAATGGAAGAGTACAGAGAGTACCACCTAAACAGCAGCCTAGTGAGTGCATTCATACTTTGTCTGGTCCACAAGACCCCTCAATTACTGCCCTGCAGCCTCCACCTGTCACGTATCTAAACTACCTCTGCGGTATACACTCCAACTGTCAAGTACGCTTTGTTCACTCTGAGAGACACCCACCACCACCGCTTGTCACACCAGAAGAAATCGAGAACGCGGAAAACTTATGTCCTCATAAACCGGGGGCCTGCAACATTTTAGAGATCAACCCATCAACTATATGGAAAGTCGGACCCGTGGTCCAGATGGCAGAAGCTGAAACCCCCATTCTTGCCAGGGAAGGACTTCAGTCCCTGTTTCAAAAGCTTTGAATGTATATACGGTCCACAGCATAGGTTTTATCTTAATGGAGAATATCCCAGGTGTCCCTCTGATACGTTGCTGAAATCCTTTTCAAGCGATTCTTAAAGAACTCTTATTCAACAATTCGAAGCCTCCACACAGGGTTGGCGCCAGATTGAAGGATCTTTTTTCGGGACTGTTGATGGCGGACCCTGCGAAGATGTAGTTTTGAAACATCCATGGGACTTGAGTGCCGGGAGGACCGTCAATTTGGGCCTTTCTCGACAAGGGATGAGTACCACAAAGGGGCCGTGAAGGCTCTTTGCTACGCGAGGCCAAAAGACAAACTCACGAAGCACGATGGTCTTCTGGTAAAAAGGATTATCGCCTCCAGAAGCCAAGACGAAAGAAAGGTTCTAACGCATGGTGATCTGGACCCAAGCAATATTATGATGAAGGACAGTGTTATAACTGAGATCATTGGCTGGGGTGCGTCTGGGTATAGTCCATTGCTGAGGAATACAGTGCTCTACGATAGCCAGCTATGAAAATGCTTGGAAAGAACTTTCATCTACTATAACCGAGGTCAACCAATATGCTTTTTGAAACGAGGTCAATCAATCTATGGTTACTTTTACTGGGATTTAAGCTACCATTCGAGTATGTGGTTGGAACTTACATGTTCAGTCATTCATTCTTATTATCAATACTTGTGATAATTTGATCTTTGTAGATTGCCATGTTTACTAACAGATAATGGTAGTTTCTGCATGTCAAAACAAAACCACGAAATCGAAAAAGAGGGTTGCAAAGTAATAAATTGATATTATGGTCGTTGTCACATTCGGCTAGCTACAAAAGTTCTAAGATTTAGGAAACTGAAAGCAAGGCTAACTATTTCAAGACGCATCTACCGCACAGTATCAAGGTAAATGATGCAGTAAGAAGGCCCCGCCCCAAAATACCAGATTTGCTAATGCAATCACATCCCGCAGGCAGGGACAGTAAATGGACGCCGTAACCATCAGTACACAGATTCAACCAGTGGGTGGGTTGAACTCGAATCCACAGTCACCACGGAAATTGAGGGTTGTACATTACCCGGAAGTTTGATTGCCAGATAAACATCAAAGCGAGAAGATTGCCCCATAAAATCTGCATGCAAAGATCTGCGAGATGCCCTTGCGCGTGCATCGGCATTCGATTGGCGCGAGTCGCAGGACGCGGTTTTGGAATATAGAAGACACATGCCAGTTCAAGCTTCAAGTGACCTTGGGACGCTTGGCGTTATTGAAGCCAGAGCCTGGGTGCGACCGCTTGCGTTCCATTGCCTCCATCTCAGCCTTCATGATCCTCTCCTGCTCAGTCATCTTCTTAGGAGGAGCGAACACGGAGCCCTTCTTGCCAGCCAAGGGGTTCTTCTTAGCAGCAGCAAACACGTTCTTGGGCTTCTGTGCGCCCATCGACATCGAGACTTTGACTGGTGCCGGTGCTGCAACTTCGGCGGGTGGAGTGGGAGAACCAGTGGTATGTGTGGGAGAATCCTTTGTCTCGGGGGACTCGGCTGTAGTTGGAGGTGAGGGTGGCTTTGCGTCTGTCTTTGGCTTTGAGCCAAATCCGAAATCTAGCTTTATCTTCTCGCCTTCCTTTCGCTGTAACAATTTCGCTTCAGGTTCCTCTTCTGTCTTGTTGGCTGCACTGCGCTGGGCCCGCTCGATCTGTTCTTGAATTTGCTGCTGTTCCCTCTCCTCATCACCCTTGTCCTGTCGCTCCTTTTTCATGACGGCTTCACGCTTGCGCATGGTTTCGGGGCTGTTATCGATCCAAGAGACAAACAATCCCTTCTCGCCTTCCTCCACGCGGCAGATACCCTCCCGTCCGAGATATGAGGCGAACTGTGTCAGGCTTGACCATTTCGTGGAGTTCATATGAATATGCTGTTCAAAATTAGCACATGTTCCGATCTTTCAAATAACCACCCGGGTTGAAGACTCACGCTTTTATCTTGGATAACTTGCTGGTAAAAGTGGTTGATTTGTATCTTCTTCTCGCCGTGTGTTGTTCTCAAAAGTTCAACGAAGTTCCGTAAAAAGTCTCGGCTGAACTCTTCGATGTGCTTCTTGGAGTTCTCGCCGATTAGGAGCATCTGTCTCGTGTGGCTTTCACTGTTCACATGGCACTTGAATCCGTTTTGATCGTTGCATTGCTTTTCTTGAAGATGTTAGTATACACATGGAAGGCAGAGTGGGCATTACACTTACCACAGGCCTGACAATACCAGCGAAGTCGGCCTAAGCCTTTGGACTTCATCTTGTTGCTGATCGCCTTCGTGCTTCCGGCTTCGGCGCGCGGCATGTTGGGCAAGTGTGTGCAAGATAAAAATGTGAGATATCGACAGTGAAATGAGGAAAGAGAAGATGGCTGTCAAGGGAGAAAGCTGTTCTAGAGAGGCAGGTGTCAATGTCGAGATAAAAGATGGAGATGGAGATCGGCCCTCGGAGGCGATAAGCCAGCCCATTACTAAGAAAATACTTCGAAGTCACGTGGTGATAAAGAAACGGACCAACTGGCCCGTGATTGGTGAACTGCTTTTATCTAATGGTTTGATACAGTGTGAAAGTCACAGTTTATGAATTGATACAGAATGAAGTATTCTGGTGAAAAGAAATATCTGACCGAACTCCCCAAATCCTACGCCTGCGGCCTGAGGTGGCCTTTTCTAGGACTCGTAGCATACATGTAAAAAAAAGACAAAAAAGAAAAGAAAACAAGTCAGACTCAAAATAGCCAACTTCGCCAGACAACGTCTCATAAAGAGCATAATTTGCGAAATAGACGAAGCCCGGACCAACGGTAAATGGTCAACATGCTAGATGTGCGAGTCGTATTACAAGATATATTCGTGAATGGCGGATGGTCCGCTCTCGTTGTACTCAACCCGGCTCATGTAGCCCTTGCTGAGACCCTGATCAAGAACGAAGAAGACCTTGGCAGCCATCTGAGCACCGAGGAAAACGGCTTCCTCCATGCCGTGGCCACCCTGGGATGACCCGGGTGTGGAATTGGCTCCGCTGGCACCGGGGGCGTTGCTGTTGCCGTGGTCCTTGAAGTCGGGGAAATACTCAGGAAGCTTCAGAGTCTTGACAGAAGTGGGGGTCTGGGAATGACCGGTTGAGCGGTAGTGTACCGTGTTGGGATCCATCCCAGGAGTGCCGGGCATACCGGGTATACCGGGGTTGTTGTGAGTAGCAGCAACGAGAAGAGGGTTCACGCCGGGAGCTGCGGGGTGGTACATCATCCCAGATTGGCCCATATGAGAGGGTGTGTTGGCGCCGGTGGGAGCAGGAGTGGTGAAAGTAGAGGGGATTTCAGAGGTGAAAATCGTGCCAGAAGGAGAAAGAATGAACTTTTGTTGGATGACACCGAGCAAAGCCTGAGTGAAGCCTGTTTCAACGTTAGTAAAGATAGTTCGCGACGGAGGCAAATCATCAATAAAACTTACCCTTGACCTTGCTTCCACATCCAACAATGATTAGAGAGTCCCAAAGCTCGCTTCGTTTTGTAGCATCAGGAACAGCAATAATGGTATGGTGAATTTGTGTGGCAATGTCCTCAAGAATCCCGCTGGTGAGGCGGTCTCCGTTCTTTAAACGAGGCGAAGTGAGAAGGAAACGCTCAATGCTGACCTCAATCTCTCGTTGTCGACGGATGTACTGTCGAGAATCGTTGGGTGCTGCATCCTGTCCTTCCAATTGCACGAATTCTTCGAACTGGAATGAAGCCTTCTCTTTCTTCGAGTTGGGAAGACGGCCTTGCTTTGGATCGGCTGCTCCTTTCTTTGTCGTCGTCTTTTCCTTCTCAATATTGGCAAGATATTCGGTCGTGTTACCGCTGACAATTGCAGCGACATCGAGGACACCCTCGTCTTCTTCATTACTACCCTCTGTACCAGTTTGGGTGCCGTCTCCTGGACCACGCGGGGCAGAATCGTTGCTATCTGCTCCTCCAGTCGAGGCAGCAGCAGCGGGGTTCGCACCCTGGCGCGCGGTGGCAGCGTCTCCAGGAAGTGGAGTTCCGGGGGGAAGGATCTCGGTAATGTTGCTTCGCTTGAGCTGCTCGCACATCTCTCTAGTGAATCCCTTGGGACCCAGCAATTCGAGAAGGCGATCCGTCATGGAGTCTCCACCGCAGCCCTCCAGGGCAATACCTCTGCCGTGCTCGTTGACTGCGAAATCGGTAACAGCAGTAACATCAACCTTGCCCTTGCCGACATCGACAACGGTAGCTGTGGGTACACCGTAGCCGTAACAAGCCGCAAGCGCAGAGTCCATAAGACTGAATGCTGGAGCCTTGAACTTCTCAAAAACGAATTGGGTGATTGCTTCGCGGTCGCGCGCAGACCAGACAGGCTCGGTGATGAGCATGATTGGAGTGTGGAAAGGTGGGCTCAAGGTGTTGTAAATGTGAGTGAGAAGAGCAAAGAAGCAAGGCCAGTCGACAATGCGCCCGTTCTCAATGGGATAGATTGCGTCTTTGTCGGACATCACATCCTCTTCGTAGAAGACCTCTTCAACAGTCTTGGTAGCTTCACCATTGTTCTGGGCACCGTCACCCTCGCCTTCGGGTTTCTCGGTGGGTTCGGTCTTTGGAGCGTCGGCCGCAGAGGGTTGAGCGTCCTTCATTTCCACGTCTTCCTTCGGCGCCTCTGTGCCATTCTTGACCTTAATCTCCTGGCGCCTCTCATTGACACGGTAAGGTTCAAATTCTCCCTTCTTCTCGGCGGGGAACATGCGTGTTGGGAATCGGAATCGCGCGGGCGTGAACGTTTCGGGCAAACCCAGCTGGGCCAGGGTCGTTTGCGAACCCGGCGCAATTAGCTAGACAAGTCAGTAATTAATATTCTGGTAACAGGACGCGGGTGAAAAGGTTGTCCATACCAAAATATGCTCATCCTTGAAGGGAGGCATGGTGATGGTAGGCTTTGAGCGCAAGTGGTGATAACTAGCCACGGGAGCTCCGCGCTGTGTCGATTTGCGATGGGGAGTACGCCTTCTTCCCATTTTGGCTTAGCGTCGGCAGGACCAATGAGATGTCACGTGTGCTGAGATACTTCTGCCTCGTTTGTAAGGTGTCGAGATATCAAATCTTAGAGTTGATATGGAAAAAAAAGCAACCTCGGAATTTCGGATTTCAGATCAATCAGAGTTCGAAATACTTGGAGAAGGAGCGCTCAAATGTCTTGTCTTCAGAAAACTATACTCTGTCAATACAATCTACCCCAGTACCACATCCTTTTGATCCAACTAAGATATCAATATCTTCAGTTCATATTGAATTTACTTCTTTTTACGTAGGACCAGAGCAACGTAGAGCTCATTTGTGAAAAGATGGGGAAAAGACACTTGAAATATGCCAGACATATCTTGCAGCATGGAGTTTGCAGCTCCCTTCGATATATATATATATTGACCGATTCTCGGCAAACCACCACCTGGTATTTTTACTCTACAGTTTACAAACTTGAATCGTTGAACTCCACTGGGAAGGAGACCAGAGAGTTTTTATTAAACGTTGAAATCATGTGCAATTCAATGATGCATTGACGTGTATACGCCATTAGTATATCCCCAACCCACCCCCAAACAATGACCAGAAAGACCAAGAACCGTCGAACAAAACTCCAGACCCACATATCCAGTGAGACTCGCAAAACGCCCAGTGACCCTTTTGCTCTATGACCAGCACGAGTCTTAAGAGATTCTATTCAGGCACGGCATTGTACTTGTCCGTTGCTGAACGAAACAGCTCCTGCTGTTGTCGTAGAAGCTCCTCCTCCGTCAGACCACTCTGCTCCATCTTGCTTTGCTTCTTCTCTCGTGACTAGAATTAAACCAAGGTCAGTAACTTGTTATGAGAGAACAATGCGCATCGAACCACACGGGCATAGACATACCTTGAGCTGCTGCTTGTGCTCCTCAGCAACGGCGAGAACATCGGTAATATAATCACTGAAACCAAGATCCCGCAGGGCCTTCTCAACGTGTTCACATGCGATTGTCTTCTTGGCTTCCTTCTCGCTGATATCGTTTGCCTCAGAGGATATCAGGGTGATGAATTCAACACAGCATTCCATGAGTAAGTCGCGCGCATCTTTGGAGAAGGTTTGACCGGAGCTGGGGGGCAAGATTTCGGTGATAATTTTCTGGACCGTGGCTGTCGCAAATATCTAGGTTAGCAAAGGCTCGTCTAATGCGCATACATAGCCGCAAGTGCAAAAGAGGCGAAGGAACAAGACAGCTACCAGAAGAGCTGCATGCGTCCCCAAACACTGAAATTGATCACGAATAGGGTTTTTAGATCGTACCTTTGGGAAGCGACAGGTCGTCGTTTGCTATTTAAGCATGAGATGTCAGCAAAAGCGCGCGCAGGCTGTCAGGATTCCGGCCACCTACAGCTAAATTCACGGTCGGACATGGTGAAATCGACACAGGAATATCGTGGAAATGAAGAGCTTGGTAAAATCGAGCTGAGAAGCGGAAAAGCGAAAAAAAGTTGCGATCGTAATTTCCTCGAGCTTTTGCGTGGGGCTCGAAGTTTCTTGGAGACCATCGCAGGCGCGCTGGAGTTAAATACATTTCTTGCCGGCAGTACCACACCGCTCTCGACTACATATAATGTGCGCTCAATTTTTTTCCTTTTCTTCTTCTTCATCATTCATCACTCTCAACCACCTTGGATTGAGTCTTTCTAATGCGATTGACTCTCTCCAAGGCCCTGCAATAATGGTAAGTTCTTGAAACTTGAATTCCTCACTTTCCTTTTTACCATGATGAACCTTGTTGTCGCCCCTATCATACATTCTATGGTGACCATACCTGTCCTAGCCAAACGGACTTTCTGATACCATCAATATTGCCTATATTGCATCTCACTTCGTTTGTATGAAGTTCTTGCTAACTTTGTTGAAGATTTTCACAGTGAACCGACATTCGTAGCTTGAGACAAAATCTCCACATTCTTTTTTTTCACACCAACGGAACAACATCCGGAGGACAGGAACACTTCACATCTCTCTGTGTATCTATTATCCAAAAGGTACGCGTTGAATTTTACTATATTTTGAATTTGAATTACATGATGAACACCCTACATTCCATGCTAAACATGAAGGTGTGCTGCACCTAATGCTTATAAAATGTATATGCTTTTCATCTTTCGGCTGACTTGTAACCCAATCATTGCCTTGCACTTGCTTCCAATATGTTATAGCGATCCATGCTGACTTGCTATATAAGACCACAGATATGAACATGAAAATTCTTCTAGCTGATAACGATAACAATGATATAATACTCTATGCCTGGAAAGCCTCAAGCTCCTTGTCGTTCCATCTGTAATCTATTAGCATCTTGAACGTAGTGACTGTAGGGTTCAACATACGAGTAGAAATGACCACTGATCTCCTTGGGCGCATCAAGAACCAGCTTAGCCATGACATGACCAGGCTGCTCAGGCTTAAGAAGCTTGCCATCCTTGTGGACACCGGTGAACTTGGAGTGCATCTCGGCATCCAGATTTGTGGCATGGTCCTCCCGGAGCTCGCGCTGCATCTCGGTGTCGACCATACCAGGTCGGATAGAGACGGAGGTAACATCCGGTTCTTCAGCACCCAGGCTCATAGCGAAGTTGTTCATAGCGGCCTTGGTAGCGGCGTAAAGAGCCCAGCCGCGGTATCCGGTGACTGCTGCACCGGAGGACGTGAAGATGATTTTCCCCTTGGACTCGCGTAGAGCTGGGAGAGCTGCTTTGGCCTGGTTTTGTTGTTAGCATTGAACGTAGAGTAGCACTGCATTTATGGGAGACACGTACAAAAGCAACCAGGCTGATGAAGTTGATATCGAAGCCTTCCTTCCACTGTTGTGGATCGGCTTCTGAAATTTTTCCGATTTGGCCCAGAAGGCCGTGGTTCAGGACCATGCCGTCCAGCTGGCCGAAGGTCTTGATGGCCGTGTCCACGGCCTTTTGGGCAAGGGAAAAGTCTGCCAGGTCGCCGTTTAGGACTTCGACTTGTTTGTTGTATTGCTCCTTCAGTTTTTGGAGGGGCTCAACGCTGCGGGCTACCACCACCACATTGTGGGATTGGGGTGATGAGAGCAGGTACTTGGCCACTGCAAGACCGATTCCTGACAGATGGTGTTAGCGTATGGCCGTGAATAGATGAGCTCGGGCTGTTACCTCGGGAGGCACCTGTGACGATGATGGTTTTGGCAGCCATTTTGGGAAGTTCTGCCCTGACAGTTAGTGACATGGGGCCTTTGGTGTATAACATGAAGCATTGAGATATTCAAAGACAGCAAAAGAGATTGTCAAATAGGAATATCTCCTTTCAATTGTATAAACATCGCGCATCCTGGGACAAGACTGGACCAGAGACGACGAAGTAACACAAATGACACCCCTCTTCGAAAGCTCATGGAGATAGAAATGCAGACTGCAGTGTTCCAGACAAACATCAAACATACCTTTCAATGTGATATTGCACTTGCTGGGGCCTTCAATGATTGTGACTAGGAATGAACTGGCGGTTTAGTGCGGGGCTTAATAATCTCGTGGGGTTGGCCGGCTTTGAAAACGTCATAGTTATCACTCAAGCATTCTCATCCATACCGAAGTGACTACGAAAAATTGACATTCCCATGAATTGCCAAATATTTCCATGTGAAGGTTTGTGGAAAGCGGTTTATACCTATCTAACAGGACACAGCCGAGGGATAGAAAGGCCCGTTTATGCTGGTTTGCCGTGCTTCATACGGCATTTATCTAGCAAGACCGCATGAATAAAGCCTAGAGCATATCTAATGCGCTAAAGCACGTCTAGACGAACTTATCTCTGTCCTGCCCCGCCATTGCTTGAAGTCCTGGCCTAGTGCATCTGAGGGGGAAAAACTTCATAGGCCAGTGAGATGAACGGGATATCATAAAGTTGACCCAAGATCATTCGTCAGCCAGAAGTGTAACTATTCAAACGATATTGTATTGTCACACGTTGCAGTGACAACCTTGGAAGGGACGCGACATTGTCCAAAGACCAGTCATGTCGACCGTTATTCTTGGAGGAGGCATCATTGGCACCTCAATTGCTTACTACCTGTCTGCCAATCAACCTGAAGGCGAAATACACATTGTCGAGCAATCCCCAGAGCTTTTCTCAGCGGCTTCGGGATATGCTGCAGGCTTCTTAGCCAGAGACTGGTTTGTTCCATCTCTGGCACCTCTCGGTGCTTTATCGTTTGACCTGCACAAGGAGCTTGCCGCTGAAAATTATGGACAAAAGAACTGGGGATTCATGAACGGGACGGCTTTCAGTTTGGATACTGTTTCTCGCCAGAGACAGGGTGCGCCACGCGGCGATGGCTCTGATGATCCTACCCCCGTTGAGTGGCCGAAGTGGTTGACGAAGCAGAAAGAAGGTATGATAGAGAGGATCAGCGAGGAGGGAACTGTGGCTCAAGTGTGGGTGGCTTCGAAAAGAACTAGCTCTTAAAGTATTTGCTGATTTTTGTCAGTGATCCATTGAGATTGAGCCACTATCTGATGGATGGTGCAATATCTCGAGGGGCGAAGCTCCATCACCCAGCCAAGGCAGCCGCGCTTGTCAAAGATGCGGATGGCACAATCACCGGCGTTAGTATTGTGTCGGGGGATTCAAAGAAAGAGTCAACAATTCCATGTACAAATCTTGTTCTGAGTATGGGGCCTTGGACGCCACAGATTTTCAAAGATCTATTCCCATCCTCGAGTATATCATTAGATATCTCACCTCTGGCTGGCTATTCTCTTGTCGTTCGCTCCCCTCGGTATACGTTGGAACACCAGAGGAATGTCCACAGGGGACAAAGTCATGCTGTCTTTACAACGTACCCTTCATCATATGGGTTCAGCCCCGAGATCTTCCTCAGGGAAGGTGGCGAGATTTATATCGCCGGTCTCAACCCTACCATCAAGCTTCCCTCTCGGGCAGAAGATATTAACCGGCTTTTTGATCCCCGCGAGATGCAGAAACTCAAGGATGTTACCGTCCGTTTGTTGGGTGGTCTTGCTAAAGATACAGAAGAGGCAGCCGACAAGACGACCAACCTCGACGACCTAGAGGTACTTCGAGAAGGGCTTTGCTTCAGACCTGTGGGCAGTACTGGTGTTCCCACAATTGGCGAAATCGAAAATCTTTCCTTGGGAGGAGGAACGAGGGCAAGTCCCAGAGGCGGCGTGTTCATAGCCGCTGGTCATGGACCGTGGGGAATATCATTAAGTCTTGGGACGGGCAAGATTATATCTGAGATGATAAAGAAGCAGAAAACCTCGGTTGATGTGACAGGACTCGCAGTCACGGGAAAAGGCTCAACTTCTCCGTTGTGATATATACAGGACTGCTTGAACCTCTCATGATTTGGGACTGATTTGCTTCCCATAAATAGTGGCCCCTCATTGAATGAAATGAGTTAGTGGTGAATAATAATATAAGGCCTTGATATTGAAGACAAAGCAGTGCCTTCTAACCACACTGAGTGGTCTACCATTACATCGAGCCCTGATATAGCGAAGGCTCGATTTAACGGATAATAAGGGTGCAAAACCCAAATGTCTCTGGGTTATGCCGAGTTCATCGCTACTCCGAAATTTGTTAGATCTCTACACCTCTCTCATACCAAGTTCGTTTATCGAGTCTGACTCATCGCGTTTGTGTGATACTACATGACGACACTCCTTTACAACGATATTAACTTACTCCTTCAAGCTCTCATGTTCAACCCACACCGCTTGCCCCAATGAGTCTCACCTTGAGCAGATGATGGCAGAATGTTCGATGGTGATCCAGGGCTTAGTCATCCGCCCTCGTCCCCGGGAACTGACCGCCCGCCAACTGACCGCCCGACAGCTCTCCAGAAACTTCAGGCATTGCATAACCACCGCAAGCTTTCAAATCAACTTCTTAATTTCGACTACGCCCGCCACCTCGACCGCGAGGTGATCCTATTCCCCTTATACCTCATCCATTACCATCGCTCGATCTGCGCGATTCTGACAACCCGCAATCATGGCCAACTATCTCGCCTCCATCTTCGGTACCGAGCAGGACAAGGTCAATTGCTCCTTCTACTACAAGATCGGCGCATGCCGCCACGGCGACAGGTGCTCTCGCAAGCATGTCAAGCCTTCCTACTCGCAGACCATCCTGATGCCCAACATGTATCAGAACCCGGCCTACGACCCTCAGAACAAGATGAACCCGAGCCAGCTCCAGAACCATTTCGACGCTTTCTACGAGGACGTCTGGTGTGAGTTGTGCAAGTATGGTGAGCTTGAAGAGCTTGTCATTTGCGACAACAACAATGACCGTAAGTTGGATCTCCTTCCGAGGTTGGTGAATTCCCCGACAGCCTGCTAACATCTGACTCGTGACAATAGACCTCATCGGTAACGTTTACGGCCGGTTTAAATACGAGGAAGATGCGCAAGCCGCCTGCGACGCCCTGAACTCTCGCTGGTACGCCGCGCGGCCCATTTACTGCGAGTTATCCCCCGTTACAGATTTCCGAGAAGCGTGTTGTCGTCTCAATAGCGGAGAAGGGTGCGTGCGAGGAGGATTCTGCAATTTCATTCATCGCAAAGATCCCTCGGCCGAGCTTGACCGCGAGCTGCGACTGAGCACCAAGAAGTGGCTCAAGGAGCGCGGCAGAGATGCGCGCAGCGTCAGCCGCAGTCCTAGCCCAGAGCCTGCCCGCCGGCGGCACTAGTGATGTTTCGCAGTGCTTTCTGGACTTTGACTTCATCGACCTTTTGATTTGATCTTTTCCCGGCGTTCGGCGATATCAGTGGATGATTCGATTCCGCTTTCCTTTGCGCATCGGAGCGTCTAGGGTATGGGGTTTCGGTCCTTTTTTTTGCTGATCAGCATTTTGTGTTTCATGGCATGATATCAGAATTTCAAGACGAAAATTTACTGCTAGATAGCATAGAACCTGCTATGTCCTTCGCATTGTTCTCCATGTATTAGTAGTACCCAGAATGCATTTTGACCTAACACGAAAACACTTGATTTATCAGAATTCGGCTACCGTAGTATCGAGAGCTTCCTTTGAAATTCTCGAATTTTAAAATCGAATGAATACTCTCTACCAAGTTGTCCTTTGTCCGATGCGCCGATTCCGCGATCTTGGCATCCTTTTTGATAGCTACGCGAGCGCGCCGGCGCGTCGATTCTAATTCTCGGAACAATCGCCTCAGTACAACTCAACCCAGCTGATATTGCGATTTTTGCTGTCGCGCCAAGCTCAGCTGACAAGAGGGTCAATTCCGACAACATGGCAGCGGCGTACGACCACAGCAATCGCGCCTTTCTTCAGGCGTTCATGGCACGCTCGTCCATGACCTTCGAAGAGGCCCAACCAGTCTTGGCTGCGATATTGACAGTCTCTGGTACTTCTCCCAACTGAGCTTCAATGCTATCATCTGTGGGGATGTCTGCTAACCGCAAAAATTGAACAGAGGGCCAAACAGTTGACCCCGAAGATGTCACCGAAGACCAATTCTCCTCTTACGTCTCAGCAGCCAATACCGCAATTTCACCCTTCGACCTTGAGATCAGAAGCTCATTACCGCAAGTTCCTCAATCCACAAATACGGATGACGCCCCTACGTTACCGGAACGAGTGTACGCCCTCGTCAACACAACAAGTGATCCTCTGACCCAGCTCGCAACAACCTACTCCGCAGATGAAATCGCCTTCTTGAAACGCCTTCTTGACTACATGTTCATCACAAACAACACAATACGATGCGAAGGAATGGCCGCTACCCAAATGCAAGCAGTCCAATTGCACCGAGTTGGCGATGCCAATCGACGACAGTCCCAGGCTGCTGATACGCAACAAACCCAAGCTGGAGCAACGCAGTCGCTGCGTATGACACAGGCGGAAACGATGGTCAAGAATTTGATTGAGGAGGGTTGGCTACAGAAGAGCTTGAAAGGATATCTCAGCCTGACACCACGAGCCCTGATGGAGTTGCGGGGATGGTTGGTGTTGACGTATAATGACGAGCAATATGATGGCCACCGAGCGCATCGGATTAAGTTCTGTGCTGCTTGCAGCGATATTATCACCGTTGTGAGTATACTTGGCACTTTATTTGCTTGGAACTGCATCTGACTGAGATTTAGGGCCAACGCTGCGGTGACCTCGAGTGCGGGGGACGACTTCATGAACATTGCATGCCTAATTTCTTCCGTATGCAGCAGGGGGAGAACTGCCCCGTGTGCAAAAAAGAGTGGCCGGGTGATCATTTTGTAGGCGAGAGAGCCTTTGCTTCGAGAGCACAACCGAGAAGTATTGCGCATCCGAACTCACAGGTTCCTTCTTCCAGTGAGCCCAATGGCGAGGATCAAGAATCGGAAGAGGAGAATAGTGATGAAGATGGATGAACTTTGATATACAGTGGCATGATCGATTATCACTCATACTGATCTTGGCCAAATATGCCGATGATAGTGCCAGTTTCTTCTTCCATCGTGCAGTGGATATCACACACCGCAGAGAATCGGAATGGTGAAAAGAAGTACAGTCCATAGAGCTTACTGGAGCACTCGGGCAGCGAGAACTGTCCCCCACGCAATCCATTCGGTCTCTCAACTTAGCATCGCATGCGATACCTCGCCCGCCATCTCTTCGAACGGAGAACTCATGTTCAAATTCCACCAGATGTATCTAATTCAACCTGTTGTCCAATCTATCACTATGGACTGTTGATACCCTCGAGTGCAAGACCATACACAAACCTGGCATTGAATCCCCACAGACTGGCGTGGAATCAAGTAATTGGAAAAGAAGCTACAATTGTCCATCCATAGACACAAGCTCAACCGAGTTAATCATCTTCCCCCGCCGAATATCCAACATGCCTCTAGTTTTGTGAGATTTATACGTAGTCTGAACAGACACCCGAAGCCGCTAGATCCCCAGATTTCTCCTTCTCTAGGTCAAGGTATACAACACTACCAATGAAACGAGCACAGGTAAGTCCTGGTTTCCCCAGCCAGAAGACAAGCAATATACTCAGGTTGTCGGAGATTACCTCCATCGGGCCTCGGGCCGGGTTTCGGTTTCTGCGCCGTTGGCTATTTACCCTGAATTTCCAGCGATCAATGCTTCGGATTCGGTGGGGTCGATGAAATAGTAATTTGATACATCAACGCTCGTCTTATAAACTCTTGAAGGCGACGTGTGATGGACAAAGTGGAAGTATATGACCAAAGGACACCTGAGGCACCACTATACTTTCTACACCTCAACATATTCAAGTCCCAACAGCCTTTAGACCGAAAGCATTTGCCCCAGTAATTTAACTCTAGGCTTCCAACGGTCATTTATCGGGCAATTACTCAGAATGCGGGCTCGGTTCTCCCGCCCCCCACATAATTCTCGCGCCAAACCTTCTCTCGGACTCGATGACGACGATCTGGGGATCCGGCAAGGCAAGTCTTGCCCGTGGATGCCGACTGCCAGGCTTTTCGGCCATCTTGGCCAATGTCATAGAAACTTACAAATGCTTTGCCCCCGCATATCCCGACTGTTCCGTAGAGCCCAAGTCTCATACGACATCTCTGAGCGGCTCAGCCAACGCCACCCCCCGGACTCTACTTCGTATAATCCACCGCGAACGGTCCTGTGCCAGTCAGGTGTGACATCGGTTCCCCACAATTTGCCATGAGTTGAGGGCTTTTTGATTTATCATGTACCTGGATCGGCATTTCCTTTCTTCACTGGGAAAGTGCACTTAAACCTTTTATCCTTCCTCTTCCACTTTTCTTTCTTCAACCCGTCACCACCCCGTGTCCTCGACTGTCAGTAAAGACTGCCGCTCGTATATATAACTTGAGATCCAGCTTTTTGGATTCTATCTACCCAGGAATCGAACTGGTTAGGAAGGTGGCGAAACTGCACTATGCAGTTCAAAGTGAGTCTCCGACAGCCCCGTGACCAACAGGAACTGTCATCTGACCTATTATCTCTAGTCCATCACCTGCGCGGTCTTGCCGCTGCTTGTATACCTTGGAGTTCCTGTTAGCGGAGCACCCAACGGACGGGTCATCAGAAGCGTCCAAAAGTACGCCGGCTCAGGCTATGCGGGTAACTTCAGCAAGAATGTGTATCAAACAGGCTTTGACAGCGTGACATGGGACGAAGACAACTGGCTTCTTAGCACGACCAACTTGGAGCAAGGTCGCTTTCAATCACGCGGATCTGTAGCAAATGGATACCTGGGTATCAATGTTGCCAGCGTTGGCCCGTTCTTTGAGATCGATAGTCCCGAAGACACTAACGGATGGCCACTTTTCTCTACCCGCCTGTCCTTCGCAACGATTAGTGGGTTCTTTGATTCGCAGCCTAATACCAATGGTACCAACTTCCCCTGGCTGTCACAGTATGGCGGGGACAGTGTGATCAGTGGTGTGCCACACTGGTCGGGACTGATTTTGGATCTTGGCAATGATACATACCTGGACGCCAAGGTGGACAACAAGACTATCTCCAACTTCCGATCTACATACGATTTCAAAGCAGGTATCTTGATCTGGTCTTACACATGGACGCCACAGGGCGACAAGGGCTCGTACCAGATTACCTACCGCCTCTTTGCCAACAAGCTGTACGTCAACCAGGCCGTGGTGGATATGGAGATCGTTCCATCTACGGTATCGGAGGCCACCATTGTTAATGTTATGGACGGGGCTTCTGCTGTGCGTACCGACTTTGTCGAAACTGGAGAAGACAACGGTGCTATTTTCTCGGCTGTTAGACCGAACGGAATTGCCAATGTCACAGCCTATATCTACACCAACATCACTGGATCGCCAAATGTGGACTTGTCTTCGCGCAAGATCGTCTCCAACAAGCCATACATTCACGCCAACGACTCTTCCATTGCGCAAGGTGTGAACGTGAAGTTCCAGCCTGGTGAGACGGTTCGCATCACCAAGTTTGTTGGAGGTGCTTCGACCGATGCTTTTAGTGATCCGAAGAAAACAGCCAAGGAGGCTGCTTCTACCGCAATGAAGAATGGATACGCCAAGTCCGTTCGTTCGCATATTATGGAGTGGGCTAGTGTCATGCCTGAGCATTCTGTTGATCACTACGCATTGCCGAACGGAACACTTCCTGCAGACCCCAACATCATTGATGATGCAGTCATTGCCGTGGCCAACACGTACTACTTACTGCAAAACACTGTTGGTAAAAATGCGATCAAGGTAGCCTCGGGAGCCCCAGTGAATGTGGACAGCATTTCCGTTGGTGGTTTGACCTCGGAATCTTACGCTGGCCAAGTCTTCTGGGATGCCGATGTATGGATGCAACCTGGCCTTGTTGCCTCCCATCCAGAGGCCGCCCAGCGGTTCACGAACTTCCGTGTAGCCAAGTATGAGCAGGCACAGGCGAACATTCAAACAAAGTTCTCAGGATCACAAAACCAGACGGTTTTCTCCCCATCGGCTGCCATATATCCTTGGACCAGTGGCCGTTTTGGAAACTGTACAGCTACTGGCCCTTGCTGGGATTATCAGTATCATCTGAACGGAGATATTGGGCTTTCCTTGATCAACCAGTGGGTTTCCAGTGGTAACACGCAGCTGTTCAAAGAAAAGCATTTCCCGATCTATGACTCTATAGCCAATCTCTATGCCGATTTACTGGTTCGGAATGGCTCTTACTGGACATTGACAAACATGACTGACCCTGTGAGTAAATATTTACCCACAATGTGATTCGATCAACTTACAAGATTTAGGACGAGTATGCCAACCACGTTGATGCGGGTGGCTTCACAATGCCGCTCATTGCTGAGACACTTCGATACTCGAATGCATTCCGCCAACAGTTTGGTCTCGAGGCGAATTCAACCTGGGATCAAATGGCCGATAGTGTTTTGGTCCTTAGCGATAATGCCGTGACTCTCGAATTCACCACCATGAATGGAAGTGCCGTTGTTAAGCAAGCTGATGTTGTCATGGTCACCTATCCGCTGGACTATACTGCCAACTATACCTCCCAGGATGCACTGGATGATCTGGACTACGTGAGTATTGGCCTATCAACCTCCACCGAGTGAGAGGACGAAGTTAACGTGATAAATCTAGTATGCCGCCAAACAGTCACCCGATGGCCCGGCTATGACCTGGGCTATCTTCTCAATTGTCGCAAATAAGATGTCTCAGTTTGGTTGTTCGGCGTATACATATGCCCAGTATTCATACAAGCCTTATACACGCGCACCATTCTTCCAATTGTCGGAACAAATGGTGGACAATACTACCATCAACGGCGGTACGCACCCAGCGTATCCCTTCTTGACTGGACACGGTGGTGCCAATCAGGTTTCCCTCTTTGGCTATCTTGGATTGCGGCAGCTGCCAGATGACATCCTCCATGTCGACCCCAACTTGCCACCCCAGATTCCCTACCTGAGGTATCGCGACTTCTATTGGCATGGATGGCCCATCTCCGCCTGGTCAAACTATACTCACACCACCATCCGCCGTGCCATTGGCACCCCGGCCCTTGATACTGCGGACAACAAATTCGCCAACAAGACCATTACCATCCATTCTGGTCCAGACTTAAATGTCACTGTGTATCAACTCCCAATCAAGGGTTCAGTTGTCATCCCGAACCGACAAGTTGGCTCTAAAAACACAGTGGCCGGCAACCTCGTCCAATGCCAGCCCATCATTTCCACGAGTGCATTCGAACCCGGCCAGTTCCCCATTTCTGTAGCGGACGGTGCTGCCTCCACAAAATGGCAACCCTCCCTCGCAGATAATGTGAGCGCCGTGACTATCTCCTTCCCCGAATCGGAAGTCGGAGCCCCAGTCTCAGGCTTCTACTTTGACTGGGCTAAAGCACCCCCTGTCAACGCCACAGTCATCTTCCATAACAAGACCCTTCAAGATCCCACAGTGGCCCTTTCTTCAGTCAATAGCTCAGACTTCACAATCGTCCACACCTTGACCAACATCGCCCAATCCGGTCCTTACGATGCAGCGACCACTAACCTTGACACGATTGCCATTCCTACTGGCAACTCAACAAATGTTACACTATCATCCCCTGTTCCTGCGGCACGATACGCATCTCTACTCATCGTGGGCAACCAAGCCCTTGGCCCCGCTGATGTGGAAGCCAAGAATGGAACCGGCGCAACTGTTGCTGAGTGGGCCATTATTGGACAGGACAAGCAGAGCAACACCTCGTCCTCGAGCCCTCAACCTGCCAAGAGAAAGATGGATCTACGTGATGCATCTGCTCTCTCGGATGCTGAGTCTTTTATCCGTCGGAGACGGCAGCTTCTTTCTTTGAATTAGAGGTTGATTGAATTTTTTTGTAATTATGCGAGAGTCGCGAAGAGCCCGTTTGGTCGGTTTCCTTTTAAACTCTGTACAAAAGATGATGACACCATTGAGATTTTGTTCTGCCATTTTCGAAACAGATTCCTCACATACACTCGCAGATCGTTTCCTGAATCCTGTTCTGAAGCAGTTACTTCTCCTAAACCCCCTGTCAAGCTGTATTGTCCCACTTGAACAGTAATAAATGGATCATTGTTATAATACAGTAAGACTTTATAGAGTGCTATAGGATGTTCTCTGTAAACAGACCAAGTAAAAAAAGGTCTAGCGATATAGCAAGATCGCTGCCATCTATCCTCTACCACGTGCACAGCCTTCGTCCATACTCGTTTCATACACACTACGCTCATTTATGTGCACTCTGAAGGCCGCGTTGATTACTAGAACACGGTACTAACCCTAGTAAGAGATAGTGCTTCTTTACTCCTATAGATTATGTTTCCGTTTGAGATTTTCATTTATTATTAGTATCTGTCGAAAGCTAGCGTTCCTATATAAGTTGATACAAGCCCCTTAAGTGCGAAGACTAGACTTAGAGATGATTTAAAGTCCGTATTATATTGATTATATCTCTTAGCCCAAAGAGCTCGAAATGTAAGAATAGAGCTCGTAATATGCGCTAACCCCCGGACGCTTTAGCAGCCTTTACGACCTGGAATCTAACCTATAGCCCCTCCCCTTACTATGTGTTAGGACCCTGCGGGGTCCTAGGTAAGGGTGAGTTAGAGTCTATCGGTAAAGGACGTGCAGGTATATCGAAGACTAATTGCTGCTCCTCCATGCGAAGGCCAGCGAGAGCAATAAATACATGGTGCGCTTAGCTAATGTGATTGTTCCTTGATCTTCCTAGGCCGGCTTTGTATGTGATGGTTGAGACTGTGAACTCTCTGCTTTGAAGATAACACCTTCAAATTCCGGTAAGACTTGATATCCCCACGTGGTCGCTCGTATATGGGACCACATTTTGAACAGATTCTGGGCGTCTAGACACCCAGACAGTGAACCTTTTCCAGGGCTGTGAGGGGTTCTAAGACGCGCAGCGACGAAAATCACGCTTCCGGCACCTAAAGTAGTGGGGCACCTCGTACTGAAGTGTGGTTCGACTGTGGGGAATAACATCACTAAAGAGGCATGTCTGTCGGCAGCGAGTCTAGCAAGACTGGAGAATTCTCGTAGATGACCAGATCAAGGGGGTAGGTACTAGCTGTGAAGCATGATTCAGAAAGCCACACTATATGTTGAAGTCGACCAAAAATGTTGCATGTCACTGGAAAACCGTTATCGCACGGAAAGTGATGACGCCACAGGTTATTCCGTAGAATTGCGGAGACATAGGCGAATTCGTACCGTGTAAGTTTCTTTCTTGTGAACTAAGAAATGTTCTGACGCTGGTAGGCTCGTCTAGACAATGATAGCACCATATGACTGAGTGCCTATCCTACGGTCGAAGCAATAATTTCTCTAGTGAGGTAAGATTATGAGAGTATGTTTAATGGAGCAATCCCCGAGACCCACGAGCTTGACCTGAGTTAATCAGCTATATCGGCGGCTTAGCTATCGGTGAAATATTAAAGTTGCTAGTGGGTGGTACGTACTGATTAGGTTTGGGTTCAAGATGAAGCGAATGTATGTTCGGCAAGATTCGCCACTTATCCCGTAGAACCTACCATTGTTTCCCCGCCATTTTTTTTGATTTTGAGGGGGGAAGAGGATCTTTGTAAGGCATAGACACAGTTTAAAATACGGAGAAGCCCATTCTACATTTGTTCCTGTCTCATAACCTATTGTCAGCTTGTCAGCTTGTTATACCTTAATACCTGGTTTCGGCTGCTCCTTCAACTTTTTCGTTCTTAGAGAGTGGTTTCCGGAACCGGGGTCGACTGTCAACTACATGGCACTATATCGCTCTACCATTATTCCGGAGATGAATACAGAATTAGTCCATGATTTTCTTGCACGAGACGAAGCCGGATCTCCTCCGTCCTGTACCACAGGAAATGAATACGATGGCCGGATGGGGCTGCGTATTTCGTCTATATTTGTGATACTGGTTGGTTCGATTTTCGGTGCGGTCTTCCCCGTTGTTGCAGCACGATTTGGAGGCTCAAGAATACCATCCTGGGTTTTTTTTATCGCTAAATACTTCGGGTCTGGTGTTATTATTGCTACCGCCTTTATTCACCTCCTTGGTCCAGCTGAGGAGGCTTTAAGAAACCCCTGCTTGACTGGTCCTATCACAGAATATGGCTGGGCGGAAGGCATAATTCTTATGACTATTCTCGTCATGTTCTTTGTGGAGCTGATGGTCATGCGATACGTACGGTTTGGCCAAAACGATCAGCTGGATGTTGAGAATCACGGACATTCACACTTTGATGACGATGAGGATGCCACTACTGATGAGAGAAATCGAGTGGTGCCGAGATATGACACTGAAATGTCCGAAAAAATGGATGTGTACATGGCTCAGCTGACTTCTATCTTCATCTTGGAATTCGGTATTGTCTTTCACTCTGTGTTTATCGGTTTGACACTCGCCGTATCTGGCAAGGAGTTCACGATCCTCTACATCGTCATCGTCTTCCACCAGACTTTTGAAGGACTGGGTTTGGGTTCTCGCCTTGCTACCCTTCCTTGGCCGCGGTCAAAACACCTGACACCGTACATTCTGGGGGTCGTTTATGGGGTTTCCACTCCTATTGCTATTGCTATTGGCTTGGGTGTGCGTAAAACTTATCCACCGAACGGTCGAACAACGCTGATCGTCAATGGTGTTTTCGACTCGATATCTGGAGGAATCCTCATTTACGTCAGTCTTGTCGAGCTTATCGCGCATGAGTTCATGTTCACCCCTTCTATGCGAAGAGCTCCTATTCAGACGGTTCTGGCAGCGATTATTTTGCTCTCTAGCGGTGCGGCGCTCATGGCATTGCTTGGAAAGTGGGCATAGGCCGTGCTGCCCGCTCCTAGTTCAGGTTGAAATACTAGGTAAGACCGCTGATATTAGAGTTGTGTGTTAATTGTACCCGAGGTTGTCAAGTTCCTGCATCAAGCTCTTTGATTTTGGCGGTGCTGACTGCGCTATAATGGGTAGCATGTCCAACACTCAATCATATGCTGCGATACCGAGAATGTGAGTCACGAACATTGCGTCGGTGAAGTGAAGCTAACTGGGGATTGGCTTTTGATTGACATCCTTGACGATTGCTCCATGCCTAGTGGAGGAAGTGGCGGTGGTGGATGGTCATAATGAAGTTCTGAATGGAATGTTCTGAAATACCCCGAGAACCTGTTGACCGAGGAATATCTTAGTTCTTAAAAATTTCATTACCGTAATTTATGATGACTCATAGAGGTACATCGAGGGGGAATCTGTTTTCGAATATGGCAGTAGATGGCCAGGTTGAAGAAGAAGATAATTTCATGTAAAAAAGACTATATATTCACACTGTGCCCTCGAGACTACCAACAACCTTTACTCATCCAAAGCAAACCGATCCAAGAACTTAAAAGTCCGCAATCCCTCCTTAACATCCTTAGCAAAGTCCTCCCCAATCTGACTACCAACATAAACACCCTCGCGATCCGCCGAAATCTGCCCAGCACGCAGCGCAGCAGAAGCCTTCCCAACAGCCCCAACAGGCTTTCCAAAGCGGAAAGCATCAAGGAGAATATCCAAAGGCCGACCAGCAGGATACAAAGAAGTAGCCCCAGAACCCTTACTCTTAGGCGAACCAGTAAAAGAGCCCGAAGAGAATAAACCCTCCGCCCCATCCGCAATAACAACAGCATCAAACTGCACAGCATCAGAAGCGGAATACGTCTGGTTAACATTATCCGCCATTCTCTCCGCAACGACAACGACATCAACTCCAGCGGATTTAAGCGCAGCTTGTAACTTCGCGCCTTGGCTTATCGACGACGCATTGGCGACAGAGGCAAGCAATCCAACCTTCAGACCGTCCAGCTTGGACAATTTCTCGCCGAAGGCTCCGATGTGTGCGGTCGTGTTATCGTGGTAGTAAGATGAATCTGGTTCCGGGGCGTCGACGCCAATTGCGCTGGCTACTCGCTTCGCGAGATCATTGCTAATCCGGTTTAACTGGATGATAACGTTATTGCGCACGACTGAGCTCTTCACGTTTGAGTTCTCGAAGCGCATGGCGTCAACGACGAATTGCTTCTCGGCTGGTACGAGTGAGTTCCAGAAGAGACGGGGCTGCGACCAGACGTCTTCGAAGGTTGAGCTCTTGGAGCGCGTGAGGTGGCCGGTTATTGTGCGGTCGGGCGCAGTGAAGAAGCCGTTTCCGACGGTTTGGTTGGCTTGCTTTGGGGAGCCGGCGTTCTGGGTGTTTGGGGAGTAGGCGTCTTTGTTTAAGGGGATGAACATCTGGCCGGCGCCGTCGCGGTTGTTGTTGTGGATTGGGACTCTGGGACGGTTGATTGGGAGTTGTTCGAAGTTGGGGCCGCCATGGCGGTTTAGTTGGGTGTCCAGGTAGGAGAAGATTCGGCCTTGGAGGAGGGGATCTTCGGTGAAGTCGATGCCGCGGACGATGTGGCCTGGTTGGAACTGCGGTGTTTGTTAGTACGGGGTGGTTTGGTGGAGGAGGGTGGAGGTGGACATACCATTGCTTGCTCGGTCTCTGCGAAATAGTTCATTGGGTTGCGGTTCAGTTGCATCTTGCCCAGCTTTGTGACGGGCACGAGTTCCTCTGGGACGATCTTGGTGGGATCCAAAAGGTCGAATCCGAAACGAAGCTGGTCCTCTTCGTCCATGATTTGAACACCGAGCTAGCAAGAATTAGCTGGATGGATCATCTTAATAGGTTCAATGATGACTTACCTCCCATTCGGGGAATCGACCGGCCTCAATAGCCTCAAACAGATCCTGACGCATAAAGTCCGCATTCTTACCAGCTGCCTGCTGTGCCTCTTCCCAAACAAAGCTGGCCTTGCCCTGCAAACCCTTCCAATGGAACTTAACAAGCTTGGATGCACCCTTGTCGGTAACCATCCGGAAGGTATGCACACCAAAGCCATCGACATGCCGGAATGACCGAGGAATACCGTGACCAGCCATTGCCCAGAGGAGCGTGTGCAGCGTACTAGGCTGCTGACTGAAGAAATCCCAAGCGGAGTCATGCGCAGTGGCTGCCTGAGGGATCTCATTGTCGCCGCGGGGCTTGACAGCGTGGATCAGATCTGGGAACAGGATGGCATCCTGGATGAAGAAAACGGGGATGTTGTTTCCAACAATGTCTATTTGTTTCGAGTTAGTTGCGTCCTAAGATGTGTGTATCGATAATCGATACGAACCGAAGTTCCCTTCATCTGTATAGAATCGGGTTGCGAAGCCATGCACATCTCGTGCCGTATCGGCACTTCCGCGGCTTCCAGCAACAGTGGAAAAGCGCGTGAACATCGGGGTTTGTTTGCCCTTGGCGGAGAGGAAGGAGGCCGCTGTTAGGTTGGACCAGTCTCCGTAGGATGTGAATGTGCCATGGGCTCCGGCGCCTCGAGCGTGAACCGCACGTTCAGGTACCTAGTAGAGAAAATTGTATGAGCCTATGGTTCCTATCTAAACGTCGGTATTTATGGGAACGTACTCGTTCATGGTCAAATCGCTGGATCTTCTGGCGGAAGATGAAATCCTCGAGCAGAGTCGGACCACGCTCGCCTGCCTTGAGACTGTTCTGGTCTTCAATGGGACCACCAACGTCAGAGGTCAGGTAGGTATCCTGGTCATTCAGGTAGAATTGGGAGAGGAATTCTTCAGTGGCGGCAGCATCCCCATCATTGCGACGTTCGATGCTGTGAGGACTGCCGGCGACATCGCCTGTCATATAAGGACAAGCGGCATTGGTAATACCAACCAGGCCCGTGAAAAGGGCGAGCGCATGCATAACGACAGAAAGGTAGAAAGATTACTGTCCGGAATACACCTGGGAAGCTCAGCTTTAATTACTTGCCGAAGAACTAAACGCGGAACATGGAACGGAGACACAAAGCTCAATTTATATGCATGCGGCCTCCAGAGCAATGAAAAACATCCGCCGAGGGTATCCTGCAGTGAGCCAATGGGAAGCTCTATTGGAAGCAACATGGTGTATAATCCAGGAACCACATAGGGTGGCACGGGCTGGCCATTCTCCAACCAGGCGTGAGATTATTTCAGCACGACGGCCTAGGCCGAACAGTGTAACAAGATCGAATCACCGGCGCAGTACTAGTAGAGTAGTTGGGGTTGATCGTCATGTTTTCCACCGTGAGCCAAGGAGAGAGCGCAGTGGGGCGTTATGCATGTTTCCCTCCGGGAGACCGTTAGCTTACGACCGAAATGAAAAGCAGCAAGGGTTATTGGTCCGCGGGGATGCTTTGACAAAGAGCTCATAGCCAATGCCCGACTATCGTTTCGCTATTTGACAATTAGGTAGATATTGGCAAGACATACGCGATGGTTTTTGGTGACGCTGCACATCTTGGCTCGGTTTTGACTCGGCGAAACTCCTAAAGTCGAAACCATCAAGGGATGTGGATTTGTGGCTTGGCATCTAGGCGGATCACAGCGGATGTGATTACTTGTAAACAAGGATCGGATTAGAAGATGAGGCGGTCGAGCCCAAAGTGCTTGGTAATAGGAGCATCTGGACATCTTCTCCACTCAGGTCAAGGATAGTCTGGACTTGGCATCTCTCAAAATGTGACGTACTGTAGGGATTGGATCCAGGGGGATCGACTCTTTTGTGCGATCCTTGAAACATCAACTGCTGTCTCATATTGATCGGGTTCATTTATCCACCACACATCGCGTCTGTACAACGGACAGCTTGCAGTTTGACTCGGACCTGAAAATGCGACAGGGATTCATGTGCGGCCCAAAGCCCAGGAACTTCTGCAGGCTACCCCTGCAATGCACATCTTACCATTTCTAGACTCAACCCCCGGGGCTGCTGATTTGCCGGGCCTGGTAGCCAAGATGTCGAGTGTCCGGGGTATGGAGGGGAGTTTGTTAAAATTAGACAGTGGCGGTCTTATCCTGCATTCATCCCGCATGGTCAAGGGCTCATGTGTTGTGGTCGCTCATTGCTGGGAAAGGCGGAAACGCTTAGCGTGGAAAAGAACTTAGCCTGCGATTGATCAATATTGCCTTGGCAGTACTAAACGGTCGGCAAAATGGCTATTTTTAATGTGATATGAATGTGATCAGGAGATTCTACACTTTCTCAAGGAGTAGAGGGGTAAATATCCCTCTCTCGATTTAAGTTGGAGCGCGTTGACCGGAAATCTAAAATTGGATATAAATCGCGCAAAACAAACTTAGCTCCAGAGGCCGTGTGAAGCGGAATTGTCGCATTGAGTGCAAGCATTCCTGAAAAAAATCGGCGAACTGTAATATATGTTCGGAGAATTTGTGAGCGCGACTTGAATTCTTTGTCTATCTGATGCCCCTCTACACTCTTCCAATCCCCAATACATACGTACATATTCAATTCATACCCCATTTAAAGTCGTCCCATAGAAGCCGTATCACCCGGTGTTGCGGGGTCACTGAAATCGACAAACCCATACCTCTGATACAGTGGCGCACCAGCCTTACTAGCATCAACATAAGCACCATCACCCTCACGATCGGCAATATCACATCCCCACTTCACAAGCGCAGAAGCAGCTCCGCGACCACGGTAGTCGGGGTGTGTACCGAGCATATCAAGATCTGAACGGTTATCAGCCAACATCTAAACAATATACATTATACAATAGAGTGACCGGATTGTAGATAGGATCCATGATCCAACAAGGCGGCGCGGGGCGTCATACAGTAATGTTTCCGATCACCCATCACACGCTTACGATCCTCCTCCAGCTTCCCAAAGAACGCATTGCAATCCTGACTCGGCTGGTCGGCATGCCAAGGGGGGAAACGAGGACCGCGCTGGTTGGGCATGGAGAGATCCCATTTGGCGTAGGCTGCTAGTCGGGGCTGGCCTGTTGCATCCTTTGTGGTCGGGTCGACTATTTTGATGTACTTTTGGTAGGGCTTTTGCTGCATGTCGTAGAGGTTGGCTTCTGTCATCCATTGGCGCACGCCTGGCGTGTCTGGCATTAAGTGTCTCATGCCTGGGTCGTTGAAGACTGTGAACCAGAGTTCTGTTATGGCTGGGATGTCGTCGATCGTGGCGAGCTCTAAGACTAGGGGGGCTTGTAAGGACATGTTGGGTGGTTATTGTTTATTGTTTATTGTCGGTGGTGATGATCGATGTTGCTGAGGGGCAGGTTCGGTATACTAGTAGACTCGGTGGGGATGTTAGCCGACTGACGGTCGGGAATAGATCGAAAGTCAATTCGATCGCGTTGCCAATGTGACTGTGATGGCACATTGCATTGCATAGAAATGCATCGATCCGAAGGGAATTTCTTACGCTGACAGGGTGCCGATCTCGGCGAGTTATACCAAAAGTCTAAAATAAGCATGAACCGAGGGGTCTGAGACCCGACCTTCAATGAATGTCTATATTTTATTTATGTATATGCATCAGTACTCAGCATCAGTACTTAGGGAAAGTAGGATAGTTCCAGCTCTTTCCACTCTTGATCAGCTGCGAATCAATGCCGTTGCTGCCGCTGCTGACGTGCAGCACCTTGGTGAAGGCCACTTGGGAGTAGTAGGTGAATGAGACACCAACGGGAATGAAGGCAACGTCACCCATGGACAGGGTAGCCACGGGGTAATCGCCGATCTTGATCATGAACACACCTTCAAGAACCTCGAAGGCAGCAGCACCGGGCAAGGTGTAAGTGGGAGCGTTGTCCTTGGTCTGGCGGCTGAGCGAGATGGTCGACAGAGTGTAGTTGGTATCCTGAGCCTGGGTGGGAGTGACAAGAGGCTGGATGACTTGGTATCCGAACTTGGAGTTCAGATACTTGGGGCCGTACCCATTGGCAATGAAGTAAGGCTGAGCCGGGCTGCCGAGAGGATTTTCGCCGGTGTGCCACTCGGAGTTGTCAATGGGAGCAGTGCCGTTCACAAGATCGCGACGCGGCTCAAAGCCGAGGTTGGCGTACACATCGTACTTTTGCAAAGAAGAAATGACGCTGGAGTCAGGCGAGGAAGAGCTGTTGGAATGAGCGGGAGCATAGGGCGTGTCGGTGCCCGAGGTGTAGGTTGTTCCGAGGGCATAAAAGAGGTCCCTAATACAGGTTAGTACATTTCGAACGGGGCTTAACAGATATTGATTCTTACTCAAAGCCACCAGGAACAATAACGCCGACCATCTCGCTGTCGGGATCCAAGAGCTGGAAAGTGTGAGTGGTATTCCTCGGAACCGATCCGTAATCGCCCTGAGTGAGCAAACGCGCCTGTTGCTCATTCGAATCCTTCTGGGCCCAAAGCTGGAAACGACCCTTGAAGTTGAAGAAGTTCTCGTAATGCTTCTGGTGAATATGTGGCAATACACCCAACGCATTGCTGGAGGGCGCATTGGTGCTCATCAAAGTGAAGGCATTATTAGAAGATGGGCCAGTCACTGTGAATCGGTACAGCTGATCCCCAACGGTGACGGCATGAGAGTTGGCATAATGCGGGATGACATAGGGGCGCGGAGAAGAGGGCGCATTATCAAGGTAAAGCTCTTCAAGAGTGGCCGACTGAGCAAGGCCAACGCCGAAGGAAGCCAACAGCAAAAGAGAGGATTTCAACATCTTGAAGGCCGGTTATTCCACATATTCTAGATCAAGTCTCTGCAGCGACGTCCAGCGTGCTATATAACAGGAGAACTCGGAAATGCCTGGGCGGATTAGACTAGAAGAACAACCATTCAGGAACAGACGAACGGCGTGGATCCACAAACTTCTTTTCCCCCACTCTACACGACGAATTTGGCATCGAAATCTTGGAAAAGGAGAAACCTGCTTGAGAAGAAGCTCGGCAAATCCGGATCGACAAATCTTCAGTGCCGGTATCCATGCGATCCGGCGATGACTTCTTCGACTGAGCTTGCGCAGACAGGATCCACTAGAGACGATCGCCGTTTCATTGCCGAATCTTCTCCCGGTCAGCTGTGGCTTGTACAACAGGGAGGAATTCTTCGGGCGTAGACCACATTCATCCGTCTCCGAAATGAAGACTGCGGACAAGGTGACATCGCTTCACCTTCGACTCATGCGGTCGTACGGAGTACATCGAGGGAGAATTCTTCACGTGTGGTTCTGTTCCAGGGCTTGGCAGTATAGTAGTTGCGATTCGAATTCATGTTCAACACTAAACGACGCTGTGAACCCAGAGAACGCAGATGCTTGAATATGTCAAACATAAGTTTCACAGGTTATCCACTTCCCGGTATGCGCCTCAACGCCTCCAATACTTTGATCCCGGTGGCTTCGGCTTAGATTCCCGAAAGCCCGACGGCTGCAAAGCCGATTATTCAGCGAATGGATATCGGAACCAATACGAGTACGGAGTATGCAGTAGAGTTCAATCGGGATATCCATGAATGTATTCGCATTGTAGGTAAATGAACGTCTAAACAAGAGTCTTAATCTGTCCCACCAAATCAACCACAGTCTCCTTGAAAGGCCGGTATTTGACCCCCAATTCTCGAGCCACAGTCTCTCCATCAACACCATACGAAACAGTCGATTTCTCACCCATCTTATAATTCGAAGTAACAGTCTCCTTACCCCAATCAAACTCCCCGCGAATAATATCCGCAGCAAGCTCATAAGAGAACGGCTCTGGCGAAGCAGGAATGAATCTCTTACCACCGGCCTCTGGGATAAGTAACGCCTGAACATGCGCCTCCGCAAGATCACGCGCATCAATCCAAGCAGGGACTCGCGCGCCAGGTAATGGATCCACGCCGGCGGCCACACTCCAAAGGACAGCGTTCGACTCGTTCAGTTGCTCCGCGGTAGGCACGGGATGAACCACAGGGCCAAAGACCATTGGTGGGCACAGAGTCACCAGGTCGAAGGCTGTCTTTTGATCCTTGACGAATTCCCACGCTGCTAGTTCGGCGAATTTCTTTGAGCCGCGATATGCGACTACGGCGTCAGATTTGGGGTCGATTGATGTCTCGTATGTGAGTGGGTTCCAATCTGCGGCCGTATAGGTGAAGCCCTTTGGAGGGGTGGTGTTCACGTCGACTACGGCGGCGAAGGAGGATGTTATGACAACACGCTTGATTTGGGTTCCTTGTTTGGCTGAGGCGGAGAGGATGGATTTTACTCCGTTGATTGCCGGTAGGACGAGTTCTTGTTCGTTGTTGGTGGTGTCGTAGAAGAATGGCTGGGATATGGATTAGCTTGTCTTGTGTTTGGTCTATTATGTACCGAAGGAAATGAGAACAGGTGGCATACGCTTGCTACATGGATGACTGCGTCGATGCCGTCCATCACGGAATCGAATACTCCGATCTTGGTAAAGTCTTCCACCACGACGAAATCGAGCTTGGAGGCATACTCGGGGCGCGCTGCCTTCATTTGATCTCCCTTCGCCTTGGACCTTGTTGATCCTCGGACTGAGAATCCACGAGCCAAGAGGTTATCGACGACATGGGCGCCGATGAATCCTGTTGCGCCAGTGACGAGGACGTATCTGCGATTGTTAGCCTTGGTGTACTTGACAGCAAAAGTCATACATACGAAGGCTTTTGTGTAGACATTTTCAATCGATATGCGTGAGATCATGTCAGGATAGTGTGTCTTCAAAAGAAAGAGTGTTGGGGCAACCCCGCGTGGGGGAATCAGCTCGGAGTTACTGCGAGTGAGTGGGATATTTGGGGTTCCCCACGAGGTGGCATATAGTGTGGGGGAGAGAGATAATCAGATCGTATGGAGTAGAGTATGTTCAATTCTATTTATGACATTGTGCAATCCCTCTGGTTCTATGTGTGTTGAGATGTCTCGTCTCTCAAGTGGCGGCATCTACAGATCGTGTATATAGACAAGCACTATAAGGACCTGCAAGAGTTCATTCACTTTTGCTGCAACACCTCTTCCGTGGTGCGAAGCACAATATCAAAGGCATTGCGGACGTTCTTCTCCTCAGCCAGAGGATTAGCACTCACGACGCGGATCACATAAACGCCGTCGATGACAGTAGATGTGATGAAGATCTCACCCCGCGAGTTGATCAACTCATACACCTTCTTAGTCAGGGCGTCAGCCCCTTCATCCTTGACAGCGCGCTCAGAGGATCCATTGGCCCCGTTGGATGAAGATTGAGGATTCCTAAGACGGAACACAGTCAAAGCAAAACCGGGCTTCGTCACAATTTCAAACAAATCAGAGCGACTGCGCACCAAGTCGGCAAAGATGTCACCGAACCCGATAGTCTTGCGGATGTGCGCTTTCATGCCGTTGAGACCATAGCTCCGCATGACGAACCAGATCTTCAATGCACGGAATCTGCGACCGAGGGAAATTGACCAATTCCGGTAATCAATAACGGTGCCCATGTCGGAATATGGGTTACGCAGGTAGGTTGGTGTGATATCGAGAGCATTAGTGAGGTCCAAGCGATTCCGAACGTAGAGAACACTAGTAATGGTCAGAATCAGAGTGCATGTCAAGTGTTATTGTGGAACCGATTGAAACTTACCTAGCGTCAAAGTTGACCAGGAGCCACTTATGCATGTTCATGTTGAAACTGTCAACACCCTCTGCAAAGTCCTTGGCAATATACTGCCACTCATCCGCAACAAGCGACGCGCCAGCATAAGCGGCATCGATATGCACCCAGATGCGCTGCCACTCAGGCTTCTCCTGAAGTACGGCCTTGATCTCCGCAAAGCGATCCACACTGCAGGTGTTGGTAGTACCAAACGTCATCGTGAGGTGGTAAGGGATAAGCCCGTCCTTATCACACTTCTCAAGGACCTCCCGGAGACGCGGTCCAGTCATCTCCATGTTGTCCTCTAGCCTCGCGGTCACGCTACGGAAGCGAGTACCAGCGATTAAAGCTCCCTTAGCTCCACTGCTGTGTGTTTGATCACTAGCAATAGCAACTAGCTTGCCTTGGACATCGAATTTCCGGTCTTCATACTCTGGCGTACCCTCTTTCAGACCCTCTGCAAGCAATACCTCCCGCACACGCCTCTCTCGTGCAGCGACGATAATCGTGGCGATAGCATCACTGGCACTGTTCTGGATTACACCACCACCGTGCGTCTCGGATGTGCTCAGGAAGCATTCCGGCAATGCCAGGGCCTTTGCAACCCAGTCCATCACGATGGTTTCCATTTCTGTGCATGCTGGAGAACATAGCCAGTTGAACGCTGGTGCGGTGAAGGTGGCTGAGTACATCTCGCCCAGGATGCTGGGGTATGTGACGCTGGCTGGGTAGTATGCCATGAAATTGGGAGACTGCCAATGGGTCAAGCCGGGCTTGATCTTTGTGTCGACATCTTCCTGGATCTGGGCCCAGTCCTCTGGCTCATCAGGAGGGTTCTCGGGAATAAGAGGACGAAGATATCCGGGGTCGACGGCCGGGAGAACTCTTCGATCGGGAACCGTGTCGAAGTAGTTGAGGACTGGAAAAGCGTAGGTCAGAATGTATATCTATTCGACTACTTGTATAAAGCGCTTACTGTCATCAATGGCCGAGTGAGCCGCATCACGGAATTGGTCGCGATCCATGCTGCACGTCAGTTAAATGTCTGCGCCGCGGGGAAGTGGGGCAATTGATAGTCAATGGAACAGCCAGATATAACAGCTAAAGTATGGCTTGGGGAGACGTCTGTAGGGAATATAGAGAAATGGAAGAATGAATAGCTGTCAAAAAGATCGTGGAGAAAGGAAAGACGTGTCAAGCACAAGGCGTGGGGTGTAAGGAATTAATTCCGTCGGAACTGGGATTTCCTTCCGAGGCTCGGAACATTCCGTCATTCCGAGAACTATACAAAGTGTATAAGATGTTCATATGTACACCTAAAGCAGACCAATCAGGTTCTGCAACATGTAATTCAATCCTCCTCTTCCTTAGGATCATAAATATCTCCAGCAGGAGTCTTCTCCAGTCTAGTTCCATCCTCTAACACAATCTCTTTGCTAGGTACAACTACCACAAAGACTCTAGCAACATCCTTGCCCCGGTTCACCCACTCATGGTTGACACCCCGACAAACAATGACATCGTGCTGGTTTAATATCTTCTCTTCGCCACCGTCAGTGATGAATCCAACGGTGCCAGACAACACCACGGCGTAATCCAAGCTCAGCGTGCGGTGGAACCATCCTGCGTCGGCAGGCGGCAGGTCGAGGATACGACAAGAAGGTCCCTTGGTGTCGGCAAGCGGGACAAGGGTTTTATGCGGATCAGCGACCGTCTTCAGGTTGTCCACTGGAAACCCTCGCGATCGGTGGATTTGGATGACGCCGAAACCAGAGTCGGGTCCTGGCGTAGAGAAGACGGGTGCGGTTTTAGGATCATAAGGCGTAAGGATGTCGTCCGAGGTAAAATGACCCTTTCCTTGAGAATCGTGGCTTGCAATGACGCGACGAATTGGAGTGTCCATGTTTAGATTGGTTTGGAATGATGGTTTGTCAAGTAGAGGTATTTGACGAGCTGTCGTTATTCTACGATTCAACTGCGTGATACTTTGCCACCTTATATAGATTTTTAGGTTGCGGATCCCTGTTAACATCTATCTACTTTTCTTTCCAATGGCTTCTGTATGCAGCTGGGTGGATGTTGTTGCTCTGATTGATAATCTGGAGATTTATAATATGGGGGCCAAAAACCTCAACATGCCATATATCACGCCAGTTGATTGGAGCATTGAAATGCAGGGGCTTATTTCTCTTCTGTGATCCACTAGATACCCTAATCTAACTCTTTTCAAAAAGGGTACAGTGTGCTTATAAATTTCTGCCTTTTTGTCTCGCTTGCCGGGGATAACAAGGCCGATGATGACACCAACCCGATCGCTTTTTTTTGTAGCACACTTGGTCCTTTCGTTAATTCAAATGCATAAGACCTATATAACTCCCCTTCATGTTATAACAAGTACATACGACCACGGGGTGTGGAGAACAGAGCTTCCCTCTCGCTATTTGTACTGGGGCATGATCAGGCGTACGGATACGGGTTCTTGCTTCATCTCGAAAGGAGCGCCTGCATAGCCATTACGATACTAGTTAGGCTCCAACAGGTTAATAGAGCTTTGATTGATTGATTGATTGAATCGAGAGTTGGTTGACTCCTGTCTTGTGCCGGGCCGAGTCTGTTTGGCTCGTTCGCAAATATCACCTCATCATGAGGTTTGGTACTTCATCCAATGATCTGGTGTATCGGCATCCTTGAGCTTCTCAATTCCATTCGCAACACCGTCGCCATTCACCTCCCAATCCCCCGATTCCACACGCTCCGCCCAGTTCACTAATACTTTGTGAATGTATGAACTATGCGAGCCCCATGGCAAAATACCAGTAGGTTGATGATCCTGATAGAACTTATCATACATCCTATCAGTCCCACAGTCATTTAGCAAGAGTCCATTGCTACTTCGTGCGTAGCCATTACGCCCGACCTCAAACGGGAGTAAGAGTCGACTGTCGTTTCCTGGATCATCACTGATAAAGGTATGGACAGCTTCAAGGTATAAGCCAGCTGGAATCTCTTTCCGCCCGTCTAAAAGCCACCTCAGGCTCCAGGGTGTTGTGTTCTCTCCACCCCCTCGGAAGAGGAGAAGTGGAGGAGTGACATCTCTGTCTCCGTATGATCCTCCAAGATTCTCAAAAGGCTGAGCTATGAATTCCGTTATATTTTGAATCCGAATCCCTGGGTCGATATAGTGGAAGTTGATATAGCGAATAGGAAGAGCTGAGAGGAATTCTTGAGCAAAAGAATCCTTTCGCGCGAGCGACTCTATGACCCAGTTCGGGTATGGAAGCTCTATTCCGTCACTTGATCCTAGCAGAATATGTGTTGATTTCAGAGGGAGTCGAGATTCGATTGCATCAAGAAGACGGCTAAAGGCCACGACGGCCTGGTGGACATCCCTTTTAGTATGTTGATGGATCTCCCAGGGAAAGGATTCCGAGGATTCCAATTCGCTTTTTGGACTTCGATCTATAGTCACCTTTTCCTCAGTGATCATTTCTAGATAGGCATAGAGAATATCCTGCAAAGGCCTCCACGGCCATCTATTTTTCATATCAAAATCAGCCTCCGACCATTCTGGGAAAAAGGCAGCGAGCTCGACAATTTGCGAATAACAAACCCCAATTAACTGCTATACAACTTTGTTCTAACTACTAGCCTCTGCCTCAAGGTCTTCCCAACTCCAGACCTGCCCGACACAATACGTAGTACCCACCTGCAACAGCCCCGTGCAGTCTTCGGTCGCATTGCCAGCCAGACTGGGGTTGACCTCGCGGAAAACTTCGCTTGTGATACCGGTCGACGCGCAGATCTTCGCGCACGTCTCGTCGGCCGCCGCAACGGCGTACCAGATGCCGCAGTAAAGGGTAGTGCCATTGGCGACGGTGCTGTTCCCCGGCGGCAGGACGACAGTGCTTGTGTAACCGGTGCTACCACCAGGTGCGACTACGACTCCAGGGATGGGGTGGAGACGTTGTAGATGCCCCCCTGCGGCGACAGGCAAAGAGTGCGGCCGTGGATCCAGACAGTGGAGACCAGGTTGTCACAAAAGTAATTGATCCACGGGTTGTAGGCGCGCAGGTTTCCGAGACCGATGCCCGTATCGAGCTCGATGGACTCGCAAGTGTCGGTGTCCTCCAGGATGTACAGCTCGTGGCAGGTGAGCGGGATGCAGAGCTCGTTGCCAGCAGCCAGAGTAGTGCAGTTGGTGATATAGCCGGTGTTGGCGCTTTGTAGGGCCGCTGAGGCTACCGAGTAGGTAAGCGCCACGCTATCGCAGGTGTCGCCAACCTGTGAGGTATAGGTCACGTCGGTGAATCAGGGGATGGGCTCCTGCTCGATGGGGATGTACTGCGGATCCTGCACGTCAGTGGGACCAGTCTCGACCTCGCAGGTGCTATAGATGTACTCAAGCCGTGCCTTAAGATACGGAGACTCCAGCGTGGACTGAAAGATGGAGTAAGGCGACGACTGCATCATGCGGTTCAAGTTCACGTAGCACCACGAACATAGCTGGTCCCGCGGCATTTCTTCGTACGAATCGACAATCGTAAACGTATCAATCATATCTGTCTCGTCAGTTCAAATAGTATATCATGGTAGGGATGACGGGTGAAAACATACTGTTGCAGTAAACATCCGTGTCCGGATCTTTTAGGCACGTCTCGTTGTATCCTGTCCAGATGGTGCCTCCTGCGCGTGCAGGGAAAGTGACGGCCGAGTTGACGGTAAAGTTCTGGCCCTGACATGCTGAAACAACCCCGTCATAGTAGCTTTGCAGAGACCGGCCGCAGCCAGTGTCGCATACGGCGTCTGTCAGGTTCTTGCTGTCTAGGGACCCGCGCATCTCGGGCTGCTGCCAGGCCTCCGGCATCTCATGGCACTTGATCCTCTGCTTCATAGCCGTCTGGCAGGCTGTCGTCAGGTCGGCAATACGGCTACTGTCATCGCGGTAGATCTGGAACCCTTCGAACTTGCGTTCAACAATGGTCGTGTCGGATGAGTTGCGCACCCTGATGAGGAGGGAGATTGTAGGAGGATATTATTAGTTTCGGAAGTTCTCCGATAGGTGAAAAGAAAATACCACGCTCCAGGTTGAAGAAGTGGAATGAGAGATGACTTGCCCCCATCTTAGAACCCAAATAAAACTTCAACTCAGGATATTGCAGTATGAAGAAAGCGAGTTTAAACCGCAAGGTATTGAAAAGCCTACGACTGTGAGAGGGGGATGCTTCAATGGCAATGTTTGATATATTTCAGTCACTATCTTTATTATCCGACTTGTAATAGTCGTCTTCATACACCTCCTCTCCTAGCTCTTTCCCCTGAATAGTCAACTTGTTCATTGGCAAGAACACAAACAACATACGACACCACTCCTTATCACTCCTATTCCGAAATGAATGCGCCGTACCCCTCTGCACACATACGTCACCACGATGCATGTGCCTCTTCGCGCCCGAATCCAGTATGAGATCAACCTCTCCTTCGAGTATCACACCATAGTCGACACTGACAGTACGATGCATCGGTGTGATCTTTCCAGGACGGAGGTCGATCATCCGGAAAATTGTCCCCTCATCGGTTGTGATCCCGGGTGGTTGATGCAGAAACTCGTCGTACATGGCCACATCGGCTTCGTCATCAACTGACGCTGGCATGCTGGTTGTAGCGTACAGTAGGGCAATCTCGCCATCTTCCCCGGCCGGCTTTGAGGGGAGGTAGTCGGGTATCTGAGCATGGGAAAGAAACACAGCTTCGCCTTCGGTGTTGTGGGTCGTGATATAGCGGTGGATGTAGGGGAGGTCGTTCTTCTTGTATGGGGACATGGCGAGCCACTACAGATGGCATTGAAAGGAAAAGTGCTTTTGAAAAAGAGTCGAGTGGACAAGATTTGCATATGTGGGTTCTGTGGGTAATTATCAAGCCGGGATTTTGTCACATCATAGTGGCATCATTCGTTGAAATAGAGGTTTATGCTTACTTTGGTTCGAAGTTTGAGGGAAGTTTACAAGTGGAATCTGAGTACCTGTGAAATTGACGCCGAAAATGACCGCTTTCGACGCCAGGAACGGCCGCCATTCCACCTGTAACTTTGGATGTCCAGCCGTTGCTACTGCCCTGTAACTCACTATTCAGCACCCGCCTAGCGCTGTTAACAACCCTGAACAGTTGAACGTTAAACGGAAGTTATCTGTATTGTACAGTATTGTTACTGATCCAAAAGCCACCAAGCCCCGACCAGATTGTTAACCATACCCAAGCACCGATAAATCTCCTACCTGTCGCAATCAGGCACGGCTTAACTTACGCGTCACTAGGGCAACGCAGCTCAATTGAGCACTGGTGCCAATGTCATTCTCCCCATCTTAATCGATAATGTCTGTTCCTGCCCCAAAGCATGGAGGTCCCTTTCCTCTTCCAGTAGAAGATCCATGAGTAGAGTTTCGATATTCGTAGCGATATTGAGAAATGCCTCCGAAGTTTCATTGAAATCCAGCCTATCCTCAAGTGGCCAGCCATCCCTTCTCATTATAATCTCGGAGAGAACGCTTGCTCCTTTTTGGATGATCTCCGCGAACTGCGCGTTTTTGCTAGGCTCAGTGGCTTTAAGATCCACGGTGAATCTGCGCGTATCAATTGCGGCTTGCTTTAGGGCCGCCTTGTTTATCGAGGCCACATATTTAGGCCAGCCTTTGCTCCGGAGACGGAGACGAGACATTTGGCGCAAGATGAGGGTCACATCGTTGAAAATTTCGCTTAGACCGCAGGTGAGCAGGGGTTTGTAGAGTGCTGTAGATGAATTCACTGCCGGTATTGGTTCTGAAATAAGAGACTGAACGCATCTATGTATGCTAAGCAGTTTGTCAGAGTAGAGCTCTTGGTAGTCTGGCAAATACTTGGTATTATTGCGCTTGGTGGAGCTTTCACCGGAGCTCTGCGATTGAGGAGATTGCGACGGCGACTCTAATTGAGAGAAAGTTAATATGGGGATTTGCGATAGAGATAAGAGATACCTTGGAATAGGGGATTTTCTTTTACCTGACGGTGCTTCGGAAACATCTTTGCAACGACGCCTTAATTCACCCATCCAATCTTCCTCTTCCCAATCATCTCTCAACATCCCGCAAGTTTCAGCGCCTATCATGATCTGAAGTTGCCTTAAGCAACTGACATGCGGGTGATAGTTCATCGCATAGCTTGGGTGGAAACCATTGACCCTACGGATGGTGACAAACCCCCTGTTTCCCTCACAGTGGATTTTTGCTTCGACGGGGTATTTGGGAATGTGACCAAATTTCTTCCCAACTTCGATGCTCCCGAGTTTGGATGCATCCCCCTTCCGCTTACGGAACTGCTCCGTATTAGACAGCCGTATTTTTCCCGCGCAGAGTAAGACAGAGGGTTCCTTATCAAGCATAATATGTTTCGACGCACGGAATGACTCCTCCAATATCGCACCGTCAATACTTGCTATAGATTCAGACACGTAGGGCAGTAAGTCGACGATAGTAACGTTGGTCCGAATATCGAGGGACCCGCAGGATACAGCGGCAAATACGTCGTCAAGAGCATAAAGAGTTTTGCAATCCCGGATGACGGCATCGAGGCCCTCTTCGAATGGGTGATTGTGCCGGGGCTGCTGCAGGGCGACCGCTATGCCCCCCTTAAACGCTGGGCCTGCCAGCTGCGCAGTAACTTGAATCTCGCTATGCGGTCGCTCCAGTGACTGTCCTCGAGTCTCGATGAGGGAGACGTGATTAGAAGGCTCTGTCAGATCATTGCAGACAGGCTTGAAAAGACGTCTGATCCGGTGGTCGACTGCCACACCCAGGCAAGGCATGGGCTGTATATCTGAAGCCATCGACCTCGCTCCAAGAGAATGTATTGAGCAGAAATAAGATCCATTGTCGACCGGTTGACATGGAGGTCTGACCGTGCCGCTTGAACTTGGCACTCCACTCCTCTGATGGTGCCTTCTTTCAGCCACCCCTATTATATCATTAACCCGAACGAGTGTCTTTCTCCTGTTAGCCGCCCGGGTTCCTATCCTGCATGCCACGTCACCCGAATACAATATTTCTCCCATGCCCTAGTAGCCCATCATCCGTCACCAGACACTATTGTATAGTGATGATCCATCCTTAGGATTCGGGCAATCGCGCTCGGGTCATCTTTTTCCATTATCACGCAATGCAAGGCTTATTCGCCGGCGCCTTCCTGCAAGACTAGCGCGAGTGCCCGAAGATGAACTCTTGAACATATGTTCCAACATACCTCCACGAATTCTATCAGCATTGCTCCTCGCTTCTTGCTCGTGACCACATCTGGTGAAGTACAAGGTCTCGATTTTTCAACACGCATTCCCTTTAGACGTTTACGCGCGCAGATTGCTGCAGGTCATGACTTACTTTCGACCTTTTTGACGAAACCCCAGATCTCTTTCTACAGGAGTATTGGCTCCGTTGATGTCCACTTTGCCTACAAGGATGGAGTTTATTTTGACCGCCTGTCTTTCACTTTTGATTCTTAGAATATTTGCTTGTACAGAAGTCCGTTGTCTCTCCTTTTTTTAATGGCACCATTAGATCTGTCTAGATACGTGGTGTACACACAATTACTTGTCATGGGGACTACAGTATGTTGTAAATGATCTTTGTTGATATTTGACTAGAACATCAAGACGCATTCTGGTCCTCGCATAAATCTCCATGATTCAGCTTTGACCACTCTTTTGCATTATCAATGATACGGCGCTAGAATAAACCCCCTGACACAGAAGATTTTAGGATAATGCAATGCAATATGTAACTGAAGCACCAGTATACAGTTTTGGCGCTGATGCGGTTTCTCTTCATCCCCCCAAAGCACAAGGGCCACTGAGCCAGAGTTGATCGTTCTATGATTTCTGTAAAACGAAACCTATCACCTCTCGTGACTGTTCTGGCGTTTACGGGCCTTCTTCGGCTCAGGCAGGTATTTCGCTGCAAGCGACAACCCAGAAGCAATCAAAATCAGTAGTATCCAGATAGCATAGCCTCCAGCCAGCTGTGTCCTCGCACCAAGTGCGAAGAGGCTGGTGAAGAGGGCGGGAGAGAAGGCTCTCAACCCGCTGCTATTGGTCAAGGCTAGCGCATTTAGTGTGCCCAGAAACCTCGGCGACGGTGCAATATCATTGACAGCGAGCTGGATTGCCGTGAAGCTCATGCTGACTCCACAGCCTATAACCAGTGTTACCGGCGCAAAGATCCAGAAAGCATTAACAGAAGCATCGGTGCCCTGCCGCAGGAGGACATTGCCAATAGGGAATACCATGAAGAACGCCGGCCAGGCAGATGCACAGAGGCGTATCACACCGTTGGAACCGATTCTCCGCTGTAATGGAGGGAACACTAGGAGGAGCCATGCGGCTTGAGCAGCACCATTCAGCCCCATCATCAGCGAAATTTGTAGAGGCGTGAAGCCGTATCCACCGAGGTGTATAGGAGTAAACCAAAAGACAGGCACAATAGCAGTGAATGCAAAAGCGAGGACTGCGATGTGCCCATACGTATAGATGACTATAGTCACACCTGGCGATTTCAGAAGCTCCCACGTAGAAAGATCGCTCTGGGTCGAAGCATTAGGGCCCGCCTCTTCCTCATCACTGTCTAAAGTCGGGCTCTTTTTTAGCGTCTCCTCAACAAACAAAGCGGTAGACACCACAGCGGTGGCACCGACCAGCGCCACCACCAGGCTCGAGAGAGCGTAGGGGTAGTTTTCGAATAAACGAATCCCCCCAAAGGCGCCCGGGTATTGACTTGCCGGGTTAGCAAGGGCACCACCTATCAGAGGTCCTAGGAAGATGCCCAAGTTTCCAGTGAAAGCGAACCAGCTAAACGCACGGGCCTGGGTCTTGGGCGTGCTGTGCTCGGCCACCATGGTGCGAATAGTAATGATTGTCCCGGCGAATATACCAGCAATACATCTGAATAGGATCATTTGCGGTATGGTTCTTGCCATCCCGAAGAGGCCCGTCGCTATTGTCACGCCGACCAAAGAGAAGACAAGGACGGGCTTCCGCCCGAGACGGTCGGAAGCGCGACCCCAGAATATCATCACAATAGCCTGCGTTAGAGAGAATAACGACTCGATAAGCCCGCTGTAAAAGCCGATATCCGAGTCCACAACATTACCGTTGTCCTGGACCATCTGGCTTACGTAGGGAAAGATGGAGAAGAAGGCCAAAGGCTCGATCGTCCGGGCATAGCAAAGCAGCAGGATCTGGAACATGGGCAGAGGTTTTTCATCATCATCGTCGCTTTCATCGCTAGCATGTGTAGCTGTGCCAGGTTTCAAGAGAGCCGTGGTCTCGTCTACATGGCCGTTTTCCTCGCCAAGGCCGGGGGTGGATTTTCGTCGGGACGGCCCTTTGCCCGCTTGGCTGTCCGTTGGCGAAGCGACCATATCTGTAAAGGCTAACCTTGAGATACTGCTGATCAAATAGCAGACGCGGATCTCAGGATGGGGGGAAAATATTGAGCAAATGAGGTAATTTGAGTCTGACATGGCGCTCACAAGGATAGCCCCAACTTAGATAATCGAGGTTATCTAACCCCACTGTCAGCCGTGGAGGTCTGCATTCTCAAAATATTTCAAGAAAACGATGTTTTTTTCTTTTTCTTTTCTAAAGAGCTGCCATTTACACCGAGCTTGGCGTTACGCAGCGTCAACTCAGCCTTCAAGTCAGCCTCGTGCAGACCCACGTTTTGTAACCCGCTTCATTTCGTTCTTTCGTTTCAGGGCATGGCTTCAAACCCGATTTTGTGATTGCTACCAGGCCCCAACCGCTCTAGCTCTCTAACTAATATAGGTCCCCTGATGAAGCTTTCCACGGCTATCGACCCCATTGTAATAAAAGTTCCCAACAGCTTTGCCGCTGCAGCCCAAATAAATGTCTTTTACCTGAAGGAGCGTCTGACAGCGAGCTGGGAAATACGAAGTACGGCTTAAAAACAAAGTACGAACCAAGTGTGATTGGTTCCTGACTACTCCTTGCTCCACCTTGGAGAAGCATAATATTTTCAAAATTGCCAGAGCTAAAGTGAGAATGGGTATACAGTTTTTATTTCTAAATAGAGAACTTTGAATTTCTTTTATGATCCTGTTGGTTTTGAAGTTGTCGGTCCAAAGTGGAGACGGGCGAGGCAATTGACCAATTATACATTGTCACAGGATGCGGCCGCTCCCATATATAAGTTTACGGACTTCCTGCATTGAAAAATATGGCAAGAGAATAAGAACTGGCATGCAGAGCCTTGCAAGACTGTAGGCCTCTCATAATCTTCGCTATTGTCAGTCTTTCCATAGTTGGTTCCGCTAGGTATTGTAACCTTTGATTGAATGATCTTTGTTCCCCCAACGCTCGCGCCGGGCTATAAGATACGAATCAAAGATCGTATAGATCAAGGTAAGATAACTACAATGCTACGTAACTTGTATCATTATCTCGAGTCGCCCCAAAGGTGATTGTTGATACCCTTTCACCACTGTATGGGAATTCCCTAAACAGTACTGTTCATACTCCAATTGATATAAGAATACAATATTCCTTTGCCAGACTCTACGCTCAATTCTCACAATTGCAGAGCGCGAGAAGTTTAGAAAACTCTTGCTTCTGATTCATCTTCTTTGCCAAATCTGAGAGATGGCCGAAATCCCCCCAAGCAACCCCAACCACCCCCGGTGGCTGCTTGATCTCGAACAATGAGCGATACGTGACTATCGTGAGATCGAAGAAGACTTGAAGCCTTTGCTTTTCCGTTTTGGTGCTCATCAGTTACCACTTTTGATCTCAGAAAATTGCGCACGCCTCTGAACACTCTGCCCATCTCACAGATTATTCAATCCATAGACAAAATCAACATTTGATAATCGAGCATGGAGTATTGATTTCGATGTATGAGAAGAACACCAAATTGTTCTTTTTCCTCATCCCCTCCTTAAGATCTAATACTCGACCGACTCTACTAGACCTTACTCTGCCTGCTTCCTGGCCTCACGCTTTGCCTTCTCTCTGCCCACATTGTCAAGACTTTTAGTCTCAAGCATACGGGCAACCATCTAGTCGCCAGGTAGAAGTCCTAATAATAAAGGCAAATGCGAAGTAGTCGGTAGGGGCGGGAGAGAAAGAGCGGGGGCAGCGCTGCGTGTAAAATAGAAGGGAATAGAGGAATGAGAGAAAGTGAAAGGATAACGAAGAGGGTCAAGTTAGGTCTTTTAGGTCAGGAGCATTAAAGGGAGGTTACGTGACGGCGTATTAAGGTGCTAAAAAAAAGGCAAAACTAACTCGAAAACGCAATTTACAGGTCCTCCGTTTACAGAAACAACACCATCAACAACACATAGGAGAGATTGGCTACGAAGTCGACACGACTCAACTGACAGAAACTCACACATGACGATGCGATTATTTTGAATCAGGCTTCTTAGCCATTATCTGGGTTAGTTTGCTGTTAAGATGCCTTTCCAACATTTGTTTGTGCCCATCTGATACCTTCATTTTATCCAAAGTACTTGCATATCGTTCAATGCATTCATCCAGACTGGGACCGCTCTCGAACATGTCTTCATTCTTCTTAGCAGAGACTGCATCAGCCCAAAGCGTCTCCAATTCTTCCCTCCAGCCCAGCGCATCGGCCAACCGACGAACACCATCGTCACACGTCCCAAACATGCAAACATCCTCACCACGATTTCCAAGATCGCCCGCTTTCTCATTATTGATCAAAATGCGTGGAACACCCTCTCTAACCAAGCACGGCAATCTTGAGCAAGGTGCCACTTTCAAGCTCGTCCCCATAACAAGCATCAAGTCCGCCTCGAGAACCTCCTTTTGTCTTTTCTCAAACTCGATTGGCAGAGACTGCCCAAAGAAGACAACGTCAGGCTTCACTGCACCACCGCATTCATCCTGTAGACAATAAGGCACCTCGCCCGCTCCGATAGCCTTCCTCATCAGATCGTCAGGATAATGCGCCTTGCATTTATAGCAGTGCTGACTCTTCCAGTTACCATGCGTCCACAGAACTTTATCCGCGGGGACCCCGGCATCCTGTTCAAGTCCGTCGATATTTTGAGTGAAAAGAAAATGCAGCAAATTCTTCTTGGCTAGTAATGCTAGGAATGCGTGGGTCACCGTCGGCTTAAGATTGCCCGGATGTCTTGCCCGTGCGATCGCATAGAATGGCTCAGGGGTGTGCGAGAAGTAGTTGATGTGAAAGATCGCCTCCGGGTATGGAAGTCCCAATGGTGCGAGCTTGTCATAGAGGCCTGTGGTGGGAGATCTGAAGTCTGGGATCCCTGCGCCGGTACTGATACCGGCGCCAGTTAAGACGACTATTCTTGTGGCTTTCCCATTCTTGATGCGGTCGACGATTGATTGGATGTCCGGCTTCTTAGGGGTATTCGTAACTTGTTGTGCAGTGTTCTCGTCTGACATGGTGTTCTGGAGTGAGGTAGGAAGCTCTTTTGTTCAAGATATGGATTCTTTCAGAAATATTATAAAACAAAGAGTGGAACTTAGGCCACAAGACAATAACATCATGTGATGTCAGATTGTTTGTTTACCTTTGTCCAGAGCCTCATTGGCCAAGTCACGGCCCAATCATGCAAGTATTCACGTCTAGACTGAACAGATTGACAGGCTGCAGGATTTGTGACGTATAACACGGTTATTTTCAAATTAATTAACAAAGAAGGAACCTGAAAAGTTTGAGCCAGGAAGCAAAAGGAAATGGGTATATGCTTATTATTCACACGGCATAGTGGCTTCCGTCAATTCAGTCAATAAATCCGTCCAGTCAGGTGTATCTAGCTCCGCGTAGGCGCTGCCATCAAGGATCTCTGTCCAAATGTCCTCAAGAGGTAACGGATCCGACAAGGGCTCTGACAGCAGTGTCGGTTGACTGTCGGAAGTTTGTGGAGAGAAGCTGACCATTTTGGGGCCCAGAGAAGTAGTCGCAGCAAAATCCGCTTGTGGGACACTAGCGGCTGCGACATTCTGTATAGAAGACGCAGGGGGGTCTGCCTGCGATCCACGAGAAATGGGTCTCTTTTCTTGCTTGCAATATTTTCGCAGGATGTCCATCATGGCATTTATTCCCTCGCGAGCAATGGGTGAGGATTGCTGTGCCCGGCTCAACATGCGACATGCATCCAGGACTTCCTGTTTCCTTTTTTCTTCCAAGATGTCATCCCAGTTGAAGCAGACATCGATAAGTAGAATAACAGCCGCCATGAAAACGTGGTGCATGACTGCCCATATCATCGAACTATGCGGAGTAAACACGGGCTCTTGCTTATCCATCATGCGCTTCACCTCCAGGACCTTGCGCGCGGAACGAAGTGACACTACATGAGAATAGGAGTACCGGGGATCTTTTGCTCCACGCACAAAGTAGTGGCGATGCAAGCGACAGAGTCGGGAGTGGTAGCCTTGTTGTACGATAGAGCGTTGCCATGCTAAAGTCGGGCGCTCGCGGTAGAGCGCTGCATATTGGCGTCGGGAGGTTCGATCAAAACGGAAGAAGCCCGGGATCTCAGCGCAGGCTTTGTGAAGTTCGCGATCCAGCTCAAGTATTGTTTCATATGGTACTTCTTGCCCATTAAGATGGTTCTCTGCCGTTTCGTCCACTATGTGACGGCATACGACAGCCAATCTCATTCGACACAGGCTGTATGACATATCGGTCGGTGAAGAAAGAGGCAAGCCAGTTTCTGTGTGTTCGATATCCTTGTCATCGACATTTAAAGGCTCTCGTACTTTCATTTGTTCCGGTTGGACCGTGTATGTCCACTCCTGGGGACCACTGAGGAAACCTAATAGCCTTGGGTATCATCAGCGAAGTCCAACTGCATCTTGATGACAGAAGCCTACCAGTCATATGCCGCCAAATCCCACCATAACCGACGTTTGAGTTCAACATTGGTTTTGTCAAATTCATTTGCTGCACGCTCATCCACAGATTGACGTGAGTCCACGAGATGAAGTCGCATGCTGATGGCTTGACTCATAAATGACCTGTGTACAAAGAATGAACTGACGGAAGGTGGTAAATTCATGTTGGAAAGGTGATGACCGATGATCATAGTCGCTTGTAGTCCTTCGATGGTCGGGTATGCAATATAATTGCCTTGAATCAACGCAGCTCCGGCTAGAAATGTGGTATCCTGGCTACAGAGATCTGCGCATTCCGATGATTCCATCAGAAGTTTGTAGTAGATGGCCGAGGCAATTATGCTGAACAGCAGGGCAGCATGACCGAAATTCATACTCTCGTTGCAGGCAACTCGCTCATAAATACTTTCAATCTGCCGTTCGACCTGAATTTGTATGATAAGATGATATTGGAAATCGAGATAGGCGCAGTAATACCGGAACAGGCTCAACGCTTCGGCCTTTGGGGGCAGATACGACGGCAGATGAATCGTGGCAGGATTTTCACGCAAGGCAATTGGATCGCGTCGAATCATAGCAGATTGGACACCGGGAACCGGGTATTGCCGCATAGATGAGCGTTCACTTTTTTGATTTTGGGAGAGCTCTGCTCTCAAAGGGGCAGGAATCGCGCTCGGCACACGATGCCCCATGACTATAGTCTCAAGCCAATCTGCTGTTAAAAGAGGCTCGTTCGGATTCCGTTGTTGTGTTTCTGTGTCGACTCTGGTGCTCCGTCGCAAGGTTCGAGGTGGTTCAACCATGATGTTGTCCAACACAGGCCTCTCCTCTGTTTGGCTACTGGCTTTCACCACCCCTGAACCGCCGGTCCTGTAAATGCATTCCAGCTTGCGCATAGAACAGTTACCGCAAGGGTAACCCCTATCGCACTTCGACTTCTTCTTCCGACAGGACTCACACGACACCGGGTCCTGTCGGGGCTGCTTTTTTGGAGGCGATCCAGCACCCCCGGATTCAGTCTCAGCATTCGGCCTTCGCTTCATAATTTTGAGTAAACATTAAAAGAGCCAGAGGACATCGATGAATCAGAGGATCAAAGCAGCATGAGAATATCCCCTGCGGCAAAAATTGGGAATGTTGAGTCTGGATGACCGGAAGGTCCGCGGAGTCTCCGGTAAACACTAACCCCGATTCGTCGACCACATATAGCCAAATTCTCAAGCCAACAAACAACTCCGAGCGTCATCACAGCCTCGGAGACTCCGGTGAAGCATTTTTAACCTTAGAGATGCAAACAGTCCAGTTTAATATAAATATTGACGATTTCTACAATGTGTTCAATCTCCACCTTTATAAGATCTCCTGGTCGCCGATAGAGTCCAAGAGTCGTCAACGTTGAGACGGGGAAATGGCATCAACTGAATACACGTGCGTCATATTCTCATTTCAAGTGTCAATTCGGAAAGCTGACTTTTCCAGACCTCGGGCATGGCTCGTCGTATTTGGGGCCTTTACTTGTCTCTTCTGCACTGTCGGGTTCATGAACTCGTTCGGCATATTTGAAGAATACTATGGCAGGAACCAGCTTTCCTCAAGTTCATCATCTACCATTGCATGGCTAGGGGCTGTTTCAATCTTCTTCCTCTTCTCCATTTCTCTGGGGTCGGGTGCAATGCTTGATATATTTGGTCCAAAGGTGAACTCATTGAATCGAGCTATGATGAGATGAAGCTTACCTCATATTGTATGTACAGATCATGGTTTACACCGGCTCTATCGGTACTGTATTTTCAGTTATGATGATTTCAATTTGTCAGGAGTTCTACCAATTTCTACTTGCACAAGGAGTTTTGTTGGGCATCTCCATGGCCCTGGTATCATGGCCTATGCTCGCGCTGGTCGGACAATACATCAAAATTAAACGTGCAGCTGCGATGGGTATCGTCCTTGCAGGCTCGTCCCTAGGTGGTGTTATTTGGCCGATCGCAATTGACAGACTACTCAACAATCCCAGCATTGGGTTTCCGTGGACCATGCGAATCGTGGGCTTTATTATGATACCTTGCTTCATCTTCTCTTGTTCCGTTGCCAAATCCCCAGTCGCACCCTCAATCAGTGCAGATAATGAGAGATGCGAGGAGTTGGATGATGAGAAGACCCCCGAACAAAGCGTCAAGCCGAAGAATCACAGGGAAGAAGTCTTGGGTCTTTTCAAACAGCGTTCGCTGCAGCTACTGTGTCTTGCCATGTTCATCGTATATTTTGGGATGTTCTCACCATTCTTCTACACAACATCTTTTGCTGTGGAAAAAGGTTTCTCTACAACCCTAGCCTTCTATACCGTCTCCATTGTGAACGGCACTTCATTCTTTGGTCGGATTCTCCCAGGTATCATGGCTGATAAATACGGGAAGTTCAACTGCTGCATTCTGGCAACTATAAGTGCAGGAGTTGTCGCATTGTGCTGGACCAAGGTAACGTCTGTCACTAGCCTTGTGATCTGGTCTGCTGCGTATGGCTTTGCGTCTGGGGTGAGTCGTCTTCCTTATTACGGAGAATGCAAATACTAATCGGTGGTAATCTAGGGTATCCTATCTCTTCAGCAAGCCTGTGCTGCACAAGTTGCTAGCCGTAATACTCTTGGTCTTGCAATTGGAAGCGTTTCAGGATCTACAGCTCTATCGTATGGCCCCTTTTTCGACCTAGTGTTGCATATTCTGACAAAATTACAGAGCCATGGCCAATATACCCATCAGCGGTGCTCTTGCTGAGAAGTACGGATATCTCTCGTTGTCACTATTTTCTGGTGTATCATTGCTCCTGGGGGCCATTCTTTTGATCGCTGCTCGTATGGTACAGAGCAAACAGCTTCGAGCGATCGTCTGAAATTTGTCCAGTTGACTCTGAACGGTATGTGGGGCCCGACCTAGACAAAATGTGGGGGGCTCCATGATACAAGTCCGGGGGTATCTTCGGAGCTGGCTCGGACATGACTCTTGGCCTATGGGGATTCGCAGGAGAAGGTTTACTGTAACTCTGCAGCCCAATAACATACAGAAAACAAAAGTTTATCACCTGCTTTATGAGATATATTCTAACATGCTGATTGTGTGGCTGTAGAGCCCTACATGGATACCTGTTATTTCAAAATACATACAGCTCAAGCTTAATTTTTGGCCAAGATATACTCACATACAAAAACATATATAATACATCCCCGTTTATTTTCTCTGGGGCCAAGCATTGTACAGTCCTTCAAAGACTGTCACATTTCCAAAGGTTACTTCTCCCACACCGTTGTGGAAAAAGCTAATATCGGTCGAATTTGCATACCAGGACCTGAATATCAAGTTAGTGAGCTGTGTGTTATGCGATGACACTAGATGTACTTACCGTGCCCAGGTGCTCAACGCGAAGCGTCCATTGGCATAAATCTCCAGAACGCCACTATCCACCACGATAGTGAGCTCCAAGATCTCGATATTTTCAGCTCCATTCTGCGCGATATCGAAAAGGCGCAGGCGACCTGCCTCGTTGTCGCTGCTGATTCCATCAGTAGTCTTTGCTGCAGCACTTGTGTTGCTGCGGTCGATAATGATGGATTCGTTTGAGAATTGGTAATAGATGGACGTCGACTCAAGCTCTGACGACAGAATCTTGAACCCGGATTGAAGATCGGAGCCACGGGCTGAGCTTGGGAAAGAAATGTTTGCGGTCAGAACGAAGAATTTGCTTGATGGTGAGGTTTCAAACGCCACGTCTCCAGCTTCGGACAATGTCCGACCTGCCTCGACAGAGGAGGACCCAGAAGTCAGAGCATCGTAGGTCTCCCTGGCAATTGAGATTCCCATAGTCTGGAGATCAACTTGGCCAGATTCCTCGCGAGACACGCGCCAGGAAGACAGTGGCTCGCGTGCAAGCTCATTGTCTACAACATTGGGAAGAGTTTCAACCTTCAACTCGCGTGGGAGAAGAAGGGTTCCGGTCCAGTTTTGCTGAGCTTTAGGGAAGCCAGTTGCCAACTCGAACTGATCTCCAGTGAGCCAGACATAGGAGATGAAGCGATCAGGGGCGCCGCTCTTAGCAGAAGCCTTAGAAGTTGCTGGTAGGATCTTCCCCGCAGCTGCATATGATGACAAGCCCCAGTCAAGGAAACCTGCCATGGTGGGAGTGAAAGCGACAGAATCTCCCTTGGTGATGTTTCCTGTTACCCACAACATGCCATGGATGGAAGTAACTCTTGGAGTGACAGGTGCCTCTGATCCCTCAGTGCCGAGTGTCATGAATAATTCTCCGTCCTCGCTGTACCCGTCTTCATTCAAGCTGAAGACGTTGCCAACCTCAAAGTTGAAGCCCCATCCTCCAGCCCAGTCACCATTACCCCAGGTTGTGTTGACAGGTTCCTGCCACCATTGCCCGAGATATTCCCAGTACTGGAAGCCCGCATCATGCTGGCGATAGAGGAACTGGCAAGGTCCGATATTGTGAACACCGCCAGAGATGGCGATATACCAAGTTCCTTGGGTACTGTTGAGCGCTGAATCCAATGCCGGGTTTTGGAAGGCATATGGGTCACGGAATGCCGTCACATTGAGGGCGAATGGCGGTGAAGGGATGACCGGGCCTTGGCTGAGCTTGGTGAAGTTGCGACCACCATCATAGGTAACGGCCAAGGACTGGGTTTCGCTTCCCCGGGTGTAGGGAATAGACCAGTGAATTGGGAGATAAGACACCGAAGTATATAGCAATGTTGGCAGACCATCAATGCCATTGGGGATCACTGAGCCATCGAAGACAGCCAGCGGATCATTTTTCCCTCCTGCAACAATTGAAGGACGTCCGTCGGGCATCAAATCCGTGTAAGTAGCGAGATCATCTGTGGTGGCGCCTGCAATTCCGTCGTGGAGGAAGCCCACATGGAAGAGTCCTGTCTTAGGATCAGTGTAATGCATGCACGGATCGCCTATCTTTCCAGATGGAGGGAGTATATGAGCTCTCGGTCTCCATGTGTTAAATAGCGTGGCATTCGCTAATGTCGATAGGTTTGGAGGCGCCGAGTTGTAATCAACCGAGGAAACCTCGCGACTGAAGACAGCACATGCTGCTCGGTCGGCCAAAAAGACAAAAATCGCACTGGACAACTTCATGGTGGAGATCTCATGCTATAGTTGTTCCATTTATTTCGCGGGGTATAACCACTTTTATATCTCTAGTTAAGAGCTACAGGTATTTTCCCGAGATTTAATGATGCCCAGAACCAATTAAATAGGACATCTGCGCGGATCTGGATCGCCTTGTGACGTTCATTGCCTCTTTGGACGCATTCGGAAGTTTCCATGAGACAACGGCAAAACCGCGGGGAATCTCCGGGTGGCGATTCCCCGACGTACGCAAACAGACTTCCGATGCACTTCCTTCCTTGTTTCATGTATGTAATTGATCTTAACCTGCCCCAAATCAAAACAGGGTCCTTCAAATAACACGAAATATACAGTTGCCATTCCCAGTGAGCTTTAAAAACAATCACGTGGAGGGGTTAGAAAAAAGAACCTTTACTCCATCGGCTTCCTTTCGAAAAGTTTCAGGATGTGTTCACTGCCACAAGCAGCAGCCACATCCAAGCTAGTTCGCTGCTGCATATCCTCGGCCATAGGATCTAGTCCCATACTGATCAGAATTTTGAAACTTTGTACCTCATATTCGACGGCCTCCTTTTCGTTAAATTTGCTGCGACTACGTACTGATGCGACCAAATGAAGTAAGGTCGAGCCAGCATTGTTGCGGGCAAAGAAATCGGCGCCTGTTTCTTGGAAGAAATCAAAGCAGGGGCGACTTGGTTCTTCATCGGATGGAAAAACCCAGTGGTCGCTGTTCTGTAGGATATATCTGAAGAGTGGGGTTTCACCCTTACGGTTTTTGGCATTGATGTCGACACCAGCAGCGAGGAACTTTCTGAAGAGGTCGAAGTGAGACTTTCGTTCTGGGTCTGGCGAGAGCTCATCAGCCAAGTAGTGAAGGGCCGTGTTCCCATATGAGTCTGGTTGGAGTGGATTTGCGCCCAGTTCCCAGAATAGATCCATGTATTGGAATGCATGCTGACGCAGAATTTCGTGGAAGAAGGTATCACCAGCCAGGTTGGGTTGATGGATGAGGTTGGGATTCTTTTCGATGATAGCCATGCAAGTCTCCGCAAAATCATTTCCAGGATAGTAAAGTCCTATATGATGGAAAATGTTTTTACCATACTTGTCTCGCGCGGCGACATCTGCACCGCGGTCTATAAGCTCTTGGAGGACTGTTTTGGTAACAGTTTCCTGCCCCTGAGCACAATGAATCTCTGTGTTCAATGTTTCATAACTTCGGCATGCGGCGAGAAGTAAGGTTTCACCGCTAGAATCGCGAAGCTCGAGATCCAAAAATGGCAAGTGGAACAATGGCTCGATCAGGAGCCCGGTGCGCAGAAACTCATGAATGACTGTTGTTGTTTGCGGTTCCCACACGTCCAACTCTTCTGATTCATCCATATCCGAATGCTCATCATATCCCTCTTTCATCACTCGCACGTCTTTACTGAAGTAGGCATATAGATCTGCACCGTGGTTGAGGAGTGTTTTCACCATGCGCGTGCCCCGGGAGACGTCTTCTGGTTGGTACATTGTTGGTGTTCCGTAGCCAAGTACATGCAGCAGCGGCGATACTTCAGAGTCAACAATTCGGACCCCCCTGGAGCGACTTTTGCATATTCTACCGGGTCCAGGCTTTCTCAAGTTGGCATAATCGCCCTGGGCGAGGAGAACCTCCAGTTTCTCAACCTGCTCCAACCCAATGGCGGAAAAGATATCCGAGGCAGTAACTGTAGCACCATTGGCCAGGAGCAGCTTGAGTAGCGTCAAGTCATTGCCAGCCTTTGCCAAACATGTCATCCCTTTGGCATCCACGGCATTTACATCTGCTCCGCACTCAATGAGCAGCTTTGCAGCATCTTTATGGAACGGGCCTGAGTAATGTGATCCACTCAATGCAGTCTGTAATGGTGTCGCTCCATCATCATCACGTAACTCCACATTAGCGCCCATTTTGATCAGGTATGGCAACGCCTTTGCCACATGCCACCAGCTTCCTCCAGCAGCAACTTGATGAAGAGGTCCACCAGATGGAACAAAAATGAGTTCTTGTATTCCCCGCGATGGCGATCGGCATTTGATATCCAGGTTAACTCCAATCTCCTCAACAAGAAATGTCAAGACGCTCATATTAGGCAACTCGGATAGACAGGCAGTTACTAATAGAGACCTAATGAGGCTGGACTGGGAGCAACTTGCCTTTGCCTCTGCCATTCGGCACCATTCGTGGTCATCCAGATCGAGGACTGCATCACGGGGACAGACCCGGGCCAGTATATCGTTGAAGCCCCATTTAACAAGTGAATGTAGCAGGGAATGAGCATCGCGATTGATACGAAAAGGGTCACCTTGTTTTGCGATGGACTCCTCAAGTATTTCGTATTGCCTTCGGAACAACAGCTCTTCCAGAAATTCGATGCTCTTAGATGGGTGGTCAGCGTCGTCAGAGTTGCTGTATTCTCTCAGCGCTTGTTGGGTTGCTTCGAGGCGGTATTTTGACGTAAGGTACTCCAGGCGGTTTGAATGGTTGAATAGGATATCCGGGCACATGCGTGTCCATAGCCGCGAGAAGCAATCTACAGTATATTCGTGATGATTTGACACAGCTTCGTAGAAAGCGAAACTAAATGAGCGACATTTGGCAAGTGGAATAGGATCCTGAAGCACCAGAAACTCCAATATTGCATCCAGTCGAGTCGAATCATGGACTGTATGTGACCAATGTGACCTATGTGACCAATGTGACCTATGTGGCCTAGGTGACCCACCGCCCGTGCTGAGAGCGCCATCTTGATCAGAGCATGGGCGTTTCGTGTCATTGAGCAAGACGCCGGCTGCATTGTAGGAATAGGTGTTCTGGATGTGATCCCACAGTGTTTGCTCGGCTTCAAACTGCGCACACTCCTTAAATAAGGAGCGGTTTAGTTCGGTCTCATCCATCAAATGAACTTCTGCGCCGGCTTCGAGCAAGATTTGAACAGTCTCAGGACGTCCCGAACGACAAGCAAGGTGAAGTGCTGTTTGGCCTTCAGTATTTTGCTGATTGATGAATGCTCTTCGCATGTCGTCCCCTACTTCCAATAACCTAGAGCAGAGAAGACCAACGATATTAGGCAGGCGTGCCCGGGCTGCAGTGTGAAGGGCGGACATTCCTTCATGTGTTACTCCAAATATGTCCGCCCCAGAGTTAAGGAGCTTGTAAACATAGACCTCAGAGATTGTCGCAGCCAGGTGCAGCGGTTGAACACCATCAATGTCACAGGGATTCGGATTATTGCAAATGTCAAGGACATAGTCAAGGGAGCGCAGGTGCTCGTTGGGAGTTTCCACCCTAGCACACAGTGTGTGCAACACGGTATTCCCGCGATGATTCGCTTGATCTATGGCCAGACCCAAGCCGCAAAGATGCTTCAGAAATGCCAACTTACTAATGTTGGAAATTTTCGAGGCGGCAATCTCAATCAAAAGTGTATTCCCCTCATAATCTGTGAGAGTGGGATCAAGCCCAAGACTTATCATATGGTCTAGTCGACTGATTTGGTGACAGCATTGATGCAGGAGAGTCCGCCCTTTGAAGTCGCGTGTGTCAAGGCGGACACCCAGATCAATCAAGGTCTGGAAGAGCATGGGGTTTGACCTAGAGATTTGAATGGAGTCAATGTGCCTAAAAAGCACAGTACGACCAGCTCGGTCCCGTGCTTCAAAATCTGCACCAGCTTGCAACAGGATAGGTAGTAACTCGTAGGCGTCCTCGCACATTGTGTGTAATGGAGTGTCTCCTACTCGATTTTTCAAGTTCGGATTGGCGCCGCAGGACAATAAAGCTACCACTATTTCACGGTAGTCTTCCACGGGGTGTCGGCGTCTTTCCAAAGCAATATGTAGCCCGGTATTACCCTCTGCGTTCATGACATTGACATCGGGCTTATACTGCAGAAAGGCAAGCGGGGACTTGTTTCGCTCAAGGCGACACATCAATGGAGTTTTTCCAGTCTTGCGAAGCTGCTTGTTAATATTCACAAGGTCCGATTTTAAAAGCACTGGTAAAAGCCGCTTGTCTTCAGCTCCGTCGGTATGGAGAGGTGTCTCGCCTGCGTCGTTCTCACCAGTGGGGTCTGCCCCAGCCTCCAACAAAGTTTTGACTAGATTGATTTGATTCGCTCTGCAGGCGTAATGCAAGGGCGTAGAGCCTTCCGGGTCTTTTAGATGAATATCCGCACCCGCATCAAGTAATGACTGTAGACCATTGCTGCAGATAGGGGATTCACGAAATGTCCCACAAAGGGAATGCAGAGCCGTAAATCCTCCCAGGTCTCCACCTTCCCGCCTTCCAAAGTAGCGAGTAGAACGATGACTTCCTTTTCCGGTGAACTCATCCTTAGCTTTCGCACAGAATAAGTTGGGATCAGCCCCAGCCCGCAACAATATGTCGATTGACTTTTGGTCGCCAGCTTCACAGGCTTTGAAAAGTGCGGTGTCTCCTCGAAATTTCGCATTAACGTCCACTCCAGAATGCTGAAGGACCAGATCCACAACTGCTGCTTGTCCTCTTACTGCTGCCCAGTAAAGGGCTTGTTGGCAAGTTTGAATGTCGTTTAAGAAGGGTAGGAAAGCAGACACTGCCTCAACATGGCCAGCATGGCATGCATACATCAGTGGTGTATGCCACACTCTGAGAGTATAAACATCTGGCCTGCGATTCTCGTGTGTGGGGGTCATTGGATCAACCCCAGCCGAGAGCAAAAGTTTGACGACTTCAGCATGGTTCTTTCTGGCAGCATAATGCAATGGCTTGAGTCCTGATATTCCCTGCACATTAGGCTTAGCTCCATTAGCAAGTAGTACTTGCACAGTGTCGCTGTGCCCTGACATTGCAGCCCAGCAGAGAGGAGTCTGACGGTTACTATCATACATTTCCGTCTCACTCTCGCGTTGAAGCAAATATCCTACGTATCCAGCGAGGCCGGTCCCCGCAGAAACATGGAGGGGTGTTATACAATTGATCCCGGCATCCGGCCACATCATGGCAACCAAGGCAATAAATCTCTGCTGATGCGCAAAGATTGTATCGAGCAGCTCGTAGACGGAAAAAACGTCTATACCAGCTTGTTCTGCGCGCCGAGCATGGATATGCCAGTTTTCGACTGCATAGTCCAAGAAGGGAAATTGCAGTCTCAATTGGGTTCCTTCAGCATGTTCAAGACAATAATTTACATTTTTGTCAAACCTTTCCTTGATTCCAGAGTGATCCAGACAGGTCAGGTAATCCAAGCAAGCAACAGCAAGACGTTTGTTAGTTGGACCAGCGAGAAGAACTGGATAGTCATCATCGCAATCACTGGAGCGGGTGAGTCCCTTTAGAAATTCGGTGAAGGAGTGGTGGGCAACTGAGACTGTCTCATCAGGTAGGATTTCAAGCAGCGGACCGCATGCCGCTCTGACCAGGTCTTTAGTTGCTTTCAAACTGCCACTTTCATCCGTGGCATGAACGACCTCTGAGATTTCAGCGATTTCGAGGAGACGCAGTGGGCGTGTGGCATGCGTGACAAACTGCATGATAAAGCGTTGGAAGTCATCAGGTACTCCTGATCGTTTTGCGTGTTCACGCAAGAGGTCGTTGTACATAACATTCAGATCGGCCGGTAATGCCCTGAGGACCTCGGTCGGGTCGGCACCTGGATCAAGGAAGGCATTCATTGAAAGCTTTGCGTATAAGAACAAGCCATTCGCTCGACCTGGAACGGCCTTTTTGATGGTTCCCCAACACTCAGGCGGAACAGATGAGCGTCCAAGTTTATATTGCACGTATGCAGCGATATCATTATCGACCAGGTGCTCTTCCAGTCGAATGTGAGCGATGGAAGTCGCTCGCAAACAGTTTTCCACAGCAGCTACCGGGCGTGAGGTGATTAAGACTTTGATATTTGAAGGGCGCCACTGGCCGAGCTCCGCTAGATCATGCAGGAATTGATCATTCCCCTGATCCATCTCATCCAGAGCGTCTGTGACGCAGTAAGCCTTGGGGAATGAGGCCAGTGCCAACTTGAGGTCTTTCCAGAGGTCGCTTAGGGAAAGAGTATCTAGGGCACGATTCTCCTCAATGTAGTCATTCAACTTCATCTGTAGACGAGGGCTGTAATTGAGGACCTGACAGAGCCAGTCCTGTAACGCGGCCTTTGGTTGATGGTTGGCATCAATGATCTGTCGAAAAAAGAAATAAAGGACCGGGACCTCTTCCTTTTGTAATTGGTCGATAATCGAAGCAGCCATAACGGATTTCCCTGACCCCGGGATACCTTTGATCCAGAGAATGCCATTGTCGGCGCCTTGGTGCCACTGTCGATAGACGGTTGTTGATGTGAGCCACTGTCCGGTTCCGGCTAGATATGAAGCGCGGTGTCTGCAATATTCGCTCCGCTCCAGGCCATACGGAGTTGGCTGGAGCCATTCCTTGATTCTGGCGACCTCCTCGACTGAGAGCGGAAGGGAGTTTCCTGTATTGAAGTCTTGAACATCTTCAACGTCGACAAAAACAGAACCGTCTGGGCTGGACTCAGAACCAGACGACATATTCCACTTCGTCGCAATAGAACGTGCCCTCAGATGTAAAAAAAAAACAAAGCTTGGGTTGAGGGAGGAAGTTAGCGCAGACGTGTTGAGGCTCAATACGTTGTTGCTATGGCACCTGCGCTAAGGGCCTAGTGGCCCCACAGTGTGAGTCAGGGTTGAAGCCAGCGTACGGCACTAATGCACAACCTTTCTGCGTTGCGAGACGTAGTCATCCAGTGGAAATGCTCAATCATTCAAAGTGTTACTACAGTGTATGTATGTGAAAGAACAGCAGAGAAGTTGAGACATCAAGGCCATACCATCGCGACAAGGGCGTTACCGTCTTACCCACCGCCTCATGTATTGGCGACAATATAAGACTAGTATACAACAGGGGGTCATAAATATGTACACAGTGCTATTATTCCTCGCTTATAAATACAAAAGAGCATAAGTGAGCTGCCGATGGGCGTGTCCATGAAGACTGCGTATGAGGCAAATTATCCGCTCTGATACTTTCAAAGGTTTTATTGCTAGGAGAGGCATTGCTGATATATTTTAGATTCTCCTCGTTAAAACCAGCCTTCTTTTCTTTTTCTTTGTTGGATTCATTCTTCAGTATAACCTGGCCGACATTCTCTTCGAGGCAGCAGAATACTCTCTCGCAATGGTTTGATCCCAGTGACTTTACTAGCCCTTCTTCTCGGTATTTGGTTCGTTCGAGACGAGAAAAGTGGGCGATGACGGGTATTATTATGAGTAGCTCATAACCACATTCATCATTGTTACCTGCTCTTGCTGATGAAATTCTTTCTCTCGTAATAGCCTTGCTATCCTGCACTTATCATTCATTTTCTGAGCCGAATCATTGTTCTGTGCGGAAATGGAATACGATTGAAGACAAGTGGAATAGACAACATGCTGCTATTCTCAATAGCGGCCTTGGTTTCCACTTTCCTTAGACTTGTCTGCGCTGTTCAATGCGTGTCCAAATTCTACCACGGACTAAAGTCGGCCATTACCAGCTCGGGGCAAATCAATGGGGTTCACACTATCTCGAGTTCTATGTCTGATGGGAGAGATCCACGCTTATACCTTGATTAGAGAACCTTTAAGCCGGATCAAGAATGATACACCGAAAAAGCATGTAACTTTATCAACAAGGCTTTTGTCCTTGGAAATTTGAAAATTCCGTCTATCGATGAGAGCTCATATTAAGGCGATCTCGATTCTCCCCGCTACGGCTCAGATCCTCAATCTTCTGTAACTTATACTACAGAGAGCTGGATAATTGCTCACGTGCGATGAGTAGTCAGACGGTCGGAAGGTTGTTTTGTTTGCAAAGAGACGGCTCTATTTGTGCCCTCCATCGTTTCACACGGACTGTGTAGACGACCATCAAATAATAGAGCCTCTATCTACATACAAATGTGCTAGCGAGTAGTAATAATACCGGTACAGAGCATTTCATCTTCATCCGACCACCAATCTCAGACGTGAGCCCTCTCCCTCCTCATATGTACTCGACCTACATGGCCATCCTCCCACATTTATCACGAGTCCGTCTTCACAGCTCTGTCCCCAATACCAAAACCCCTTTATTTCTTCAGAGTGAGCATCCCTGGTTTCCACGGTAGGGTATTGTACTGGCCACCGGAGTTCGGGTTTCGCCCCTGATAGAGGAATTGCAGATTGCATGGATCGATGGTCATTGTTTGGTCAGGGTTGGTGCGAACTAAATCGCCATGACTGATGTCGTTGGTCCAGCTTGCACCACTGTTAGCCTTTCCGGCGAAGGGCTTGCTCTCGCTTGTAGCCTGCGGTGTCCACGAGCCGCCGAGACTACTAGCGGTGAATGAATGGAAATATCGCCCTTGTGATCCAATTGCCTCGACGATCATGAGGTACTTGTTTTGGCCTTTAACAGTGTACACTTGAACTGCCTCAAATAGGTTGTTCTGAGTGTCACTTAGCACCACCTCTGAACCTGTTCCGAAATTTCCTGGGAAATTGCCGATAGGCATAGTGGAGCGGTAGATCTTGCCATTGTCTCCCGCAAAGAAAAGGTACATATGTGTAGAGTCACCGATGAGGGTCTGATCAATAGCGCCAGTACTTGAGCCGGTGATCTTTCCAGAAAACAGGGCTTGCTCCGATGACCATGAACCACTAGTAGGATCACTTGATGTTCGATAGGTAAAGGTGCTCGAGCCCCATTGATAGGCTAGGACCCAGATATTCTTCGGTTGGAAGTAGAACAAAGTGGGCGCAACGGCTGTAAAGCTCATTCCGTTTTGGCTGGCAGATGTCATACCAGACCAATCCGAAAAGGCGCCGAAACTCATCGAACCGTACTTCCCACTTCCGTCGGTAGTTGATGCATAGACGATATGCTTGTTGTTGAAAACCACGTTGGTAAAGTCCTTGATTGCAGTCCATCCAGACTTAGGGTTCGCGAGAGCGCCAGTTGAGGTCCAACTATAACTCGATGGGAGCGCACAATCAGCAACGGCAACTGGCACTGATGCAAGCAAAAATATGACGGATGACACCAGGCCGGACTTCGCCTTGAAGAACCTCATTGTCGGTAAGGTTCTAGTCAGTGATTGTTTGTATGATTGAAAGATGATTGAATGACTTCAAGCAGAAAGCTAAAGCACCTGGGTAGGAGATGACCTTGTTTAAATGATCCAAGCACGGCTTAAAGGTTGAATTGTTTAGCCGGACAAATTATTTGAATTAGTCCTTTTCGCAAGCAAGCTCACGATGTTTCAGTTAGAAAAAAATCAGGCATGGTAGGTGCTTTCGTTATTTGCTGCCTGCAGAGATATGGTCTAGGATGAACTACATTAGCCAGAAACAATCGTCCGCCGGACTAATGCCTTTCTCGAAAGGGAGCGGTCCGCACCGGCTTTACCATTCAATTCTGTCTTCAGGCTATAATATAATCTGTAGAATGTGCAGTTGTGGAACTGCCTCCTGAGGCTGGATAAATGCATGGAAAGGATTATGACACTACACGTGGGTGTCGATGGTAACGCTGAAGAGATTTACCTTGTACTGAGACATTATCATCATATGGCTGTTTCAGTATAAGACACACTAATCTTCGAACGTTTTCTGTTAGGTTGTTATCTTTTCTGTTCGGGTTGGGTGGTGCATTGTGGAAAGTTTCTTGAAGAATGTCGGAAATGATCCCGCTCGCAGGTTCCTCGGCGGATTTAGCGGAGGAGGTTGAAATTAATTTGAACATTTTTGAAACTAAGGCGAGCCTAAGTTGGCGAGGTTGAAGATAATTGGTTGGGACGACCTTCAACATAGGATTCCCGTCTTCTCCACACGGGAGGACCCTTTTTTCGTTTCCCCTGACCGCAATGTTTCCCCCCTTGAACACAAGCCAAGGCTCAAGGGTCCTCCCATTTATTTTTATATTTCGGGGCTAGAACTTGCAGTGGGTCTGCCTGCCCAAAAAGAGCTTGGCGGTTTGATAGTATCCAAAGATCAGCCTCCAGGCTAAAATCCTCTACGCAAATATTTAGGCAAAAAAGCATGGAGGGGAAAAATAAAACGAGTGAATATTAGTTCCTCTGAGCCAATTACTAGGACCCTGAATAAATATGCAATATCCGTTCTCCATCACTGAAAGAGATAGATGATGCAGTGCGGTTTTTAACCTTCGGGGGAACATCTCCATTTAGCCATCTAGCACACAGCTATGAACATCTTCCCCCAAGACACGCTGGCTCCTGCCTTATATATAAATATTGTCTCGTTCCTCCCAGACGGTCCGTTTTTTCTGTCATTCTCATTCCCATTAATCGACTTGAAGAAATAACATGTTTCCAAACATGGTTCAAATCAAGGCAGCTGCTCTGGCTATTCTTTTCGCTGGCCAAGTGCTTTGTGAACCTGTTGAACCCCGACAGGCCTCTGTGAGCATCGATGCCAAGTTCAAGGCCCACGGGAAGAAATATTTCGGAAGTATTGGGGATCAGTACTCTTTGAACAAAAACGCAAAGACCCCGGCAATCATCAAGGCCGATTTTGGTCAACTCACTCCGGAGAACAGTATGAAGTGGGATGCTACTGAGCGTAAGTATCAATATTTACGTGATCACTAGAATATGAGAAGCTGACTTGTAAAATAGCAAACCGAGGGCAATTCTCTTTCACGGGATCGGACTATCTGGTACGTACCCAGGCTTTTTGCTCCTTTGCGTGGTTCTTATGGATTATAGGTCAACTTTGCTCAGTCAAATGGGAAGCTGATTCGTGGCCATACTCTCGGTAAGTTCTCGAGCCCCTAGGATCCAAGCGTGTTACAATATGAGAGGCTAAACTCGCCAAGTGTGGCACTCCCAGCTCCCGTCTTGGGTCTCTTCCATCAGAGACAGAACGACTCTGATCAATGTCATGAAGAACCACATTACCACGGTGATGAATCGTTACAAGGGTAAGATCTATGCCTGGGTACGTGAAATCTATAGCCCCAGTCCTACAAAGCCACATTACTAATCGATCTAAGGACGTCGTGAACGAAATTTTCAACGAAGATGGCTCGCTACGTAACAGCGTCTTCTTCAATGTCATCGGTGAAGACTTTGTACGGATCGCTTTCGAAACAGCTCGTGCTACAGACCCAAATGCAAAGCTCTACATAAATGACTATAAGTGAGTTATTACCTTTCCTCTTTTTATTTAGCATATATTCTGATCTTGCAAAGCCTGGATTCCGCCTCCTATCCTAAATTGAACGGTATGGTCAGCCATGTCAAGAAATGGATTGCTGCCGGTGTCCCAATCGACGGAATTGGTAAGATATTTGCTATTGCATTTCACCGTCTATGATGACTCATTCCCTCCAAGGCTCTCAGACTCACTTAGGCGCCGGTGGCGGTGCAGCGATTTCTGGATAAGTACTCCCTTGCTTCTCTGTCAACCGAAGATTACTCACAGCCTTTCACAGCTCTGAACGCCCTAGCCAGTGCAGGAACAAAGGAGATTGCCGTCACTGAACTTGATATTGCTGGCGCCAGCTCTACCGACTATGTAAATGTGAGTTTTCATGATGCCATGACTAGTTTAATTGACTTCCCACTTAACATCTATCAATATAGGTTGTCAAGGCTTGCCTGAACCAGCCAAAGTGTGTTGGAATCACGGTCTGGGGAGTGGCTGATCCGGTAAGCGCCCATTTTCATCATGGCAAAAAAAGTCTGTATACTAATACCGGATGTTTTGCCAGGATTCGTGGCGCTCTAGCTCCAGCCCGTTGCTATTCGATGGGGGCTATAATCCCAAGGCTGCATACAACGCTATCGCAAATACCCTTTAATTGCGATACTCTTGATCTCTATCTGTGAATGCCAAGTCTGCTACTGAGTAGGCTACACTTCAGTTTGAAGTGTCCAATTGATATCAAAGATCCGAGTTGTAAGAGCAGGAATAAACTAGGGTTCTAGTGAAGCACTTGTTACTTGTTATTTCCATTGAAGAATTTTGTCTTTAAGGGAAACAATACCACTTCATTAGACTTCTTGAAAATGTCTTTTCTAACTATAAAAATATTAATCGCGTCCTGTAAATTCCCTTAACGAGAAGACTAAAGTGACTAGAAGCTTAGTCTACAGCTCTTAGCCCTAGTCATAATGATAAGGCAGATTCTAGACCAGCGTTATAGTTCCCGTGCGGGGGAACAGTCGCTCTGTACCTCCGGCCCCTTTCTATCGGGAGCGTATATTCAGTAGGCTCTATACAGGGGGATCGTGATTGGTAACGGATTAGAGAGCAAGGTAGGAAGTGGTATTGCTAGCCAATTCCTTTTGGTAATAGAAACTTAGGTTGTACGCTCTTAAGATCTGCATCCAAATTGAAAGCCTAGCCTGAGTTAGATCAAATTGGAATCCCTATGAAGCATAGACATACTGTGCATGTTCTGGACCCTGGTTTTCAAAATGGCCCGATGAGACTACTACCTGGACCGGACGAACTTCCTAATTGGGTAAGTCAATCGGTAGTCTAAACACTGGCAACTCCCGAACAGGGCGCACTACACTCCTTGGGTGCTTCATACTCAATTTCCTTTGCCTCCGTCAATCGGCCCACCAATCTAGACCAACGGTTTCTAGGCTATAACCCCGTGTTGGAACAGGCTCCTGCGTTTCGGGTCGAAAGAGGGCTTCCTGCCGGTGAGCTCAATTCATACAGCCTGCCAAGGCTGGTGTACAGGGTCATGGATTGCGTAAATTTGGCAATTCTTTCGGATAGTGTTTCCTCGTGGGAGAAGCACCCATGGCCGAGAGAAGTTGATGTGTGTTCATGGCTTTGATGCATAGGATCGTCGCCGACATATCATATATCCTAAAGTTGGCTTTGCAGTCTGCCATTCAAGAAATGTAGATGTACTTCAAGAAACACACCCAAGCACTAAACTCAATCTCTTCTCGCTGAACCATCGTCTAATATTTCTAGACACGCACCTGGGATCATCAAAACATTCCCCGCACATGCGCTCTCGTTTTCTCAGTGTTTGTAGGATGCGGTCAAGGTGTCGTTACGCAAGGTATCCCTGGCAACATCTACAGCCGTCTGACGAAGCGCCTATATACGGTTTGCTTCATTGTCGAGTTTCCACTTACGGCTTTCGCCATCGCAAATGAGACGTGAACAGGCGCATTTGGAAGCAATTTCCATAGTGCAGCCTCTGCGTTCGAACACATAAGGACGGTATTTTGGCAGGAGTAAAAAACATACAACAATTCAATGTCCCTACTTTCCAATCTGGCTTCCCTCATATCTTCCCTCTTTTCCCTCAGCGAAGGTTTCATGCTAAACCCAAATTTATTCTCGATCTAGATGTTTGCTTAGATAGGCTGTATCATCTGTAGGTAGACATCAGTACGGGCGGCCCGCCCCGGTTTCGAGTCCGGCTACGTGGAGCGTTAGGATGGGCCGCGGGCTAACTCAACATTAACTTCAAGAATAAGAAACTAGTGCAGGAAGGGCTCGTCGTAATTTTCGGCTTTGATGTTGGTATTCCGAGTCTTTAACTATACGGCTTGCTTCCCTTGCCCAACATAGTATGAAATGCCATCTGATATCCCCTTCGGCTACCCCAAAGGAACAACTCGACAAGGTCGTTGCATATGTCTAGTTGATGGGCCGTGCATGCCTCTCTCTCCAGGTATTGGCGTCCTATCCAAATTCTTCTATTCCACTCCTCATCAGAGCTCTAAGTCTGAATTCTAGTCCGGAACCCTTGACTCATGACCACTCAGAGAGCCCACCGCTCTGCTAAAATAGCTGACTACTTGATCTATATGGACGAAAGGTATGAATTTGAATTATTATAAAGTTAATTCCATGCCAGCGTTGAGTGGTAATGTATCTGCAGATTTATACTGAGTATTATGGAGATGCGCAGCCCACTAAGGGATTATTTTAAGCTTTGGTGACACGGACGCTTTGCCGGAAGGAACTTCCATCTGGCACATACCTGAATCCAGGTGTTTCACCGCTTCAGAGAAATAACAACAAATTGGGTCCCATTTAGATTGTTAGATCGATTGTCGGGAATTTGTCGGAACCACCCAAGTTTCACAGAATAAAGAATCAGCGCCTCACGCCCCGACATAAATTAGGCAAGCGGACATTGAGCCAAAGATCTTAGGAAGACACTTCCAGGTTCCAGAGCATCACCATGATCTGGATTTATATTTTCGCGATTTCCAGTGACCATACAGCGCTCGGTCATGTTTCTCAGCTTGGTTGCATAGCGACGGTTCTCCAAGTTCCACTACAGCCGTGTTGATCTCACGAACCAGCTATATTGCCTAAATTCTGAACCACTCAACGTAAAACGTGTCGATCCTATAGGCAATATTCACTAGGCTTCTATCGGGACAAGGGTCTCGATCGATAGCTCAGCAGCGCCTTTCGAAGGTGCGGGTAGTCCCCTATAAGTCTATCGCCGTGATAGGGACTATCTATATTGGTTGTACTGTTGTGGAGTTGTGTGGGTCACAATCCAGTAATATAGGTACAGGTCTAACCCTAACGCATGAGTAGTGCGTATCAGGATGACAGAACAATACCACCAAAAAAAAAGTGCTCCAACAAGTAGGTCCCTAAAAATCCTTACTCTCTTAGCTGATAACTGGGCTTGACGATTGGTGACAGTTGGTGGAGCTTAATGTGGGGCTACAGGGGGACAAGCCTTCAATTATAAGCACTCTTTTTGTTTGGGATTTTTCTTTCTCTTCTATTCTCCGCCTCGCTTCGGGATAAATTCGTTTCTATCAATACCGGTGACCTGATCCAACCACTCCGCACTGTCACCCTCCACCAAGACACCTCATTTCAGCAGCATAATGGCGGCAGCATTACCCCCGGAACTGTTGCACGAGATAGCAGAGCTTCTACAAAATGATGGGGCCTCTCTAGTTCCATGCACTACTGTATGTCGCTTATGGCTGGCGGCTTTCGAACCCCTTATCTATCACAGCCTAGCCGTCTATAGTGATGATAAGCACAAACAAGAGGGGCAACGTGGAATTTCTCTAGCAAATTTGCAAAAGATCACATCTGGCGATCGTGCTATAAGGCAAACCTGGATCCGAACTCTAGAATACAATATCCTCACCCCCTACGAACTCTTAGACTGGACCACACGCAAAGAGAGGAATACGGAAGCTTATTGTATAGACAACTCTGTCAGAAAGGCTAATGATCTAGCTTTCCAGACAGCTATAGTTAATCTTTTCCAAGAGCTTCACTTATGGAAGAGTTCCCGTCTGAGATTGGACCTAGGTGTTCGAGGACGTCGAGGTGATTATGCGCCAGAACCACATACTGAAGACTGGGATGTCGCCGGTGAATACCTTTGGGATTATAAAGATGGCCGCAGGTTTTCGACCCCACCTTACAGAGCGCGGTTTCTCAACGATACGCCAGGTCTTGCATCTGTTCCGTGCATTGAGAAGCTCTCTTTCATAAATGAAATTTGGCCCGGGGGCACGCATCATCAGATTTGGACTGGAGCAATCCAAATTATCATCCAACGCTGTCCAACAATCTACGAGTTAGCGCTAAACCTTGACGAATGGGTCCGTCCGGATCACTTGGAGTATATACAAACGCGTCGTATAGGTAAGCTATACCTTTTGTCGTTATGGATTCTCCTTAGCCCTAGACATGGTTTACTAATAGCTATATAGCATTGGGATTCCTTATTAGTTCTATCCCAAAGAGCCTACAGGTGCTAGACTATGAAGGGGAGAAGGAAGAACATTGGAAGCAAACCTTGTCCCCACTCAATGTTATCCCTTCGGGGATTGATAGTATGAGCATCAACTTGCGAGATCTCAGTGTTCACCTCCGGGTATTAAAGTTTAAAAACAGCGCTATTGCGTATGACTTTATGTGTCCCTTGGACGGAGAAGGAAAGCCGGAACTAGGCTCCCTGCACTGGCCCTATCTGAAGGTCTTAGAGGTTGAGTGTGTGCGACCCTGGCTTCCATCAGGTAAGAAAGCAAAACAAGCACTACGTCCAAGATGCCTAGTAATAAATCCCAAACAGGAGAACCGACTTACCACTACACGGCGGAGGACCAGGCCGAAATCAACCAAATCGACGACTGGGACTGGGAGATATGTGATCTCGAGCGGGGATGGCTTGGACCAACAGAGAGGATTGAAGAACATTTCCACCGGCTTCTCATATCGATGGGCTATGCGGCTCAACGTATGCCCAGTTTGAAAAGCCTGAGATTTGAAATCCAGAGTGAAAACGAGTTTATTCTTTATTTCCGGAATACCGCCGACGGGATTACCCTTGGGTGGGAGTGTTATCCGGAATATCAGCCAGATGAGCGGGTTGCCAAGGCCTGGAATATTGACCCGGATGACCCGAAGGTTGACTTTGCTTACCAGTATGACGCTTCTGTGGCACTGAAGAGCTGGCCGCCCGAACCACATTCCTAGCTTGGGCTCTTCATTGTGTTACTACAAAAGAGATAGTTATGTTGAAAAATGGATTGTAGGAAGAAAGTGTTACATATTCCTGCCAGAAGACACTGTAAATTTCAACATTATGCTAGCCATCTAAAAGAAGAAACCCTCGGATTGTTGAAGTTTGATATACGATGAACTGATGAAGTACGAAATACAGTGCTTTGAACGAGAGTGTTTAAGTCTACCCCCTCGGAGGAAGTATCTTTACGCCTATTTATAGTGGTAAAGTACAGCAGCGAGGGCTCCGTGGAGATACTCCAGGTTTGTGCCGTGGGTATTACCCACTGCGGCCCTAATGAGAAATGGGTGTATGAAATCGAGACATGAACACAACAGATTCGCTCAGGCCCGGAAAATAATATATTGTATGCGCCGTTGCTATTGATCGTACGCCAAATATCTGTTCTCAGAGAGTTGGCTCAAAAAGGTCCTGATAGGGATCGGTGATGCTCATCTAGGTGTCACCGGCACTTGATAGCCTTGCAGTTGTGATTCAGAAATAAGACCTCATCATCTTCGCCAATTCATCAAAAGCAGATCGTCTCTTGCCAAGAATATCATTGAACACCTCCGGGGATCCGACAGACCCAACAACGATCTGATCCTCCCCAGACAACAGTCCTTGATGTGCCGCATTGATGAACTCACCTAAGGGCATACCCATGCCTCGCCCTTTCTCCTTTCCCATGTAGTCATGAATCTCGGCTGATTATCCAATTAGTTTGACCCTTGGAACAGATTACGACAAGCAATAGACTTACTCTGCACTAAAGGCGGCGAGATTTCAATGACCTTCACATTCGTCTTGGACAGCTGCTCCCGCAAGCAAAGCACGAAAACGTTTAGCGCCGCCTTGGATGCGCAATAGGCAGGCATAGGTACAGCAGGCACAATGGAAATGTTGGAGCCCGTACTGATCCGCATTAGCCATCGCTTCTACGCTGATGCCTCATGCTCGGCAACGATTACTTACAAAACCAAACCGGTCGGAGTATTTTTGCTGGTCAAGAAGGGCAAGAAGGCGTGCGTAAGAGCCACGAAGCTGTTGAAGTTGACACTAACTTCTTTTTGGAATTGATCGAGGTCGAATTTGGCGGGATCGCTCATGTCATAAATACGCTGAAAACCCGCATTCAAAAAGACACAGTCAATGTCCGGGAAAGTCTTGGTAACGCTTTTTTAGGATCAGCATCAAGGTTTTCAGTTCAAGGCTCGGTGAATCTATACCTCTCGACAAAGCCGGGAATTGCTTTTATGTCTGCAAGATCAAATGCCACGCTGCTGGCCTTGTCCTCGCCGTGCATGCGGACGAATTCATCTAAGCGTTCCTGTCGTCGACCGACAGCGGTGATTTTAAGACCACTCTCTGCAAGTCGGTCGGCCATAGCGCGACCAATACCTGAAGTCGCTCCGATGAGGAGAACATGCTTGTATGGAAAAGCCATGGTTGCGAGACACGTATATATTGTATAGCTATACAGTCATAAGAACAGCGCTCCTGGCAATTTATATGTATCCCAAAGCCGGACTTTAGCACCGAACTCGCTAATTCCGAGATGTTCAACATGAAGTCAGACGAGATGGCTTCCAGACTGGGAAAGGTCAACTTCAAATATTGTCCAATTAGGCGAGAGAATATCCACATCCAGCCCCACTAGCGTCGAAATGATTACCTAGTAAGGCTTAGCGGATTTCAGACCCAAAGTACCCATCCCATACTCCAAACGTCACTTATTTCCGATATTTCTTCCATACCACAATGGTGTTTCGCGGGCGACCATCCAAGGCCTGCTCTCGATGTCGTTCTCGGAGGTTGAGAGTAAGGCCACTGACCCCTCTAGGTAGTCAAAAGCTAACCCCGAACAGTGCGATCTCCGACCCGGTTCATGCGGGGCGTGCTTGCGAGCCAACGAGCCCTGTTCCGGATATCGCAATGTGCCCGAACTTCGCATACAGGATGAGACAGAGTCCATCCATCGCAAGTTCCTTGCGCCGAGTGTGAAAAGCTTGCAATACCCAGTTGAGCTTCAAGCTAGGGATGTCTTCTTCGCACACTATGTATCACCAAGATCAAGGGGATGGGATTTTCTCATCCAGATGCCAAGGTCAATACCCTCCTATATGACGGCCAGTCTTGATGCGGTGTGCTTGGCCTTTCTAGCTCAGCGGCGGATGTCGTCGTCACTTTTAAGTCGCGCCCGCTCGGAATATTCCACCGCCCTTCGAACAATGAATGAGGCGCTTTCGTCTTCTACTGTAAACGCCAAACATTATATGCTTACCAGTTCCATGTGTCTGGACCTGTTTGAAAAACTTACCAATACTGGCCCCGGGGGAAAGGAGTTTTGGTTGGGGCATATCAGGGGCTCACTTGCTCTTGTTCAGGCTTTGGGGTTGGAAAATCTCAAAGACCCTATGTCTTTACGTCTGCTGGTACGACTGGTGGCCAATTGTACTATTTCGTCTGTGGCAAGTGCCACCGCTATCCCGAGTGCGCTGCTCGAAGTACGATCACACCTTGAGAGACATGCGGATATAGGGACGGATCCAAAATGGAAACTGACTGCCTTGATGGGAGAGTATGCTGTTCTCCGAAGCAGAATTGCAAATTCTTCAGTATCATTGGATGAGTGCATTACCATGGCTTGGGGGCTTGATCTGAAGCTGATGGAATTGTCTCAGAGCATGACTAAAGGATGGCTACCTGAGATCCAGGGAGCGGCAGATGTTTTCCCTCGAAGAGAGATTTATCCAGATCGTCATGCTACACAGGCGTGGAACACAATACGGCTGGCCCGCATTTTACTCCATGAGTTCCTATTGCAACCCGACAAAAGTGATCATGAACTCAAAACTATCGCAGAAGATGGTCTATATGGCCTGAGTGTCGATATTATTGCAGCAATGGCCGATGACATATGCGCCACAGTTCTCCAATACACAGATGCATCATCTCAATCTGGTGACTCTCGTTTGGCTGCACTGTCTCAACAGAATACGGATTCCGGAAAGAACATGGATTCATCTGAAACATTGAACTGCTACTCTTTGCTCTTTCCACTATATATCGTTGGGAGATCCAAATGGACAAGTTCATGTCGAAAGGCCTGGGCTATGCAGCAGCTGGAAGGCATAGGTAAAAGCCAGTGTATCCCCAAAGCGCTGGAGTTGACACACTTGATTGAAGAATCATCTGAAGCAGAACCATGGCCTATATATGCCATGCTTGGGGGCTATGGATTTGTTGCGTGATAACAGTTCCGATGCTGTCACGCTAGCTACCACCTTCCACGCTTTATTAGAAGAGCTTTTTGTACATAGTATATCCACCATCTCTAGTACGTATATAAGTTGCACAGCTTACAACATTTACTACCAGGATTAAACCAAACATTTTTCAATCTTATATTGGTCAAAATCATAACAAGTAAAATACCAATCTCAAATCCGATCCGACGAATACAACCGAATAGGCACACCCAAATCATGCATCATAGTAAGATTCGACAACTTAATAGGTTCCTGTCGAGGATGAGGATCCGCATTTTCAAGTGTATCAAAGTGTTGCATGAGACGGACAACGGTATAGCTTGCTTCTGTGAGAGCATATTGTTCTAAATAACCGTTAGCCACCGCCGGTAATCTCTCATTTTCCGTGTTTCCCTCGGAGAGAAGGCAGAGGCAGTTAACTTACGACCAAGACAAATACGCGGTCCACCATTGAAAGGAAGATACTCCCAGCCATGTTTGGCATTCTCTTCCCAGCGCTCGGGTCTGAAGGATTTGGCATCTTTGCCCCAAAGGTCTGTCCGGCGGTGCATGGCAAAGACGTTGTAGGCAACCATGCCGCCTTTCTTGATATAGACTGGAGATCGTCGGTCCGGCCCACCACCAACTGGGATGGAGGTATCCTTTGTCGCGACACGGAAGTTGACTGGGACGGGTGGCTGAAGACGAAGAACTGGACATATATTAGTTACCATGGACGGTTCCAGTTGACAGCTAAATCAGTTACCAACCTTCGTTGAGAACATATCGCAAATATGGAATATCTTTCAGCTTAGTCTGAGTCATCTCTACCTTGGAGCTCTTCGCATCTCCAAAGTGCTCGATAATCTCACGACGCAGCCGGTTCCACACATTAGGATGACGCGAAAGATAGAAGAAAGTAGAGCTTAGCAGAGAAGCAGTGGTATCACGACCAGCCAGAAGAATATTCAACATGTTATCGCGCAGCATCTTCGGGTCATCGGTCTCAGCGGCCAAAGCCTCCAGGAAAATATATCGACCATCGGCATTCTTCTTCTCTGGATTTCGCTTCGACTCCAAAGCGACATTGACATAATGATCGACGACTTCATGCACGCGACGGTTTGCTTCGCGGAATTCCTTCGGGTTAATAAGCCAATATAAGCCCTGGGCGCGCGACCGCGCCGCCAGATAGTCCTGTGCTGTTCCGAAAGCCTCGGCGAAACCTTGTGCGTTCCCCACAGCGGACTTTTCCAAGACACCTGTCGTCTCTGAGGGTGGGAGCATACATCCCACTGATTCGCCGAAAAGGAAGTGGGTTGCCGAATCCAAGGTCAGCAAGAAGAAAAGCCGCTGGATATCGAAGCTGCTCCTGTCTTTGGGGATTAAATCGATCAAGTGCGAGATATGATCGTCTAGCATTGACAAATCAGCCACCTATTCGAGGGTCAGTGGAGGAACGTGTCTTTAATTCCCCGACAAGGTTTTCCGGGCTTGTTCTTACCTGGTCCCTGGTAAATTGCGGGCGCAATAATCCCCGAGCATGCGACCACCCCGCCCCGTCCAGCGTGAAAATGCCATCGCCCAACAACGGGTCAAATTGCTGGTGTCGAGTGCCGAGACAGAAATCCTTGAATTGCGTCGCCAGAACAGCCTTGATATTCTCAGGCTCGATGGTTGTTGTCAATGTGCGAGTCAGAAATTGCTGACGGAAGGTGTAA